AGATCCGCGAAACAACAATACACCAGTGTTTCTTTCGATCTCTCAACTGATCTTGCAACAAAGAGTTCCGAGGACGTTATCATGGAAGCGATGGGTTTAGAGGTCAAAGAAAGAAGACGATAATTGCTAATTGGAACTCTAGCCACACAAGAAATCATAAGGTCTGTTGGTAAGTCAGAAAATTTCGTCATTGTGTTTAGAACCAAGAATCGAGAGAGCAAGAAGACGAAGACTAGTAGAAGAGGAATAATAAGTTGAATCTGTCTCCAGATGAAAGACGAGTGAGCGTGTTTGAGCCAAATTAATAGTGTCAATTAAATTTCGTCATTGTGTTTGATCCAATTATTTAGCAGGCCTAAATAAATGTGCATGTGATTCTGAAGTACATAATAATAATGTTTGATAAGTGTCAATTAAATTTCGTCATTGTGTTTGATCCAATTATTTAGCAGGCCTAAATAAATGTGTATGTGATTCCGAAGTACATAATAATAATGTTTGATAATGTATTTACACAAACAAATTCAAGTTTGTGTTTTCTTTATGTTAAAGGTTTGATGGAAAAAAGAGTTTAAATATCTAATCCTTTCTACCTGTCACTACTCAAAACCCATTACAATGTACATGGACCATGATGTGGATCTGGGCTTTAAGCGTTTTCACTACTTGTTCAAAATTGCATCCGATCCTCATATTTTTATAGTTTTCCTTTTCGGCCCACATTTCCATCGAAGTCCAAAATCGTAATAAGTGAGTAAATGTAGGGGTAATATTGGAATTCTAGTGAATAGAAAACTGTCAGCATCTGATTGATTTTATTTTTTTGATCGCCTCGACTCTTTCTTCTAAAGTCCTTCCTTCCCATGGTTGATATCCGAGTTTGAGAGAAGCTTATCTTTTCAGAAGAAGAAGAGATCCTTCACTTTTGGCTTCTCCGTTCTCGTCTCGATCAAACTTGTTTGCAGAATTTCAGGTTAGTAATGTTGTTCCTTCGTTTGTTCTACGCCACAAACTCGATTTCTCTCTCTTCTCTGATTTTGAGTGATCGGATCTTATCTTCTGATTCAATCGATTTAGCTACGAATGCTGATCTATTGAAATTTGAATTGCGTTGCTTCATGATCTGTTGTCTTTCTCTTCTTGACATTTCTTATAGATCGTGTTTCTTATGCATTCTCGTTGATTGAAAGGTCAATTTGTGACACGATGTTAACGAATTTCGTATCAGATCTTTCCATTTTTCTTAAATATTTCTAGCTTCTGTCTTACATTTGTAGGGATTCGGATCAGTTCAATTTCAAGTGGTGTTAAGTTTCTGAACTACTCATGGATCAGGCGGAGCTGAGTATAGAGCAGGTTGGTGATACTTTCCTGTATAAACCTAATTCATTAGATTTATTTTTGTATTTAACATCAATATACATTGTTGAACTTTAAATTTCTGGTAAGATATATAAATGATGACAAGTTGAAACAGGATGATGCAGACCGTTGGTTATAGATCTTTGCAACTTGACTGCTTAGAAATGTTTATCTTGTTGTTATTTTACTCTGTAGGTATTGAAGAGGGACATTCCATGGGAGACTTACATGAACACTAAGCTGGTTTCAGCTAAAGGTCTCCAGCTCCTAAGGCGCTATGATAAAAAACCTGAAAGTGCAAGGGCACAGTTGCTGGATGAAGTAAGTTTTCTACAACTCTTTTTTCTCCTTTCAAACAGTTTACATAGACTTTCACTTGAGTCAATTTTTTTGTGTTATTTAGTGGTTGAAGTTGTATAATGACCACGCAAGCATTTACCTACCTTGTCATTATAATGTTATTGCAGGATGGTCCAGCTTATGTTCATCTGTTTGTTAGCATCTTACGTGATATATTCAAGGAAGAAACAGTGGAATATGTCTTGGCTTTGATTTATGAAATGCTCTCAGGTAATTGAAATTTGAAATTATTTGCTTTTTTACCTTTTCTTCATTTTAGTTACTGACTAATATTAATCCATCAACTGTTTGCCAGCAAACCCAACACGAGCTCGATTATTCCATGATGAATCTTTGGCAAATGAGGATACTTATGAGCCTTTCTTGAGGTGAGTCCCTAAGCAAAAGTTTTACAAGTGTAATTTGGTCCAGGCAAGTTTTTTATAGGATAGAATCGCTTATTGGGTCAAATCTGTTGTTTCTGTTGGCCCTAGTCAGTTTATTATTTTAACTACAATCTTCCTGACAAACGGGAAACATATGTAAAATGCCATTGTTACATTTTTGCTTGATTTTGGCTGCTTAATTACTTATCTTCAAAAGTATGCAAGCTAAAGGATGTGTCCTCTTTCAGGTTGCTGTGGAAGGGAAATTGGTTCATTCAAGAAAAAAGCTGCAAGATCCTTGCCTGGATAATAAGGTATTCAAAACCGTTTATCATACTTTAATTAAACATGACTATAACATACAGCCTCATTTACTTAGTGGGTCTTGCTCTTCTCTCAACATATAGTGCTAGGCCAAAAGCTGGTAATGCTGTTATTGGTAATGGAATTGATGATGTTCTCAAGGGGTTGGTGGAATGGCTTTGTGCTCAGGTTTCTTCTTCTATTCTCTTTCTCTCTTTTCTCTTTGTTTTCTTTCTAGTTAGTGTTGGTCTTGCATTAGTGTTTAAGTGTTAGTTGTCTTTGTCTTATAGAAAATGCCATTGTTAGAGCTAGAGCTCATTGGTATAGCATGCAAATAGAGGGGAAAACAGAGGCAGTTAGTATTTTCTGTGTTACCCTCGCCATGCCTTTGTTATACTACACAAATGCAAACACTAATTAATATCAAATTAGTTCAATCGAATACAAACAATTCTTGGGTGTATGCAAAATTGTTTGATTTTGGTAAATAGATGCAAATTTGGTGATCTGGAAGGAACCTTTAATATTGTGACATAGTGAATCCAGAATTTTGATGTCCACCATCGATATCTCAATCCTTAATTTTGATATGCAGTTGAAGCAACCTTCTCATCCTACTCGTGGTATTCCGATTGCAATCAATTGCCTGTCGTCACTGCTTAAGGAACCTGTTGTCAGATCGTCGTTTGTTCAGGCAGATGGGGTGAAGTTACTTGTCCCTTTAATTTCCCCAGCATCCACTCAGCAGTCTATGCAGGTAACTATATATTTAATGGAAGCTCAGGGAAAAATGTCCATAAAGCAGTGAATAAGTATTGCAGTTTCCCAATCATGCAAAGTCCTTAACGGAAAGGCAATGACTAGACAGACACTCTGGGGGAAAATAACTTCATTTTCAAGTGACTACTAAATCTATTGATCTATATAGCTCCGTTATTCTAAAACGTGGGCTGAACAAATTAGTAAACTTTGAAATAGTTCTGTTTCAGTTTTCAGAAGGAAGAAGCACCTCTCTCTTTTTTTGTCATAATATCTCAGTACCTAATTCATGTGATTTGTGTGCTTTGGACCGACAGCTTCTGTATGAAATATGTCTCTGCGTCTGGCTTCTGTCCTATTATGAACCTGCAATAGAGTACTTGGCAACATCGAGGACAATGCAAAGGCTCACGGAAGTGGTCAAGAACTCGACTAAGGAAAAGGTGAGCTATGTTCTCTTTTGTGACTTGGTCATTGCTATCCTGCATTTAGTTAAAGATCATAGGACATGGTTTGGCTGATCAATCAGAATCTCTGTCAGCAATGTACCAAGACTTTTGTTTCTTCTATTTGTTATGAATCAATAATTTGGATAAATGTGGCGTGATGCACTTGTTATGTTTATCTGACGGTATTTTGTCTTACAGGTTGTCAGGGTGGTCATATTGACATTCAGGAACCTGCTTCCAAAAGGTACATTTGGTGCCCAGATGGTTGATCTTGGACTCCCACATATTATCCAGAGTCTAAAAACAAAAGCATGGAGTGACGAGGTAAGACAACCTAAATGCTTGTTAGCTGTTATGTGGAACATGAATCTCTGAATTTTCTGCTAAATCTGGTGATATTATAAGTGATGCCGGTAACGTTAGATGTGTTTTTAGTATATGGTGATAGCTAAACCCCTTAAATTCTGGATTTGTAAGGACTTGCTGGATGCACTGAACCAACTAGAAGAAGGGCTAAAAGACAAGATCAAGAAATTGAGTTCCTTTGACAAATATAAGCAAGAGGTGCTTCTTGGCCATCTTGACTGGAACCCAATGCACAAAGAGGCCAATTTCTGGCGTGAGAATGTCACATGCTTTGAGGAGAACGACTTCCAGGTATTCTTCTTTTATTCCTCTCTCCTCAACACCACCACTTGTAGTGCTTAGAGCCCGCTGGTTCAATCCAGTTTGGCCCTTCACAACAACCCTAACTACTTGTTAAACTTGTGGATGCAGATACTAAGGGTCCTCCTCACAATCCTGGACACGTCAAGTGATCCCAGATCATTGGCGGTGGCATGCTTTGATATCTCACAGTTCATACAGTACCATGCAGCAGGGAGAGTGATCGTTGCAGATCTCAAGGCAAAAGAACGAGTGATGAAGCTGATGAACCACGAGAACGCTGAGGTGACCAAGAATGCTCTCTTGTGCATTCAGAGGCTTCTCCTTGGTGCTAAGTACGCTAGCTTCTTGCAAGCTTGATGGGATGGGACTTGCATGTTTCTTTCAATATAATGGAATGCAACCAAAACACACAGATTGTGTTTCCTTTTTTCCCCTGTCCAAAACAAAACGTGCTTCAACTCCTGCATGCTTCTTTTCTTTCGATTCTACACATTCCAAGACCATCTGTTTATTATTTATCCTGGAGACTCTGCTCTTGTATGTCTAAATAATTTCTGGCTTGTTTTTTTCTCTGTATTTATTTATTCAATAAAGAGACATTGAAGAAGAATGCTATTGTTGCAGACAGATACTTTTCGGCCAGTTTGTTGTATGATGCGAGAGTTTCAACTTATATCGAGATGAGATTACCTTTGATTTACTTTGGTCGCATGTCTTATCAGTTTCAACTTATATATTCAGTCTAATTTTATTATTTCCAGAATTACAAACATACATACACACGTTTATAAAGGTATGCTTCCTTTTACAATTGAATCATCACATCTGCTTCATGGGTTCTAAGACCTTGTAAGTATGAAGCATGTTATTCATTATCAGTTTGGTATACTGAACAACTTACACAGAAGAATATGAACTGAATCACTTGATGAGAATGCATCTTGTCGGTGCTCCTTCCGCTCCAACCAATCTCAACGGTAAGCAATGAAGTGAGTATGTTCCTACCTCCACACCATCCAGCTTCAGCGCTTCCACAGGGATTATATCCTGTAATCATGTGTACCTCACGTGTTAAGATGTAGTGCTTCTCACTACCTATCTAACCAACTATCTCTCTGACTTTCTTGTCCAGTGAAATATAGCTATATTCAATCATATCCAATGTTTACGTACTTGAATACTTTTTTTTATAGAGAATGATAAATACTCACCCGTCCTTTAAGTATAACCCTATGTGTTGCAGGTGATTCCTCAAAAGCAGCAAAGGAAAGATAATCAAGCCCTGGATTCCATAATGCATAATAAACGGTTTCAGAAACACAATGAAGATATGAAAAGCTAAGAAACCAGAATATCCATCTCTTACCAATAAGTTTGATGTCTGTGTTCTCAACCAACCATTTCGCCCCATCGGTCATGAACCCAGCAAAGCTTGAATCAAACTCTTTCTTAAACATAAGCCGCCTGATATTACAACCACAGAGTGAGTAAGCTTTTGCTCTCTTGTTGTTTTTGCCAAGATTTAGGTAATAACACAGACTCATAATATTGAGACTCTTACTTGTCAGTGTTGGATGTTCTAAAGAGCACACGACGAACTCCTCTTTGAATATGAAGCGATTCCATTACCTCAGCTAATAATAATAATCAAACCCAAAAACAATTCATTAGACAAAGATCCTAACTTTAAAATCATCAATTTTGTTACAAACTCACCAGTAATGTTCTTATCTCTTGGAACATCAACCAACAAAGCAGGACCTATATAGAATTTACACAAAACCCAATTTTAAAACTTTATGACTAACCCAACTAAAATCAAAGAAACATGAGATTTAAGATTACCATTTAAGACTTGAAGATCAAGCGAATCAGTATCAAAACCAGCGTCGTAATAATTATCCCAGAAGTGACCTGGAGCATCAACGTGAGTTCCAGAGTGAACAGATAGTTTCATCTCCGATACGTTAGCGAAGGATCCATTCTTCATACTCGCGGCTAATCGCAAGAACGTCTTTCCCAATCCCTCCGAAGATTCCCAAGCTGGAATCTCCGGCGTGTAACGATGGCTGATATCGTATATCTTACCTCCTTCATAAACCTCACGGCGGATTGGTTTGGGAACATCGGAGTGTTTGACGGCGAGGAGAGAAGAAGAGAGGGAGAGTGCAACGGCGAGGATGAAGACAGGGAAATTCACGGACCGGGTCATTGTTTCGGGTCGCGGGTTAACGGGTTCAATTTCGATACTACTGTAGTTGATTATCAAATGATTAAAGCTACGGTTTATTATATAATGGACTCCTTGACCTTTGACTTTTTGACTTTTGAGTTTAGCAAAACCGTCTTTATTGACTAAATATAGTTGTTTTAATTCACATTTCCAACTCTAATAAATATTATATTTGGTTGGTTTTTAAATATCTACGTTTTCTTTTAGGGGAAATAATTTTTGAAACATTCTTTTTTGTATATAAAACTAAAAATATTATAATTCGAAAAAATTATTTTATCCGATTACAGAGATTAACCAACGACTTAGACGATAACGGTTTAAACTGAAAATGATGACACTTCCAATATAACCGGTCGAACTCAAGCTGCAACTCTTGGTCACAACCAAAGCACTTTCACGTACAATGAATTGTCCATTGCAACAGAAGGTTTTACTCAGTCAAATTTGCTAGGACAAGGAGGATTTGGGTATGTTCATAAAGGAGTTGGCAAAGAAGATGAGTCTTAAACTTGGAAGTGGACAAGGTGAACGCGAGTTTCAAGCAGAGGTTGATATCATTAGCCGTGTCCATCATCGTCATCTCGTTTCCCTTGTTGGATATTGCATCTCTGGTGGTCAAAGGCTTTTGGTTTATGAGTTTATACCAAATTACACTCTTGAATTTCATCTTCACGGTACATTCATCTAACAGAATGTTTTCTTGAATTAACAACACCTTTAAGTATGGTTTCTCTTTAACTAATAACATGATTGAAACTTTAGGGAAGGGTCGTCCGGTTTTGGATTGGCCTACACGAGTCAAGATTGCATTGGGATCAGCTAGAGGTCTTGCATATTTGCATGAAGACTGTAAGAAAAATCTCTATCTCACATATTTTGATTAGTTTCTATCTCGCTCTCTATAAGAATTAGAGTGTGGTTTTGTTGAAATGTTTAGTACAAAGCCTTAATCCCATACCAAGTTATGGTAGAATTTATAATGGATATTCATTATCAAGATTGTTTATCATTGATGTTGTATTTTATAATCCATATTTAGTGTCATAAACACAAGTTTAGTGTTTGACGATAATTATCTTTAATATTTTTTGTTGTATATAATGATTCTAAAAGTAATACGAGATTAGGTGAATCTTTTGTTACCGTTGTGATAAATTTTCTTTTTGTTTTTTGCAACTCAAATAAGAAAAAGGAAACAATAGAAAAATTTCATTTTTTCATTGAACAAACGTTACCTATAAATACACCCATTCTCTCTTATTCTTTGAGAAATCTCCATTCTCTCTTCTTCTTCGAAACCCTAAACCAGAAATAACAAACTTCATCTTTTTCTTTCTGTAGTTCTCTTCATCAGCTCTGCCAATATCAACAGAGAGGCTTGCCGATGATGATCCGTATAGACATTGAAGTAAACCGATGATCTCTGCAATTAACTTCATCCGTAAGATTGATCGGAGCAGAGTGATCAGTGTTTGGTTCTGTTTCCATGGTTCCGACCTTCCGACGACATCACCTGAAAATCTTGTGTTTCGTCAATCACAAGCAAAGGTATTTCTTTCTTAATTTCCTTTTTTTATTTTTTTAGATAAGTGTTAAATTTTTAAATTTAGTGTAAGCTAATTGGACACAACATCCAAACCCCTAAGAGGTGTTCTAGGTTCAATACACATAATTTAAATTTTTAACATTTGTTTCTATTTTATTAAAAAATGTTTTCAAACTTATATTTTAATATTACTATTAAACTCTAAGGTTTTTTTAGAAAAGTGTTAAATTTTTAAATTTAGTGCAAACTAATTGGATACAACATCCAAACCCCTAAGAGGTGTTCTAGGTTCAATATGGTTTACACAAAATTTAAATGTTTAACACTTGTTTTTATTTTATTAAAAAAATGTTTTTAAGCTTATATTTTTATATGACTATTAAAACTATAAGGTGTTTTTTTGGATAAGTGTTAAATTTTTGAATTTTGTGTAAACTAATTGGACACAACATCCAAACCCCTAAGAGGTGTTCAAGGTTCAATATGGTTTACATATAGTTTAATTTTTTAACACTTGTTTTTCATTCATTAAAAAATGTATTTAAACTTATATTTTTATATTACTATTAAAACTATAAGTTTTTTTTTGGATAAGTGTTAAATTTTTGAATTTTGTGTAAACTAATTAGACACAACATCCAAACCCCTAAGAGGTGTTCTAGGTTCAATATGGTTTACACATAATTAAATTTTTAACACTTGTTTTTTCGTGTTAAAAAATGTTTTTAAACTTACATTTTTATATCATTATTTGATTTGAAGTTTTTTTATTTTTCAAATAATATTTTGGATAAACTATTTCATTTTTTTAAGTATACATAATTTAAATTTTTAACACTTATTTCTTTTATTTAATTTAAAAATGTTTTAAATTTATATTTATATATTATTATTTAATATTTAATATTTATTAGAGGTGTTATAAGTTCAATATGTTTTCGTGTATGGTAAATTTAACGCTTGAATTAAGAGTTTGCCAAAATACATGTATAGATCATGTATCATAACGTATAGCCAAAAACTAAGAATGTAAGATTTCTCCACTGATGGATATAGAAGTTACAGTGATATATGATACAAGATTTTCTTAATACAACAAAATGCTCCACCGCAGCATCACAAACAAGATCCATAATACAAGAAGATTCTTTGTGATCAGTTTTTAGAAGAAGATTGGAAGATGAAAACTGCAGCTAGAACACCAACCAATGCTGTAACAGCTAAAGCAACCGTAGGCAATGGACTTGCTACTCCAAAATTCTGAAATAAGACAAAATCAAATCTTAAGTATCATGGTTTTCTTACTTTTCTATTCAAAGTTTCATTTTTTTGATAAGCAAACTTATCAGTTATGATGTTTTTATTACCTCAAGAAGTCCTTTTCCAGTTGAAATCTCAACCGTAATGGCAACTGCAAAACCAACCATTGCGCCACGACCAAGCCATATGTCCAAACCACTGCTTCCTTCTGTACTTTGCTCACTTCTAATTGAAACTGATGCTGCTCTGTTTCCTCCTCTACGAGCCATACTCAACTTCAATGGCACTGAAACGGACACAGCAACATACAAAATCAAAATCAAAGAAAAAACGTTTCTCTTTTTCCCGGATATACTCAGCTAACCAAGGCAATGCACAATCGCAACTTGACAAAAACTAGAAAACTTTATGATAAATAGAATTTTCCCCCAAATCAGAGAACCAAACCATATGTGAACAATTGAGTCTGTAAAACAAATCAGAAATATCAAAAATTGAGCCCAATTTTCAACCTATAACTTAAAATTTTAGAGAATTGGGGAATTGGTCAGGGCCAAGGAAGACGTACAGAGAGGAGAACCAGAAGCGAAGGTGGATCGGATTCCAGCAAGTTGCGGAGCATGAACCCGACAAGTAGAACTTGGGTTTGTGATTGTAGCTAGCTTTATGGCACCAGAATCTGGAAACATAATATCCGAAACTAGTCAGATACAAAGTACAACTAGAGGAAGAAGAAGGGTAGCCAAGAGAGAAAGAGAGTACTACTGGGAAGAGAAAAGGCGAGAGACGCAGAGACTTGAGATAAGGCCATCTTCCTTCTATGTAGATACTCTCTTTCTTCTTCTTCTTCTTCTACTAAAATCCTTCGTCTTCCTTTCTCAAGAGTCGCAGAATTATCTGTCCAAGCTGAGGACACGTGTTTTCTCTCCACTCATTAAGTTCGTATCTTGTTTCACCTTTTCGAGCTACAGATTTTGAAAACGGCGGCGTTTCACAAACTAATGCATCTCTTAGAGCAAAACCGAACCAAATCCGAACCAAACTAAACCAATTTAAAAATTGATTCGCTTAATTAACAGATGATAGTGGCGCCATTATTCGGGTAAGAAACACACCAACGAAAGTTACATTTGTTGGTTCATTTGATTATAAGAATATAAAATCAATTTCTCCTCTCAGTTACCACCTCTTAATTTTCAAGTTCGACCAACTTGTCTTCGATGTTTGATTGAAACAGCCGAGGAAAACAATTATTCAAGAAAACGAAGCACTCGAATAATCAAAACCATAAAGTTGAAACATCAAAGAGACCACTACTCTCAACGTTACCAAAACTGTATGAAATCCAAAATAACATTATTGCCTAAACCAACAAACAACATCAAATCTTCACCAGTGAGATTTAAGATTCAAGAATCAATAACACACCAAACTAGAGCTTGAGGAAAACGAACTCCTCAATCGCTGGAATTTCCCCAATCTTCTTCAGTGTATCTTTGCTTGGTATGTCATCTACTCCAATGGCCATAATCGCTTGCTTCCTCGGTGCAATCCTCCCAACGCTCATGAAGTTAACATTCACGTTAGACTCTCCAAGGATGCTTCCGACTGTCCCGATCATACCAGGTTGATCCACCTGCCTGCACAGTATGATACTACCTTCAAGAGTTACATCGACCTCAAAAGATCCAACCTTTGTCAAATGCGGGACTCCGTCTTTAACCCTTCCTTCCACTTTGACCTCTCCTGATTCAGACAACGAACTGGCGAATTTGGACTCCACATTGCTTAGCTGAACAGTTATTGTCTCCAACGGGCTCTCTGGTGAACCATCCAAGAGCACACGTTCCTCTGAGAGTCTAAGACCTCTCTGCTTGGCTGTGAAATCAGCGTTGACCAAATTGACATAGACGTCAGAGATTGGCTCGATGATTCCCTTGGTGATCATGGCTCGTAGAAGTCTGGTGTCAAGATCATCGGTGGCTCTTGCTGAGGCGTATGTGATTTTCACGTTTTTCACACCGCTTCCTCCGGCCACCAATTGCACTGCCAGTCTTCCTAGTTTCTCGGCTAGTACCACATATGGTTTCAACTCGGTTAGAACCTGCGGATAGAGTGTGATGTAAGCTTAAGATTAAACAATTGAAATCTTCCAACTGGGTATCTGATAAGAACAAAGCTATAAACCTGCTAGTCTTAATCCAATCACAAATCACAGAGGAGAAGCTAGATTAATGAGGCTCTTAAAACAAATCCCTAGAAAACCCACCCTCACCTCAACAATTTTGCCGCTCACTAACTTCTTTCTAACCAACTCAGAACAGATATAATTTGCTACATTCATTCCTAGGCTGGCTAGAGTAAATAGTCTGATAAGTTTGCCTCTTTAAAACAACACCAAAATGCGTGTATTTTACTAGCACAAGCCAGTGCTCACCTCAGCAGAAACCATAGGTGCATTGACAGCTGTAGCAGCAAGCTCTCCATTCAGAGCTCCAACAACAGCTTCAGCAATTTCGATGGCAACTCCTTCCTGTCAAAGCCAAAACACCAACTAAATAACAAAAGCCAAACAGCACATTTATGATTAATTATCACCTGAACTGTAACATGAATTGCACACCTGAGCCTCCATGGTACTGGCTCCAAGATGAGGTGTCACAGTGACCCTCTCGTGCTGCACGAGCTTGCTATCTTTAGCCGGCGGCTCTTTGGTGAAGACATCAAGTGCAGCCTGAGCAACAATGCCAGAATCCAGAGCTCTCACTAACGCATCTTCGTCTATGACGCCTCCACGAGCAACATTGACAATGCGAACTCCTTTCTTCATTTTGGCAAAGGTTTCATCGTTGAGTATCTTGGATGTTGTTGGCGTAAGAGGCATGTGCAGAGAAATGAAATCCGCGGTCGCAAGGGCTTCATCAAAGCTCACTAAGTCAACACCAATGGCGTGTGCACGGTCTGCTGGGGCATAGGGATCATGAGCAATGACACGCATACCAAGACCCTTGGCACGTCTAGCAACTTCCGTCCCAACTTTCCCGAATCCTAACACTGCAAGGGTCTTGCCCACAAGTGAAACACCCACATACTTGTTCCTCTTCCACTCTCCTGCATCACAGAGATATTATTAAAACCAAAATCATACATCCACAAGTTAGCAAGATTACACTCACTCCACACATAAGAATCATCAAAACTCAAATCTCAAAAGAATCAGCCAAAAGCTTAGTCCAATGTCACAATCCTATAGCAACATCAACAGTACAGGAAAAGGAAAGCTCATGATACAGATTTGTAAACTCTGACACGCCATCAATCACAAGTATCGAAAGAACAAATACAATAAATATTTCGCAAAGTATGGAAAGTATGAAATTGAGGCGATGAATCAAAAGTTACTAACCAGCCTTAACAGACGCATCAGCTTGAGCTACGTTCCTAGCCATGGCCGCCATAAGAGCGATTCCGTGTTCAGCAGCAGCGATCGTGTTCGCCGTCGGAGCGTTGACAACCAAACACCCAAACTCCGTCGCTGCACTCAGATCCACGTTGTCGATCCCAACACCAGCGCGTCCAACAACCTTGAGCCGTCCGCGAGACGATTCAAACACCTCACGGCCAACCTTAGTCCCACTCCTCACGATCAACGCATCACAGAGCGAGATCTTAGTGTTGAGCTCCTCAGGAGTCATGTTATACGAACAGTCGACATTCGCGAAATCCTCCAAAAGCTTTACACCAGCCTCACCAAGCTTCTCCGCCACAAGAATCGTAGGCTTAGATCCATCTCCTGTAGAGCACGAAACGAGAACGAGCCGTCGCTGAAGAGTATTGCGTCCACGAGAAGGGAAAGCGACGGAGATGGCTGATGGAAGAGGCGATCTGGAAGAGAGAGTGACGTTTTTGAGAGAATTAGTGGCGACGGAGATCGAGGAAGCGGCGGCGGCGGTGGCTGACATAGCTACCGCTTATGGAGTAGTAGTGAATGTGTGAGTGAATGAGTAGAGAAAATTGTTGTTGGTGGCTGAGTTATACAACACGAGGGAGAGAGAGATCTAAAAGGTTTTTTTTTATAGTCGGCTCAGGGGTTTGGTGTGATGTGATAGTATTTGACAAATGTGATGGTATCTCACGTGCCTTTGCCTCGCGCGTGTGATTCATTTTGGGTTTTTGTGATTTCCAAATGTTTGAGCGAATAGAGTTGCATCTTTTACCGGGAAAATAGCCAAAACGAAAAAGAAAAAAAAGGAAAAAAAAAACAAATTGGGGATCTTTGAGGAATAGTCAACTTTATTTTATTTATTACACATATCTCTGACCAGGAACAAAATCTTAAATTTATTATGAGCAAGCTACCCAAAAAATATTTACAGCTTCGAAGATTTTTGACAATGCAAATAGATCTTGAAGAAGCCTTATTTTGATGTGGTGTGGGGGTCTCATGAGTCATGAACTCATGATGTCTGACAGACAGATCATTGCCGCTAGTTTGAAATAGAGTATCTAATAAAGATTTTAACATTTAAGTCCCCAAAAATGGAAAAAAAAAACTTGTAATAATGTTTGTGGTTTTCTGCTACTAGATCATATTTATGTCATTTTTAATATTAATTAAAAAATAAACTCAGGTTGAATCTTTGACAAAAAAAGTATATGTATATATACTATCGTTGAATCAAAACTTAAAATTTAGTAGTATGCGTTTATAAGTTTTAGACCAAAACAAAAAAAAAGTAATCGACGATATTTTGAGACTTGATAAATTCTTGGATCAACAGGAGTTGGTATATTTAGATCCAAATCATGATTTTACGATGGAATTTCAAAATGAACCAGGAAATTTTGTTATTGCCTATAAGAAAACAATAGAGGAGAGATGTGACATGATTAATCTTTTTTTTTTTCCTAAGCGAGTGTTTGTCCATGCTTCATGCTTGAACGCAAGTAGTAATAAAAGATTAAAAGGTCCCCGCACTAGTAAACGAGGCCATACACTAGAGGGAGAGCCGCACTTTTTAGTATTTGAAAACTAATTGAAGACTTCAAATCTGAATTGAATTGGACCCTTTTTAAAAAACTCTCTTCAGAGTTTTAGGTTTCAGGGCAAGTGGTTTGTTTGTGTACGTAAATACAAAAACCCAAAAAAAAAACACTATTGTATTTTTGTTGGTGGTCAAATTTTACAGTATTCAGTATTAGGTCTTACTTGTGACTTTGTGAGGAGGAATATTTCAAAGGATATACTGATGGCTGTGACGTAAGTATAATTTATTGCACGTGAAAGATTTGCTTTTAAGTGTGTCTTTGCAACTGCTTAGAGATGCATTGCTTTTGGTAGGTCGACCTGTCGACAACCCCCATATAGTATTCAACGCAGCCGCGCGTTGATAATGTACTGTTGAATTTTCGTATATTAATATCTTTAGTATATTAGCTTTTGTTGAATGAAATTAAGGATGATCACAAGAAAAAACAATCGGATAATTGTTTTATATTTTTAATACCTTCATTCTAAAAGCATATATGTTTTCAAAAATCTTTGTAGTGAAGGCCGATTTTAGTTATCTTTCACAAATTTTGATTGTAAGAATGAGATAGCATGAGAGAAAACTTGTTCATGTCATTCATATTTATTGAAAATATGATATACCAAGCTGCATTAGACTATTGTGTATCCTGAAAATAGAATGACTAATCCGCATGAAAGTACTCCGCCTTGTCTATTAGTAGTAGATTCAATGTAGATAGAAATAATGTAACAAATTAGATGAATAATATGTGTGCTCTATATAGATAACAAACTTACATAAAACCAGTACCATCACTTAGACCACATATCACCTTTTGGGAGTTGTAAACAAACAAGAACACGGGAAAATACCGCAATTTCTCACCAAGTACCCGATCTTCAGCCTGGTTAACCTGACAAACAAACAAAAAACAATTATCAATCACAAATACAACATTAAGCTTCTCTATAGTTTTAATCAACTTCTAGAGTGGAGTGCATCGGCATCATCATTCATAACTTCATTGATCCCAGAGTTATAATGAACGAAGGACTAATTCAGATTGATTTCAGAATCCACCAGTCTCTAGAGCAAACTAATTGTTCTTCACTTTGAACAATAATATTTTTATCATTCTATTATTAAAGCAGTTTTGTGATATCCATATACCATGTCAACTACAAACATACAGAAAGACTCATGAAGCTTGACACAAACTTACTTGATTGTCTAACAGAAGTTGGAAAGGTAAGCTTGTGCTAAGGAGAGACCAAGCTGGACTTGAGCCTCGGTGGTTAAGTGAAGATTGTCCGACTTTAGCGGCAATCCCTTAGCGTCTACACAGACCACATTCGAAAGTTTCAGACCCAACTGTGCTTCTCTCACCTTATCTATGTATCCTCCTCCCGATGCTATTGCCACCTACGTCAATCAAACCACAAAAAGATTAACCAATGGAAATCTGACCTACCGATTTCTAAAAGACAACATCACTTGCCACAGTTGTTATTCACATTGTATAAGCCTATAAGGACACACATTTTGCATTATCTCAACTTTTGTAACAATTACATAATCTGCAACTTAACTCTTTCACCAATACCACCACTACCTGTCTACCTATGTAGATGTGAAACTGGAAGCTAAAATAGCATTAAGGAGAGAGAGACCTGAATAATGGGAAGAGAAGGAAGGTTGAGATCATGACGGAGGTTCTTAATCAAACGGTCCATATTGCTCCCGTAGCTCTCGGCGTCATGGATGTCCAACACGTCACTCTCTCCTTGATACCACAGCACCGCCTTAATCTCTCCGCCGCATTTCCTACTCTCCTCCGTTCTCTTAACCATCCTCTCGTACAAGTGGCTTCCACGCTCCCACTCTTTTATCGCCGTTCCACCGGAGGCACACGGAACCAACCCGATCACAGCCGAATCTGTTTCCAGGCGATTCTTCACCGCGTTTGCGAACGCCATTCCTGGACCTATTCCACACACTTTACCGGTGTCGATGTCAACGTGGAGTGGCTCGTGAGCTTCTTCCCACCGGAGATCTGCGCTCAGGCGGAGGATTGATGAGTTTGGTGCGCATTCCGGTGGGACGATTTTATCCCACACCCAGCGATTGTGGTGGTGGTCTTTGACGACGCCGCCGCGTCCGGCCATATTGCTTTGTCCGGAGAGAATGAAGATCTGATTTGGCGGAATTGGAGATTGGATCTCAGGTTTATCTTCGCCGGAAGTGGTAGATCTTTCTTCCATTTCTTGGTATCTCTTTGGTAAAGAGATGATATCAGAATCTCTTTAATACACTGCAGTGTTATCAGACCATAGAAATAAGCTATCGAAATGTCTTGTCTGAAAAGAAAGTTTGGTGTGGTGACTGGTGAGCAGCAGAGTTGATCGGAGAAGATGATGTTGAGGCGTGGACATTAGAAACTTGGTTCGGTTTGGGTCGGTTTGTTCAGATGTTTGGTTTAGAAGTTGGACCGAGTTAAATTCGGTATTTTCTGTTATGTTGGTTTATTTGGCTTAATCGGTTAAGATTATAAAAAAAAACACTCTAAATTAAGGGTTACTGAGTTAGTATTACACAGTTTATGCAACAGTAAAGTAAGCATTAAGTAACACATCTAAAACATACATAACAAATCCACTTTCTATATTGCCAAAACGACTTATAGGCTTACGACTTAATAAATCATACTAAACACACATTTTCTCCAACACTTGCACCACTTCTTTCATGGATGGTCGCTTCTGAGGCAAGGAAGAGACACATTCAATCCCTAACCTAAAGCACGCCATTGCAGCATCCTCATGGCGAGCCACATCGCTCCTAATTGCACCGTCGATCAACCTCAAGAACCGGCCATTCTCTTCGGCTTCAGAACCGGTTAAGTTTGAGAACTGATCTATATCATGATCTACCGAGAACACTTTGCTTGTGAGAAGTTCTAAAAGTATGACTCCAAAGGAATAAACGTCCCATTTAGGGTTTGGTTTCAGGCTTGTGGACCATTCTGGTGGCTGGTAGGGTGAGCTTGAAATTGGTCCAGTGGTGAGAGATTCACGCGCTGGTGTCATGAGGCGGTCTAGCCCTAGATCGGTGATGATGGGCTCATTCTCAGCGTTCAGGAGAATGTTATTGGGCTTGATATTACCGTGCACATGTTTCTTCTCATTGATGTAAGATAATCCTCTAGCCATTCCTCTTGCTATCTTGAGCCGTGCCTCAAAAGTAAGAGGGTTTTGTAACGAAGAAGACGAGCTTGAGCTTGCCTTAGCTGTTTGTGAAGGAACAAAACCAAAGTTAAAACTTAAAAGCAAGTGATAGGTATTTTAGATTGATAACGTGTACCAAGTAGCGTGCGTATTTTAGATAAGAGAGTGTATTGTTTATATTGTGCGCCTAAAGAAACAGAGGAACTTACTGGCGGTGAAGAAACAGAGGAGGCTGCCATTGGGAACATAGTCGGAAACGAGAAGTTTCTCGTCGTCTCCCCAGCAGAACCCACGAATTCTGACGAGATTTGGGTGCCGAAGCTTAGCGATGGCACGAACCTCCCTCTCGAATTCCTTGGATTTCGCAGCCGCACATCTCTCCGTCTCGATCCGCCTCACCGCGAATGCCGTGCCGTTCTCCAGCACCGCCTTATACACGATTCCGGTTCCGGTGGTTCCCAATATGTAAGCAGATGCCTTTAGTAGAGTATCTAAATCTAGCCGAGTCTCGCCGTCGACTGTAACTAGTTGAGTTTGGGAGCTCTGCTTCAGTTGCCCACCATCTGTTCGACTGAATGCCTGAAGGGTTTGCTGATACTCTACATCGCTCTCTGATGTTGATGTCTCGTCGTACCTTCCTCCGGTCAAGATTATGCACGAACCGCATGCCTTTTTTGCCTCTGGTGATTCTGGGACTGTGACCTCCGTGGCGCTTGGTTTCGATTTCTTGGCTTCGTTTTTCTCCAGACAGAATTTGAAGAAGCTGAATCTGCTGGATTCTGGGTACCTTCTGCGTTTTCTGACCTGGTATACGTAGAGCACGAGTAGACCAATGAAAGCTAGACCAACTATATCTGCAACTGTGATTGCGGCAATGGTGCTTGGCTTTAGCTTGCTTTTTGCTGTCTGATTTGGTGATTCTGTCAAAGGGTTTATTGGAGCTGTGCTTCTTGGTTTAACTGCTATTGCCGGTGAAGTAGTGTCAGAGATATTTGGAGGGTTCGAAAGAGTGGAAGGAATTGAGCAAAGGATCTTCAATGGCTTCCCACACAGCTCTTGGTTACCGGAAAAAGATTCAGCCTTTTGGTTAAGTAAAGAAAGGGAACTTGGGATTGGGCCTGTGAGGTTGTTAAAGGAGAGATCGACTGTGGCATTTGCTGGAAACTTCTCTGCAAAACCTGGAGAAATCTCGCCGAGGACTTTGTTGTGTGATAAGTTCAAGTAATGCAGGCTTTTTCCTCCCAAATCCTTGGAAAGAGAGCCGTTGAGAAGATTTGAAGAAAGATCAAGAACCTGTGCTGCTTCGAAACCACTTGGAATATCACCTAAAAAGGAGTTCTTTGACAAGGAAACGACCGTTAGATTCTTCAGAAGTGAGATGTTTAGCGGAATCTCTCCAGTAAATGCGTTAGCTGAGAGATTCAAGAGCTGCAGATTAATCACACTATTGATACTCTTGGGCAAATCACCAGAGAGATTGTTGCTTCCAAGGGAGATAACCTGAAGCTCAGTGGCGTTGAACACCGAGTCAGGGAGTGACCCATTGAAGAAATTGCTGGACAGATCCAAGATCCTTAGATGGGGAATCAAGAACAAGTCCGGAGTGATGGAACCAAGAAGGTGTTTGTTGGGAAGTACCAAGCTTGTGACTCTGAACATGTCTGGTGTGTTAGGCTTCCCAAGCTCTGTACAAGTGACACCTGTCCACAAACATGGTGTTGCATCATCATAGTTCCAGTTGCGTAGAACAGAGAGAGGGTCACTGAGGATGGAGTATTTGAAAGTAAGGAGAAGAACACCATCAGTGTTAAGAGCTTGGAGTTGTGTGGGGACAAAAAGAAGGTGGAAGAGGACTAATGAGAACAGGAGGTTGCTTCTGTTGGAAGTCATGGTTTTTCAGTTCTTGGTATATCCCTCTCTAAAGTATTAAATTCGGCTATGCATTCTCATAGCAGAAAGAGAGAGATAGAGGTTGAACCACTCAAGTGATAAGTTGTTCTGGTAACCAAATCTATGAGATAGTGGAGCAATCTCTGAGATGGTGAAGGAGAGAGAGAGAGAGAGAGAATCTTAATGAGCCGGAGTTGATGAAAGAAGCTTTTGACTAGACTTGACATGGGACAAGGTGTAGAATCAATGATTCTCGATCATTTATTCATTAGTGTAAAACTGTAAATGAGCAGCAGCAGCCATATTTTCGCATTTAAAATTTATTTCATTCATTAAAAAAAAAAACTCAATTCATGGGAGACAGAATAATTATTACCGTTTGCTTTTGGGTTATTTTTGGTTTACATGATGAAAAAGCTAATAAAGTTGAGTATAAATTATTGCATAGCACATTTTTGCTGGAAAATTCGGTCCATAGAAAGGATAATCACCGACTAAGGATTAATAGTACATATGTTATTGAGTGATTATATTTCAATGTAGTACTTTCTAATCTTAGAAATTACAGGAGAAAATCCGTTATAGGTTTGCCAAAACAGAGGGTTTCGTATGAAATGAACCACACATTAATCAAAGACAAAACAAGGGACACCACAAAACTGACATGTCAGTTATCCTCATCTTTATTTGTTTTTTTTTAATAATAATTTTTATGGAAAAATGACCTAGCAGAGTTTGATTTTTGTGTAAAATGTTCACACACTACAACTTGGCAAACTGATCAGTCTTTCGAAAATCGAAAAGTTAAAAATATACTCAAGGAATTATTGAATTCCTTAATCTAACGAAGAAAATTATGTAGCTATATTAAAAAAAAAAGTCAAAAAAAATAAATAAGAAGTGGGAGAAGCCAAAGCATAATCAAGGAAAAAAAAGATTTGGAGAACAAACACGAAAGCGACGAGTCGGAAGGGCTATGACCGCATCGCTTTCAGTGTAGCCTGTGGACGAATATAAAACAGAAACAAGGCTCTAGTGGTCCATATTATTTGGTTTTGAGTGAGTCATATAAGAATGAGAATAATTGATGCAAAAAAAACGACAGTGTTGTCCAAGAGAGAAGTGGCCAAACAATCACACAAAACAGTTTGATAAAATTGTGAATGAACTTATAAATAGGGTAGATAGATGGATCTCACGGTAGATAAACACATGGTTTATAGTTTGTTGATTAAGACGTAGGTTAGGCAATAGGCATAAACCTACATATTATCTTAATACATTGCTTCATTCGCAACATAGTTAGGTACAATTTTCTTGTCGTGTAAGTATAATAATATTCATCAACGCTGGAGAAAGTTAGAATGGGTGATCATTAAAAATCCTCACATGTGCATTACAAAAGGGGCTTATGGATATGATGGGGATTAAACCTAGTCCATTTCTAAAACACACAAGATAAGATTTTTTGGACATAAGTAAAAAATACAATCTATAAAGTATGTATATTCATCTGGCTGGTCCTAGACGTAACGATCACGGGTTAATGTCGTTTAACTCTTTATACTTTATCATTCGCTTTCTTGTTTTTTTCTGAGTATAATGTTTTTTTTTTTCACTTCATTCTTACCCCAAGTGTAAACGTCTCTCATCTATCATATACTATTTAGGTGTTGGGTGGCAATAATGAACTTAGGAAGGTAAAATATTTCAATAGAACCGAAATTCATCAATCCGGAATCAAATTTATTTTTATAAAAAATTTGAAAGGTAAAAAATCCAACAAATCCAAATTTGTGCAAAAGAACTGAATAAAAATCAAACAAACTCTATTCATTCAAATTAATTTGATCACATATGACAGTGAACTTTATTGTACTTTTTCCCTTAAAATCTAAAAATCATCATATAGTTCAATCAAATATTCTGAAAAATAGTTTTCTTAAGTTTGTCTTTTTATTTTTCAGAACAAAAAAACTCTAAAGATATACCCATCCATTCAATGCCTTGTTTTTATGGTCGGAGGCTGATAGCCAATAATGTGCATATGGCCGATCTGATACCCCTTAAAGATAATGTCATCTTTTATTGTAGACAATGGATCTTAGAAATTTGACTAGAGCTATGGTCTACAGATATTCACATAAAATAAATATACCGGGATTGTTGAAGCATTTTATTTGAGTTATTTTTGAGAAGTAGATACTTTTGGAAAGTATAATTAGAAGAGTAGACGCTGTTGTAAAAACTTTTGGAGATTACACACTTTTTCAGTTTTTTGCATTAAACCTTCTGGAATCGGAATATGCCTCTTAATCTTATTTCTATTAAGTGTTAACATGGTTAGATATTGCAAAACATGACATATAAATCAGTTGTTTTCAAAGTCAAATTTTAGAGATGCTAACTCAGTTAGGACATAGATGTGACTGGTAAGTAGTTTCTAATGTTATTTTGAAAAATCTCTACCCTATCGGCAGTGATCGTGATAGTGATCGTTCTCAGGTTAGTGAATCCCAAGAACTTTGCGCATATATGTCAAGAATGATGGTCAGATTGTACTTAGAGAATGATCTGTAACATTTTCTCTTAACCTGAGAAAAGATATTTATTTTGACACTGATCCAACATATTACTCTATATCTTAGTTATTGACTCCTCATATATAGCTGGTAGATGTAGTGATTTATTCCACGGTTTTCTTTAGACTATTATTGAAGTTCTCTTCATTTTTTTTCTAATCTGAAATTTTAGAAATATCAAACATTCATCCAACCACTTGTTGTAAAGAAGAGGGAATCATATATAAAGCCCAATAGGGTAACGAATTATCGACTTCAAATATAAATATTCACGCCATGCTCTCTTGTCTGGTCCAAGAAGCATATATCAAGACTCTTTATCTACCAACTACGCATTTGACTAATTTGCACCACCAAATGTGTAATGTATCTACATTTAATTTATATATGACAAATTTATAATCAACGGGCGGTGTTCCTTGTTGTGACATCTAAATAAGTCTTCCTTAACCTACCACTCACTTTGATAAACATAAAATCACGTTGTTATCAAAGACCAAACACGCGCCTCAAGTTTCTCAAACACTGCTTAAAAATATTATACAAGTCGTATTTTAATTTTTTAGTTGGCTTTCGCTTTGAGTCACTGTTTTAGTCCGAAATAACTCCGAATAATTATGTTTCATATCATAGTACGACTCAAACCCGACATAAGGACTCAAGGCATAGGCATATATGTTAACACATATCAAATGATACATGATTAAAAACGCTCGAACAAACACATGCATTTTTAGCCCAATATCATTATATCTTTTACCACTTTCTCATGAAAAATAGTGACACACCATTGAAAAAGCTCACAAACAAACAGAAGATTGTCGAAATCGAGTACGTAAAAAGCCTCGAGTTTTCATGAATTCAAGCGTCGAAATTGCTTCCTTCGACATCAACGACGAACCTATAACGTACATCGTTCTTCTCGAGTCTCTCAAACGCAGTGTTAACATAATCCATCTTCACAACTTCGATGATCGAACTCAAACCCTTTTCTTTACAGAATTCAAGCATCTCCTCTGTCTCCTTCATGCTCCCTATGAAGCTCCCCGTTATCACTTTCCTCCCTAATCAAATTATCATCATCCCCAATTAATTAATAATCCTCAAAATCACAATTATTAAGAAAGGGCTAAATTTTTAATAAGTGACTCACCAAGCATAAGCAGAGGAGTAAGAAACTGCAAGGGATTGCTGATAACTCCCATGAGAATGAGTTTACCATCAAGCTTAAGAAGAGACAAATAAGGCTCAAGTGCGTGATGAACAGGAACCGTGTCAATTACGTAATCCAACGAATCAGCCAATTCGCTCATCTTTGCTTGGTCGGATCCGATCACGTAATCATCAGCTCCAAGATCTTGCAAAGCCTCTTCTCTCTTCTTGTTTGATGAGCTTATGACTGTCACATGGTGACCCATTGCTTTGGCTATTTTCACACCCATGTGACCAACTCCACCTAACCCTAGTATGCCTCCTCTTAGGCCTGGTCGTTTGAGACCAAAGTGGCTCAGTGGACTGTACACAGTCACACCAGCGCACAGTAGCGGCGCAGCCTGCTCAGCCGCCATTCCTTCTGGAATCTTCACCACAAACCTAAACACAAGAAATTGACCCTTTAGCCAAACATACCCTACCCTGTTCCCCAAGATACCGAAACCAAAACCTAAAGATCCGGTTTGAAGCTTGCTTTTTTATTTATATAAATTCACATTTATTAGTAGTTTAGTATACGCCAAAATCGTTAGTTGAACAACACCAAGATTATGATTGAATTTCAACTATATTTTTTAAAAAAATCATTGATCAAATGGAGCACAAGATTAACTTCAAAATCACAGGAATCAAATAAAACCTAGATTAGTTAATTTACGAAGATCACAAAGTTAAGAAAGAAAAAAGAGTATTTTACTTTTGGTGAACGACGGTGGCTTTAGCGAAGCCGCCTTGTGTAGGTTGACCATCGATGTAAACATCATTGTAGCTCCAAATCTTCTTGGGACAATACTGTTCCAGATCTCTCTCGCAAGGGCTACAACCTCCGCAACATCCAACGAGGCAACCAACTCCAACTATGTCCCCTACGGTGAACTTGCTCACATCTGATCCAACCTCCACTACTTCCCCTACCACTTCATGCCTGACATCAACATCACTCGATCTTAGATTCTATCGTTTATATTCTATCATCATCAAAAGAAAGAAGAAAGAAGAGATTACCCTGGAACCATGGGGTAATTAGACATGCCAAGATCATTTTTGGTTTGATGAAGATCTGTGTGGCAGATTCCACAGCAAATGATTCTTATATTCACATCCTCTGGTCCAGTCTCTCTGTAATCAAAAAGCCAAAAAAATCATGACACTGAAATAAAAAACACAAACAAAAATCAAAGATCGAAAACTAATTAGAACCTAAGAGTGTAAGTGTAAGGAGAGAGGATCCCAGATGGATCTCTTGCAGCCCAGCCTGTTGTTTTCCTCTCTGCCTCCATTATTCCCATTTTTTTTTTTATGATTCTCTCTGTCTCTCTGTCTCTCTCTCTCTTGGTTTTATATGCTTCTTTCTTGATCTCTTTTTTATGATTCACGCTTTTGCTGTTTATATATATAGAGAAAGTTGGAAACGTAACGCATGCGTATGTGTGATGAAATAATTGGTGTTGCTGCATAGCCTACATTTGGTGGCTATAATTGAGTGTAAATTTGTGTATATTATTGACAAAATTAGTCAAAAGCTTACAAAGATCCTTCTAGAAAAGACATTTTTTTCTTCTTCTTTTCATACGATGGCTGTGTATTTTATTAGAAATTTAGGTGAGAAATTTTTAGAAGCTAAACATATACCTTAAAATGAAATTTCTTTGCATTAATAATTCTTTTATCAGTTTATTATAAGAAATAGCAAATCCAAAAGTAAAATGAGAAAGAATGATATTTGTGTACTTTGAAAGGAAGAAAATCCACTATTGATGTGGACACGTCAGCTAAAGGAGGGTCCACGGGGGTTGGTGAACAAACATTGTGGGGTCTAATCGTGTGTTTGCTTTGGTTTAAAATCATGATTGGGCCACGTGTTGATTCGTGACCTCTCTGACATAATGAAACTATAGCATTGACGGCCCAGATCAGCTGCGAGAATACTTCCCACTCCCATGGAAATTTTGTAAGTTTTGACGGCCCAGATCAACAAAGAATCGATTTCCTCTTTTCTACATTATTTCGAAATAAAAGAAGCACAAAGAGTGTGTGAATGGCTTCATATAAAACAAAAGCCCATTATGACCCATTCACACCCAATTTCAACAAATCGACCGTCCAATTAAATAACATTCAAAAACCCAAAAGAGAAACCTCTAATTGCACGAATCAGGAGCCTCGAATTCGACCACAACAGCATGAGCCGTTTCACGACGTTATCTCCGAGTTTCTTCGAAATAATGTTGAGCGGACTTGTGGCTCTAAATGGGACCAATGCTTAAAATTACTACACACACTTGTCTCTTCTACACGTCTTCTCTTACGACCACACACCCTTCAACGTCTCCTCTCTCAAATAAAACTAACACCAATGTCTCCAATTTGAGATTTTTTAACTGAACCCAAGTCATGACGAAGCTTCTTGAGATGAATCATATTCATGCCCTTTGTTTTGCCAAGGGTTTTTCTCGTACCAGGTAACTTCAAAACCTGCTTATCAGGTTTGAGATTGTGTTGTTCGATTCTGTTTCTCGAAACAAGCCTTCCTCTTTGTCTGAATTGTGTTTTGGGTTTCTCATTTTCCTGTATAAAAGAGTTACCTTTAAGTTGAATTTGGTCTAGAATGTTAATTGGAGCAATGGATGCTTCTGTGAATGATTATGTCAATCAATATGATATGATTACAGGAAGAATCAGATCTATGTGGTACCATTTTTCTAACCAGATTGCATCATGAGTGAATGGCCTCTTTGTTGCAGATTAAATGTTGCAACTTCACCCTTTCTGATATCTCGTGGTGGTGGTGGTGGATATTGCAGCAATACTTGTATCCCTTATCGCTTGAAATTGTAAGCACCTTTCTTTATTCACCCATTTTACATATTTAATTCACAAAAGTGGTTATTACAGAACTGATTTTTGATGATTACATTTCTATTTAGTAAAGTGGTTTTAAGTTAAAGTACAGTACTTGCTGCCATAAACAATAGTAAGAACAGTTTAAGTTAAAAGTACAGTACTTAAAGTCTCTCACATTGTGGTTTTTGTTTCTTGAATCAGTACTTGCTATGCAACACTATCTGCTGTGGTAAAGGAGCAAACATCAGCTTTTGATGGAAAAGAAGCAGCTTTGCTTGTTGATGAGCTCAGAAGCAACTTCAACACTGGCAGAACAAAGAGCTATGAGTGGAGAATTTCTCAGCTTCAAAGCATTGCTAGGATGATTGATGAGAAGGAGAAATGCATCACCGAAGCTTTGTATCAAGACCTTTCCAAGCCTGAGCTTGAAGCTTTTCTAGCTGAGGTTTTTCACCTAATTTGGTATCAATGTCGCTTTTCTTCTGTACCTTGCACTGTTGAATCACTTTGGTATTATCTTGTTTTCTCAGATTTCGAATACAAAATCATCCTGTATGCTTGCAATCAAAGAGTTGAAGAACTGGATGGCTCCAGAAACGGTAACTAGACCCTTCAAGCTTTTGCTACTTCATTGATATGTTTCCTTTCTAAACCACTTGCCTAATCTATGCTTGGACCTTTCAGGTCAAAACTTCTGTGACGACATTTCCCTCGTCTGCACAAATAGTCTCAGAACCGCTAGGAGTTGTTTTGGTTATCTCAGCCTGGAATTTCCCTTTCTGTAAGCTCAGATTGTTTTTCAAAATTATGTCTCATTAATATAAAATTAAAGTTTATATGTCTTCATGGTGTTTTTTTCCCCAGTATTGTCTGTCGAGCCAGTCATTGGAGCTATTGCAGCTGGTAATGCGGTTGTGCTAAAACCTTCTGAAATCGCTCCAGCAGCATCTTCTCTTTTAGCAAAGTTGTTCAGTGAATACTTGGACAATACAACAATCAGAGTTATAGAGGGAGGAGTCCCTGAAACAACAGCTCTACTCGATCAAAAATGGGACAAGATCTTGTTCACTGGTTTGCCCTCTCTCTTTTTCTTTTAAGAATCTTTGACATGTTGATTAGGATCTCAGGAAAACATGATTTTAATTAGTTAATAGCATTTATTTAGGTGGAGCAAGAGTTGCTCGCATTATAATGGCTGCAGCAGCGAAAAATCTTACTCCGGTGGTTCTCGAACTTGGTGGAAAGTGCCCAGCTCTTGTTGATTCAGATGTTAATCTACAAGTTAAGATCTATCTCTGCTTCTAAAGCATAAAATAGATAAATTCATGTCACATACTCTAATCGTGGCGTTGTGATCAAAGGTAGCTGCTAGGAGGATCATAGCAGGGAAATGGGCTTGTAATAGTGGACAGGCTTGCATTGGCGTTGATTACGTGATCACAACAAAGGATTTTGCATCAAAATTGGTAAATGCTACTTGAAATAAAAGCCAGTGAATCACAATGCTTTATTTGTTTCTCTCAAGCTTGCTGATACAAATCATGTGGTACAGATAGATGCTCTGAAGACTGAACTGGAAACATTTTTTGGGCAAAACGCATTAGAATCAAAGGACCTGTCACGGATTGTGAACTCTTTCCACTTCAAACGGTTGGAGAGTATGTTAAACGAGAATGGAGTCGCCAACAAAATTGTTCATGGTGGCCAAACAACCGAAGAGAAACTGTGAGAGAACATGTTTCCATTCGATAAAATTGTTCATGGGGATAAAACAAACTAATCACTGTGTTCTGTAATATCCCTTTACAGAAAAATATCTCCAACGATACTACTGGATGTGCCAGAAGCATCTTCCATGATGCAGGAAGAGATATTTGGACCTTTACTTCCCGTAATTACGGTGCAAAAGATTGAAGATGGCTTTCAGGTTATACGTTCAAAGCCAAAGCCTTTAGCAGCGTATCTGTTCACAAACAGCACAGAGTTGCAGAAACAATTCGTGCAGAACGTATCTGCAGGAGGAATGACCATCAATGACACTGTCTTACACGTAAGAAAGACGTCTTTTCTCATACAAAACCAATGTTCTGTTTTCCATAATGCTAGCTCTTATAAAAGATGGTTTGTTTTGTCTGCAGGTAACTGTAAAAGATTTGCCATTTGGTGGGGTAGGGGAGAGCGGGATCGGTGCTTACCACGGGAAATTCTCGTATGAGACGTTTAGCCATAAGAAAGGAGTTCTTTACCGGAGCTTTTCAGGGGACGCGGATCTAAGATATCCTCCTTACACACCCAAAAAGAAGATGGTGCTGAAAGCTTTGATCTCTTCAAACATATTTGCTGCTATCTTGGCTTTCTTTGGGTTATCTAAAGAGACATGATCACATGTTATAATCACTGAACTTGCTGGAATTGTACAACTGAGAAAGTTGAATATTTCCATAGAGATATAAAATCAATAAAACTATAGCCTCCCCTAAGTAATAAGACGGGTGAAGTTGAGATGAAACAATGATTTGTACTTGAAAATGCGTATGTTTATTGTTGAGAAGAATTTCTTTTTGCCTACAAATGTTAACAGTGAAACTCAAACAGAAATAATTTTAGTTATAAATCTAAGATGAGCCAAGACCACTTGAATAACAATTTACAATTTTACATAGTTACTAGAATCTAGTATATAATAAACGTGACAGCTACCAAAGTGTCCTCCTGGCATTTACACATAATATTTGCCTAAATCAATGGTCACACCAAATTACAACAGAGATCAGTTAGGTCAAATCCCTCGATTCCTCCAAATAACCACACCATCCAACTTTCTCCCACATAGCTAATTCTAAATGTTCTAGCCTCTAGACTCTATAGGCTCTCAGGGACTAATTTTTATAACTAAGAGATTAATATTTATCGTAGTTGAAAATGTATTAATTATAACAGCTGTTATGGGAAACTCTAGTGACTTCCAGATCTTATGGAGATTTGAGATCTACTAGTTTTTTTTTTTTTTTTTTTTTTCGTCTGAATAATTCATGAAATATAACCAAGAGAGAAATACAAAGTTGAGATACAAGGTGAAATACTAATGCCGGCGGGACTCTAACCCCCGGAAAACTAAGCCGGCGGGTACATGGAAACCCCCAGAGACAAAGGCCAAAAAAGGCAGACATAAAAGAAGGAAAACCTTAAAGTACAGGGAAAGACTAATATCTAAAACTCAAGCAACACAACTGCAAACTCTTCACGAAAAGAATCCGACAAACATTTCCATAGAACATTTTGGGCGCTGGAAAGTGGTTACAAACAGGAGCAACAAGAGGACCCATCATTAGATTGCCTTTACATGAAAGGCCCGAGAAGGATACAAAACCAAGCTCACACAACCACTCCCCGAGCAGAAACGAGCACAGATAAAAGAGGATCAAAGCACAGATCCTAACCATCACTACCACACCAGAAACCAGAGAAGACAAGCAGGAGAAGGGACAAGGAGAAGCCTTGAGATCCGAAGGGGAAAACGCCAAAGAGGGCCAACAAACCTTACACGCGGACATTCGTAGACCCAGCCAAAACCATCTACAGCCTAAGAACTGGTTACGCCACGCAAGAGAAGGAATAGAGACCGAGCCTACCACATCGTCTTGAACTCAAACCTTAAATCCAAACAAGGAAAAGGAAGAGAGCTAGTAGATGCCTTTGCAGGAGACTACCATCCAAATGAAGAACCCACAAAACAAAACCTTCACAAACTCATAACCCCAAAAACCGGGCAGAAAGTAACAGGAGGCAGAACTAGGAGTCAATATTGCCATCCCTAAACTTGAAACTAAGGCATCTACCCTCAACCAACCATACTACTAACCAAACCTTGTCGAGAAACACTAACCAAAGAAGAGAGAGATGAGAGAAATAAAATACCAGACCAAGAAACGAAACGAGTCCGTCTCCTAGAAACCATCAGCCACAGGACCACCACCAGAGCTGAGCCACTACAAAGCCAACCGTGTCCGTCTCCATGAAACCACCAGCCACAGGACCACCACCAGAACTGAGCCACTACCTTGAGAAATCCGCAAACCACACGAATCAGTCACTAACCACGAACAGGCCTCACCGAAGATGGCTTCTCCTCCTTCAAACACTCATCTCTTCAAAGAGGAAAATGACGACAAGGCCACAACAACACCAAAATCAACAAATCTAGGCCAAGAAATCCAAAGAAGACGATGGAGATGAAGCAAAGAACACGAGAAAGGAGGCCACGAAACCTCCGCCGCCAACCATCCACCGATTCTTCACCAACCAAACATCCACCATCGCTTTTACCTTTGAACCACCGAAGAAGGCTAGCTAAAAATCAAAACTAAGAAGCAAAGCAAAGATCTAAGACCCTCCCACAGCTCCGGCGAGAAGCCCGGCCGCCGGGGAGGCCAATCGGAAAAATCGAAACTTGGGCGGCTGGAGACTAGGGTTTTCGTCGAGGAAGGGAGGGACCTTCCTTGAGAGCTTACTTTTGATCTACTAGTTTTCATAAATACGAAAAACAAAAAAAAAGGATAAAGGAAAAGAAAATTGGTTAGGGTTAAGTCATCCATAATGTCAAATCACCATGTTTTTATCTAACACGACACACTCTCAAGTCATTATCAAACATAAATTTCAATTTAATTTGTTTGGTAACGAACAACTGGTAAATTATATGGTTCTCTTCTCCCCAACCATATCTCTTTCTACATTATACACATTGAGATCTGTGCACCATTCTTCAGCTTTAATATTGACTAAGTAAAAATATTGAATATAAAATATTATATATTGTGCTCAGCCCATAAATGACATGTATCTACTCCTCCATTCCATATTCAATTTAATAATTTATCTTTGGATAGATGAACTAGCATTTAATGTCTTTATATCACGAAAGGAAATTATATTTTGGTATCTTTATTTTCCCTCGAGTGAATTTTTTTGTTGAATTCTCGTGTTTCTTTATTTATAGAAATAGACAGCCGAGATTGATAGATTTTTTGTTAGGTTGTGAGATTGTACTATTATAACTTAAAAAGGTAAAAGCCCAAGTTATCTGACAATGTCTTAATATTCCTGATTTCTGAAGCAAAATGATGCGAATTTTATGGACATGAGTAAGAAAATAGGTGGTTGTTTGTTTTACTCGCATTTACTACCTTGAGTATTGGGTAAATTTCGTTTTTGATTTGGGAAAAATGCACATGTTTGTTTACTCGCATTTATCATCTTCTAATATTGTTTTTGCATTAGACATTCAACTAACACTGAATTTTGACACACTCTACCACCATAAATTGATTATTATTCATGTTTTTTATTCGAAGAGTTAAACTCTAACCAATGTTTGAAAGTTTTCTGTTGATTTTTGGCCGGATAATCCAGCTTGTTGGGTCGGGTTGGCCAATTTAAAAGCATTGCTCACTCACGCATCTATTCTTTGTTGGGAGTGTACTGATAAACGCCAAGGTGTCTCCATCCATAGTTATATTCAAAACCCATTATGTATATCTGTCCACATGCATGGCTCGACAAATCCCGGTCTGCATGATCCAGTCAGGTGGTTTGCGTGATCCATATATCTTCCCCTAAACCGGTCACCGGTATACTGGTTTGGTTACATACTATTGGTTCAAATAATGGGTTAGTATTTGATTTTTCAACATTGATTTTATATATGATCCGTTATATATGGAAATGAGTTTATTATTCCCAACAATGCATATGGCCTAAAATTTCTGGATATCTTAATTGCTTGCACCTCTTGATTTTTTTTCTTGATCAAAACTTGCAAACTTGGGTTAGGTCGTCGTTATCCTAAAGAAGAAAATAGCACAAGAAATAATTCTTGTTCATGCTTATTTATTTATGTTATACATTCATTGCATGCATGAGGACTCTCTCTCTCTCTCTCTCTTACTCAATCAACCTCTATAAATGTAAAACGAGTCAGAAGGAACAAAGACCACACCAAGAATTTATATCACTAAAATGGATTCCCCGATGAAGAAGGTAAAAATCTTTACCAACTACCTCATGGCACATCGCTTCAAGCTCTGCTTCTTACCATTAATGGGTTCTATAGCCATGGAGGCGTCTCGTCTTTCCACACAAGATCTCCAAAACTTTTACCTCTACTTACAAAACAACCTGACATCTCTAACCATGTTCTTCCTTTATCTCGCTCTCGGTTCGACTCTTTACATCATGACCCGACCCAAACCCGTTTATCTCGTTGACTTTAGCTGCTACCTCCCACCGTCGCATCTCAAAGCCAGCACCCAGAAGATCATGCAACACGTAAGGCTTGTACGAGAAGCAGGTGCGTGGAAGCTAGAGTCCGATTACTTGATGGATTTCTGCGAGAAGATTCTAGAACGTTCCGGTCTAGGCCAAGAGACGTACATACCTGAAGGTCTTCAAACTTTGCCACTACAACAGACTTTGGCTGTGTCACGTAAAGAGACGGAAGAAGTTATCATTGGAGCGGTCGATAATCTGTTTCGCAACACCGGAATAAGCCCAAGTGATATAGGTATAATGGTGGTGAATTCAAGCACTTTCAATCCAACTCCTTCGTTATCAACTATCTTGGTGAATAAGTTTAAACTTAGGGATGATATAAAGAGCTTGAATCTTGGTGGGATGGGGTGTAGCGCTGGAGTCATCGCTATCGATGCTGCTAAGAGCTTGTTACAAGTTCATAGAAACACTTATGCTCTTGTGGTGAGCACGGAGAACATCACTCAAAACTTGTACTTGGGTAACAACAAATCAATGTTGGTTACAAATTGTTTGTTCCGGATAGGTGGGGCCGCCATTTTGCTTTCTAACCGGTCTATAGATCGTAAACGCGCGAAATACGAGCTTGTTCACACCGTGCGGGTCCATACCGGAGCAGATGACCGATCCTATGAATGTGCAACTCAAGAAGAGGATGAAGATGGCGTAGTCGGAGTTTCCTTGTCAAAGAATCTACCAATGGTAGCTGCAAGAACCCTAAAGATCAATATCGCAACTTTGGGTCCACTTGTTCTTCCCTTAAGCGAGAAGTTTCACTTCTTTGTGAGGTTCGTTAAAAAGAAGTTTCTCAACCCCAAGCTCAAGCACTACATTCCGGATTTCAAGCTAGCCTTCGAGCATTTCTGTATCCATGCGGGTGGTAGAGCGCTAATTGATGAGATGGAGAAGAATCTTCATCTAACTCCATTAGACGTTGAGGCTTCAAGAATGACATTACACAGGTTTGGTAATACCTCTTCGAGCTCCATCTGGTACGAGTTGGCTTACACAGAAGCCAAAGGAAGGATGAAGAAAGGAGATAGGATTTGGCAGATTGCGTTGGGGTCAGGTTTTAAGTGTAATAGTTCTGTTTGGGTGGCTCTTCGTAACGTCAAGCCTTCCGCTAATAATCCTTGGGAACACTGTCTACACAAATATCCAGTTGAGATCGATATAGATTTAACAGAGTGAGCGATTCTATTGATCGTTATAAGTTATGATATGAATCAAGAAGATAGAGACGTTTAGACTGGTTTATTATATCGTACTTAAATTTGGTCGGTCCAAAAATGTACAACTAATCTATCCTTTCTCTATGTGTTGTTCTTTTAAGATTTTTTTGTTTGTTTGTTTTTTTGTTGTTGTTGTTGTTGTGATGCTTAAATCCTCTCGTCAACTATTTAAGAATAAGATTTGATGCGTGGTAGTGGACTTGTTTTCACAGTACTTCATATATATATATGATCTCGTTTATTGTTTTACAAATAATTTTTATCACATATAGATATAGACAGGGAAAACTAAAGGAATATGTAAAACTTACCAGTCTTGCCTTCATGTAGAAGAGAAAATGATTTTTTTTATTTGATCCGTAAAAATGAAGGCAAGTAAACTGGAGTGCTTGTACTTGTAGTATTCAAACAAACTCGAGTGTGCAATAATTCCATCTCTCTTTGAAAATGGGGAGATGATATTTAGCACATCGATCTTGCGCGTGAGATGACGTAACTGTTCTCGGTAAGATTTGTCTTTACATGAAACAACTTGAGAAGCCCATCATTAAATTTCTCTTTAATCGTGTGACAATCAATTTTCTTATAGGTTTGGGTTGGCTATATAGATATGACCAACTTTGTATTAATCATCACAAAACAGAACAGTTGGAGTAGAGCCATTAATACCCAAATCCTTCAACAAATTGTTATGCCCAACAATATGTCAATATCACAAAGTTGCAATTATACCTAGGATTTTTTATTAATCAATCTAAAAACCAAAAAAAAAATCTGTAAACCCTACAACCCTAAATATCGTATTTATTATCAAAACCTAAATAAAACCCTCAAATCAGAAAACCTTAACTAATCTTATTAAAAAAATATATAAATAGAATTGAATCAGAATCACGCCATGTTTGTTTGATTTTATTTTGCTCCATATCATTAAAGGAGAATCACAAAACCACATGTGATCAATATCTTCGACAACCAATGCAATCAGCGTAATATACGTCTTAGATGAGATTGCTATAGATCTTTCTGTATCTGTTTAAAGAAACGATTGCGATCCAAAAATAAACTTCATGTGTTAAGAGATTATTTGTTTCTTAGATAAACGAAAGTCGGTGGATAAAAAATATTAAATGCTCAAATTATGGTTGGTTTAGTCTTCTCAATTCGTGTAAAATTGGGTATATGTTCTTCATATCCTCGTGATCTGCTCCAAGAACAACTGGTTGATGATGTATTGGACAAACTCGTATCTTGGATCTTATCATTCTAGGCAATGGACCAATATGGTGCAGTCGACACGTTCGGGTCTTTGTCTGCATTTGTGGTCTCGTTATTTTGAGTTGGGATCATCATTAATATATGAGTTGTAATGCCTTACAAAATTGGTTTGTAATTATTCTTCCTTTCCAAAAATGAAGTGTCATGTTGACAATTTTGAAAGAAATAAATAAATAAAATTACATACTCTTGAATTTGTATCTCTTTTATATTATTTTGAAATCATAAAAAATTGTGGATTAATTTATAGAGATGATGAACATGTTGATAATCAAAAGAACTCTGTTTATTTGGCTTTAATTATAATTTATAGATATAATTTAAACTATATCTTAATATTTTTGTAAAATATTAGATTTGCCTGATTCTTGTTTTAGTAATTTCATATAAAAAATTAAAAATAGATCGAGTGTATAATTTCATATTAAAAAAAAGCAAAAAAATAATAATTGATATAAATCCATATCGCTCGTGAATAGTGCAGTATCGCTTTACGCGCTATTTCAAGACCAAAACTTTCTATCTTCTAGAGTGAAACTGTGAAAGCAACTCTCACAGAGCAACAATGGCGGAGAAGTCGAGCTTCTTCGTTCATTTCAGCTTTCTTCTGCTTCTTCTAAGTATCATAACAACATGTGGCGAGGGAGTGAGGGATCCGGTGAGACGTTCATCGGAGAGGAGAGCATTAATGGACGGCCAAGATCTCTCGAGGCCATTGAAGCTGACATTTGGTGGGCCTTCTCGGAATTGGACTGACGCTATTCCCATCGGAAATGGTCGTCTCGGAGCCACGATCTGGGGCGGCGTCTCCTCTGAGACTCTCAACATCAATGGTAAATGTTTAAAACGGCGTCGGTTTTGGATTTGTCCTTTCTCTCCCATTCATGTGTTGTTTTTTATTTGGAGATTTGGGTAGTAAATGCTATTATCTGCTATTCTCTACAATTTATTGTCAGAGATCAATCAATGTTCTTGTTTCTTGGCCTAATTTATTGACACTCTGAGCTATAGAGCAGGGGATTATGCTTGACACTTGATATATAAAATGTGCAAATGAAGAACATTGCTACAAAAAATTTACATTTTTAAATCTTGTTTCTACATTTGTGTTGTATGAAAATCTGTTTCCATTTGTTGATTTTGTGGATCTGTAGCCTAAAAAAATATGATTTTGTGGATTTTGATTGATAGAGGACACAATTTGGACGGGAGTACCAGCAGATTACACGAACCCGAATGCGCCGGAAGCATTAGCAGAAGTAAGGAGGCTTGTTGATGTGAGAAACTATGCTGAAGCTACTTCAGAAGCTGTCAAATTATCAGGCCAACCTTCTGATGTATGTTTTATTCTTTTGGTGAAAATGTTGCCTTCACTTCTTGTTTTTTATTTATTATGTGTTAAGATTAATCCTTTTGTATTTGGCTCTCAAAAGGTTTACCAGCTAGTGGGAGATTTGAATTTAGAGTTTGACAGTTCACATCGTAAGTACACTCAAAACTCTTATCGCCGTGAACTCGATTTGGAAACTGCAGTCGCTAAAGTAAGCTACTCGGTTGGGGCTGTGGACTTCTCAAGGGAGTTTTTCGCTTCTAATCCGGATCAAGTTATTGTAGCCAAGATCTATGCAAGCAAACCGGGATCTTTGTCTTTTAAGGTGTCTTTTGATAGCGAATTGCACCATCATTCAGAGACAAATCCCAAGGCTAATCAGATTTTGATGCGAGGAAGTTGTCGCCCCAAGCGACTTCCTGTGAACTTAAAGAAAAGTATCAACGCGACAAATATACCGTATGATGATCACAAAGGATTGCAGTTTGCTTCGATTCTTGAAGTGAGGGTCAGCAATGGTGGCTCTGTGTCTTCCTTAGGTGGCAAGAAACTAAGTGTTGAAAAGGCAGACTGGGCGGTTCTGCTTCTGGCGGCTTCATCTAACTTTGACGGGCCATTTACGATGCCCGTTGATTCTAAGAGAGACCCTGCAAAGGAATGCGTTAACAGAATCAGCTCAGTCCAGAAATACTCGTACTCTGATCTTTATGCTCGTCATTTGGGTGACTATCAGAAACTTTTCAATCGGGTCTCTTTGCAACTTTCTGGAAGCTCAGCAAATAAAACTGTGCAACAAGCTGCTTCAACTGCTGAAAGGGTGCGATCATTTAAAACCAATGAAGACCCTGCATTGGTGGAACTTCTATTCCAATATGGTCGATACCTGCTAATATCTTCCTCAAGACCCGGAACTCAGGTGGCTAACTTGCAGGGCATATGGAACAGGGACATTCAGCCACCATGGGAGTGCGTTTTCGCCTTACTTCCTTTTCTTGGACTTTCATAGCTTTGTTGTGTCACTGACTCCACTTCTTTTACTTTTGCTGTATTGCAGTGGTGCTCCTCACCTGAACATTAATCTCCAGATGAACTATTGGCATTCTCTTCCTGGTAATATCCGGGAATGCCAGGAACCGTTGTTCGATTATATGTCTGCTTTAGCTATTAATGGCCGCAAGACAGCACAAGTAAGTTTCTATCTTTTTTTTCTTCTAATGATGACCTTTACAATGCATTTGTGCTCCATCACTAGAGACATTAGTCTAAGAATCATTTTGTTGCGCTATATAGATGAACTACGGAGCAAGCGGTTGGGTGGCACATCAAGTATCAGACATATGGGCAAAAACTTCACCAGATAGAGGTGAGGCAGTGTGGGCACTCTGGCCCATGGGTGGAGCTTGGCTCTGCACTCATGCATGGGAGCATTATACATACACAATGGACAAGGTATGGACCTCAGATCTATGATGTCAAATCATTTCTTTAACCAGTACTGTGTTTAATCGACCTTTACTTGTTGGTTCATTTCTAGGAATTTCTTAAAAAGAAGGGATATCCATTGTTGGAAGGATGTACATCGTTTCTTTTGGACTGGCTGATCAAAGGTAAAGACGGATTTCTCCAGACCAATCCATCGACATCCCCTGAGCATATGTTTACTGCTCCCAATGGCAAACCTGCTAGTGTTAGCTACTCATCAACCATGGACATTGCCATTATAAAGGAAGTCTTTGCTGATATCGTTACCGCTTCAGAGGTAACATGAAGCAACAAAAGCAACGAAAATAATCATATCACCTCATGGATACTGAGCTTATGGTTTCTGGTTTATCAACAGATTTTGGGAAAAACAAATGATACTCTTATTGGAAAAGTCATTGCTGCTCAAGCAAAACTTCCACCCACTAGAATATCAAAGGACGGTTCCATTATGGAATGGGCAGAAGACTTTGAGGACCCAGAGGTACATCATAGACATGTTTCACATCTCTTTGGCCTCTTCCCGGGTCACACAATCACTGTTGAGAAGTCTCCAGAACTTGCTAAAGCTGTGGAAGCATCCCTTAAAAAAAGAGGTTTGTATGATTCTTTCTTCTCTCCCATTATCTATTCCGCAATGTCATCGACGTGGTTGGAGCAATATATAATGTTCAACTGATTGACGCAGGAGAGGAAGGACCAGGATGGTCAACCACCTGGAAAGCCGCCTTGTGGGCAAGGCTTCACAATAGCGAGCACGCATATCGGATGGTTACGCATATTTTTGATCTTGTGGATCCGTTGAACGAACGTAACTATGAAGGAGGACTGTATAGTAACATGTTCACTGCACACCCACCATTCCAGATCGATGCTAATTTTGGGTAAGTTAAGCAAGTTATTGCAAACATTTACCTATAAGATATGTGGAATATTTACATACCAAGGCACTAAACCATAACAGCAAATCATCAGTTCTTACAAAAAACTAAAACAATTTGATGGCTAGTATAAACTTATACATGAACTTTTTTTCCTTGGCAGATTCGCAGCAGCAGTAGCAGAAATGTTAGTGCAGAGCACGACGAAGGATCTGCATTTGCTCCCGGCACTTCCAGCAGATAAATGGCCTAACGGCATTGTGAAAGGGCTAAGGGCAAGGGGAGGTGTGACGGTTAGTATAAAGTGGATGGAAGGGAACCTTGTGGAGTTTGGTCTTTGGTCGGAACAGATTGTTTCCACCAGAATAGTATACAGAGGAATCTCTGCGGCTGCCGAATTGTTGCCAGGGAAAGTCTTTACTTTTGACAAGGATTTGAGATGCATTCGGACACAGAAGTTATAGAAATCTTGATTCTCAATCTGTTTTTGTTCATTTAACAGAGAGTCCATTGTTCGTCATCGTTCCACGAGTTATATGTGCAAGTGTAAGTGTATAACACAAATGTATCCAAAAGGTTTACAGTGAAATCATGTATCTTGGTATCAATACTTTTATTTTTACTTGGCTTCGCACTGTATCAACATTAATATGAAGTATATGAGAAATTGTCACATTCAACTTATTTGTAAAAATTGACTAGCCTTGATCAAAGCACATAGCAAAAGGAAAGAGAGAGAAAAAAAACAAAAGCAAGAAAGAAACAAGATAGAATATGTAAGTGGAACTAGTAGTTAATGATAGTTGACCCTTCTTCTTCTTATGCAGTTCACTCACTCGATTTGCACTAAACCTGGAACGTAGGAGCAGACAACTGGGCGACGATGATTCCGCTCAGATTTTCCCAGATCCACTTCCATGTAGTATCCATCTTCTCCAATGATATAGGCAATGTTGCGTCTTGGACTTGTGGAGTTTCTAAAGATGGTTAGATCAAAAAGCACAGCGACTTTCTTCTCCATGTCAATAAAGAAACTCCCATGTCGAATGGCAAGTTCAGAGTATGGAGTCATATCAAATGCGAAGAACTTGCTCCATGACACCACTTGGGGATCAATCTTAGTCGTCAACCATATCTCCATCTTGTACAAACCCGAGTGCTGAAACATGAGCGCGAGTTGCTCTTCTCTTACACAACATAGAGAACTAGTAATATCAAAACAATTGTTAAACGGCAGTTGCAGACGCGGTCCAAATCTCTCTTTTGTGAAATCAAAACAGAGTAAGAAATCATACAACATTATTTCTTCTTCCTCGATTCTTCTACTATGTATAGCAATCCAGTAAGTATTTCCCTTTAAAGAAACGCCTCGCTTATGATCAAAACTTATATACCAATCGGGAGTGACATCAAGAACCCTCCATGAACTAGAAGAAGAATTAACATGATAGATTTTATACTTGAGAACTCGTCTGCCTGAACCTTGGACAGAGTCATCAAAAAACCTCAAAATCTTGTGGCTACCGCAAGAATCACAGCCGAGACTATAACAGCTTCGACAATGAGAAGTCCCGGATTCGATCAATTTGGTTTGCCCTAGATACGGGTTCCAAACCACAATCCTCGAGTAGTCATTTATCACGCATAACACTAGACCGTTGCAATGAAACACATCAGATATCTTAAATTGATCGAGTTTACCTATTTGCTTTATAGATCGATCGTTTAGGAGATCGAATCTCACTGAACAAACCCTCGTATCCATCATCATGAACCCTAGAAATTGCTGTCTTGCCTCTCCTATGCAAACTAATCTATCTTTCGATAAAGCGTTCCATCGTTTTACCGTAGATCTCACTGCGCTCAGAGATGTCAATGGAACCCTAGAAAGTATCTCCACTACCAATTCCTCTGGAAGATCGGATATCATCGTCATCGTTCAAGAAATTAGGGCTCCAAATTCGAAAATCCACATGTAGATTATATACATACACTAAAGAGTAAATGACAAACCAAATCTATACCAGAAACCAAACCAATTAATTTTATATTAATCGATTAAATCGAGAATAATAAACCAAACCGAACCGAACCGAACCGAGTCTCTCTCGCCCTCTCTCGTTTAGGGCTTATTTACTGAGTTTTTTTAGTAGTCGTCGTCTCTTTGGTTCCGTCTTCATCATCTTCTTCGATATTGGATTTTAATCTCATTGGCCCCTATAGGGAGAATCATTTTTTGCAAAACCCCTCTTTATTCTCACTACCCCCTCTCTTTCCCAATTCTTTCATAAACCAATTTTACCCTTATCCTTCCTTTATCTATTTAATTTTATATTTAATTTAATACTAACAAATTCTTTATTCAACCAATCATAAACATTCTCTCTCTTCTCTCATTAAAATCTAAACCTAACAAATCAACCCACATTCCACGACATAAATCTTTCGTACGTATCTTCTTCTTCTTCTTCTTCTTCTTCTTCTTCTTCTTCATCTTCAGCAGCTCCGATCTTCTTCTTCAGCAGCTCCGATGTTCTTCTTCAGCAGTTCCGACGTTCTTCTTCTCCATCCACCATTAAAAGATCCATATCTCCTTCTTCTTACGATTCAAGTATCTCCAAACTAAAAGCGAATTCTTCTTCTTCTTACGATTCAAGCATCTCCAAATTCTTATCTCCTCTTTTCTTTTTCTTCTTCTTCTTCTTCTTCTTCTTCGTCTTCTTCTTCTTCTTATTCTTATTCTTCTCCATCCACCATTGAAGCTCACCATTAAAGCTTACGATTTTACATCTCCAAAGACATATCTCTTCTCTTCTTCTTCTTCTATTCTCACCATATTGTAAGGTAAGTATACTTGTTTCCTTAGTGTAGTATGATTGAGAAAAGTTGAATTTGTAGCTTGAATAGGGTTATTTGTTGAAATATTTTGGGATTGCAGGTTTGGGACAACTGAAACCATTGGGTACAACTAAATAGATTATTTACGGAAACCGTAAGTTTGGTGCAACTGGGACAAATGTGTACAACTATGTTAATGGTCTGCTACGAAAGTTGTGAAATTATAGACTGTTTTTTCTCTCTTTCTTTTTCAGGGACAATGTAAAGGAATTCAGTCATACGCTTTGATGGAGACGATGCAGGTGGCTTACCAATGATGATGACGTTGATGGAGACGATGCGGATGACCAAGGTTGATTTCTGAGTGTTATTTATTAAGATAATTTAAGAAACGATGTTGTTTGTATTGGTTTTGTTTGTGAAACTTATATGTTCTGTGTTGTACAACTAAGTTTTAGCATATACAACTATGGTTGATTTCCTTGTCGTATCTGTGCAAATTAAGTTGTTCAGTCTTGGTACAACTAAGTACAACAGATACAACTAAGGTCTATTGCCTTGGCCATTTTTATAATATGAAAAATTAAAACCAAATTGAAAAACCTAAAAAAATGCATACCCGATGGTAATAAAATTACACAACAAGTTCTTGACAAAAAATTTCAAATTTTTCTAAAATAATGAAATTCTTACACAAAATCCCACGTTCATACGCTGACAACCTTATACTTTCATGGTTACTTTGTAGTTTTGAACTAAAATTTTATAAATTTTTGAAATACTTGTATTTTGATAAATATAAATACATAGATACAAAGTAATGGTATTTTTATGAGGTAATACCATCGGTTCCACCCACAAAAATTAAATTAGAGTTGATAACAACTAGATTTACTAAATTCTCTATATTGTACAACTATGGGCAAAAATGTGCAACCGGGTACAACTGTACAACTGTGAACAAATTTGTGCTATTTTTTAATTATTTTTTTCAAAATAACGGCGCCAGGTAAGCTATTTGTCAGATCTTTTTAGATATTTTGAGATTCTTTCAAATATTTTAGATATTTAACTGTTTTTTTTTAATCAAAACCCTTACAAACCTACATATTTGTCAGATTTTTTGGAAAATTAAGATTTTTTTTTTGTTGGTTCAAAACACTTAGATTAATATTCAGTACATAGAATCATACATAAAAATATTAAGATTCAGATTCAAACATAATTAGATAAGTTTTTAAACCAGAAAACATAAACCCAGAAACATAGTTGTACTTGATCGTATCAGTTGTACCTAAACGCTTAGATTTATACATCAAAATCAGAAACATGCTGCCTCGCCTAAACACATACATCAAAATCAGAAAACAATGGTATCTAATAACCCAACTACCAACACTTATTCACAATCTTTTCCTGCCTCGCCTTCTCTTGCTCAATCTCCTTCCTCGCCTTCTCTTGCTCAATCTGGTTTGGATCAAATTGCTCTAGTCTTTTAGATCTTCTAGGAGAAGATAATCTTTCTCTTCTAGAACTAGATCATCCTCCTCTAGTAGTAGTCATTCTCCTTAGTTCCTACAACAATACATGATATTCAATATCAAACATTCAAAGGATAAACAATCTTATAATCTTTAGTTTTTAACTCATTTCATAAACCATCTATACGGAACAAATTCATCAAATCCTAATTGTAATCATACAACTAGTTACAATGGCTATTAACAGAGGCAATTTCAAATCCGAATTGTAATTCAAATCCAAATTGTAAAACCCTCACAGAGAAGAGGAGAAGTTCTCATAAGAAATCAAAACCTAATTAAACCCAACACAATCAATCGAAATGAGTGATCTAACTAATGAAATCTTACCAAGAGAAGACACGCCAGAGTTCTCACGGCGGATTCTTCGATTTCACGGTGGATTTCACGGAGAAGAAGAGAAAGGACAATCTTTGGATCAATAGAAACGAGTGAAGAGGGAAGAAGAAGAAGACGAAAGAGGATCGAGAGAAGAGAGAAGAAGAAGGAGACGAAACGAGATCAAAAGAGTTAGGGTTAGAGAGATTCAGAGATTCACAGTCTCTGATAAAGAGAAAACGAAGAAGATGAAAGAATAGCGTCAGGGAGTTAGGGTTTGTGTTTCTCGATTTGGGAATTAAAAGATCCGAAATCCGACCCAAAATATGTGGATCTAGATCCAAAATCAGGTTGGATCAGTAAATAAATCAAAAAGCCCAGTTTTATTTGTCTTTTGCTATTTTTCTGAAATAAAATAACTAATTAAACACAAGTTTATTATATTGGGGGCTAAGTAGAGAATCATTCGAGCACAGGGGGCCGACGAGATTAAAATCCTTCGATATTGATCTGATTTGCTTCGTTGTTTCTTTCTGCTACAAGTAGATTAAAAAAATGGCATGGCGCAGTGCAGCCCGCTCTTTCGTCTCCGCTACAGCTAGAGCTCCGTCTCTCCGATCTCCGCCGGCAACGCTTCCCCGCCTCCGTCCTTCCCAATCCTCTTTGCCCCGCCGCCGATTTGCCTCTTTCACTAATCCCAGGTTTCTCCATTTCTAAAATTTTATCCTCTGAATAAACTTTGGTAGAGAATGGAGATTTTAATTAAAATGACATGATTTGCTCGTGTTTGAACAGGAATTTGGGAGAGCTTGGATGCACAGAGTCATTCCTGCCTCTGTACAATGTTGTGGCTGCAGCTCGACTCACATCTCACCTTAATGTTAATCTGCGAGCTTTCTGCGAACTCTCTAACGGTACCTTCCCACGCACTTGTCAAGATCGCTAATTACTCTCCATTTGTGAGTGTTACTGCTCTTAGGATTTCATTCGAATGACCAAGTTTTAAGTTTAATGTCTCTCTACTTGGAACAATTGTTTTCGTGTTGAAGTAGAATGAAAATGGATTTGGTCTTTCCTTTTGTTCTCTGTAAATCGATTTTGGTGTTAAGAACAAATTGGGTTTGGGATTATTGATAGGGAATGGAAAAGATGGGTGATGGAAGTGGATTTTCAGTCGCTGGCAAGAGAGGTGCTACTGCTTTGTAGGTTTCTTGTCCATTTTGTTTTTTGTGTGTTTATGTTTAGGAACTCAAAAGATTTAGACCCTATATTTCTCTTCATGTATGCAATCAAACAATACAGTAGGTCTGACATTGTGTTCATTTATCACCATGCTCGTCAATCTAAAGATATGATGCAGTGAGAAATTGGCAAACCTGCCTTTTAGATCCATAGAGAATCTAGTTCAATATAGTAATGGTCATAAGCAATCTTGGCCTCTTGGGTACCTTTTGAAAAGAGAAGATGTCATTTGTTCATGACATCCAATCATTTGTTGTATAGTATATGGATTTGTATTAGCATATTGATGTTTTGAATGGCTGTTATAAGTTTGGTCTGAAGATCTGATTCTCAAAGCTTTGCCTGTGACTTGATGATGGCAGGTACTTGAATGGACAAAGTGGATGCATCACTTATCTTGAAGCAGTTGGAGACTTGAAAAAAGGGGTGTACCAAGAAGAACTCATTGGTTGTTTTGTGTTCCATTAGGAACCAAAAACTAAATTACATTAATTCTATCTTCCTTCACTTTTGACAATTTCCAGTTTTAGAATCTGGATTTCTCTTCATATTTCTTGTTGTTTAGCCCAATGGCTTTGAATACTTGAGGGTAGATTCAGCTTTTCTTTCAGCATATTCTTCAAGATCCATTGTTTCATCTTTGTATTTATAATGTTACTCACTCTCTTCAGGTTTACTGAAAAGGATTTTAAAGAAAACTTTCTTTTAGTGAAAAGTGTTAGAGAGTCACCATCTCTTCCGAAGTGCGATAATTGGCATCAGGCTTTTAAATAACTACAACATTTGAACTTATGTATACGACGAGTCATTGTGTTATTGTGAATACATTGATCATAGACTTTCAACAGTGAGGGGAAATTATGGTGGGAACGAGGTAGGGAACAATAAGAGTGTAAGAAGACCATGAAGAGGGTTTTAGTGTTCATATGAAACCACCACAATAAGTCAGTGGAGTAACTCCTTACATTAACAAATTCAATAGTAAGTATTTTGACTGAAAAGAAAGCTCATCGGTACGTTCTTTTGGATTTAACTTGCAACTTTATAAACAGCTTAAACTTTACGAGGGATCTTCAGTTTCTGTGTCGTATGCTTAATCACTGGAAGCCTCTGACTGATGGAGCTCGGGTCGCTCCAGACTGCTAAGTCAACTGGATACCCTTTCTGCATATATATACATATTCAAGAGTTAAATTACGAAACCTTCTGTATTCACTAACCAAAGAATCCTTGCAATATGTTATCGTCTTGTAACCAAAAGATTGTGGTTATTTGATGATGTACAGGATATGCCGTTCTAGGTTTGATGGAAAGAGATGGATTTGAATAAGAACAAAGATTGGAAATGGAAACAATATCTAGTAATCTGTCCTAAAAGTGAAGAAAACTAACCGCAGATAGAGACTGAAATGTAGCTTCTCTCCAACAGTTTTCACGAAGAACAGTTAGTGTCTCATCTTTGCCAAACGTATAATGCATTCTAGTCTCTCTCAATCTCATAAGCACACCATCAACTCTAAGCTATAAAAATGCAACCGAGTGGAAGATGAAAATTCCAAAATCATAACAGTAGATGAAGATCACATATTGGTGCGTAATGACTTTATTTTCTGACTATGGATTTTCATAATTGACTCACCCAAAATCGTAAGAGGAGGAACCAAGAGCTTGGCATGACTCTCTGCAAAACACAAACAGAAGCGCAAATACAGGTTATCCCTTGTAACTAATACTGAGCTCATTCAAATTCACTTAATTGTGAAAGAATGTGACTGGAAAACAGACTCAAGAATTTGATCTTTACCACTTTCACAGTCAGAAGTGACACTCCATTGTCAGCCAGCTCATCTTCATACAAAACTACCTGAAGGAGTAGAGAATAAGTACATCAAAGGGATCAGAAAAATGTGTTTTGTGTTTGTATTGATCAGGTGACCAACCTCATCATAGAAGAGAATAGGTTCTTTAAGTGAGAGAGCAGCCAAATCAATCTGATCTTCACAGTTCTCCCACTGAAGAGTAGCTTCCCCCTTCGGATTAGCTTTTGCCTCAACCTGCTTCATAGTAATAAAGCATATATCAATGAGCATGAAAGTTACACTTGATTGATTATGGTGTAACAGACAGAAAAAGAGTGAAAATGAGAGCAAGGCGAACCGCTTCTTTGTCTTTCTCAACTACTTCACTTCCACAGTAAGGCGTTGTAAACGTGTAATCATAATCTAGTATCACCTGCTGGGACGGCTTGCTGCAAGTAGATCAGAGTGGTATCAGATACAGCTATGTACAAGCAGAGTTTCCCTATTGAAAAGAATAATATCTTTTGTGATATATTTGTCAATCAAATCCTGAAACTTACCTCCTGAATTTCCATTGTGCCGCAGCAGGAACTTCAACAGGTGGAAGCCCTTCCTGCTTCCAACCCGCTAGTGCGTCAAATGCATTAAAATGAATCTTAGTGTTGCTACTTAAGTGTTTAAGGACTAAAGCATTCTCGCCAAAAACCATTTCAGGTAAGTGAGATGTCTTAAGCTTTTTTTCCCACCTGTGTTACAATCAAACTTGTGAATCTCAGAAGATGCTATTTACATATTTGAGACAAACAGAGAACTATACCAAGAAATGTGATAAGCAGAGATCGGAACAACAAAAATCAGTAACCCCAAAAACCAAACCAAAGCAAACACAGATTTCGATTTTTCACAGAATAGATCATACACTCGACCAAAGCCTAGAACAAACACAAAATCAAGGACACATTTCTAATTTTCTTCGATACGAATCCACTAATAAGGTGTACATGAGCTCAAAAACCCAGACTACACTACTCAGTTCTCAATCAGACTGAATCAAATACAAAAACTTAAACACAAGTATCGCCTAAAAATAATCAATAACAGTGCACAGACACCAACAAATTCATATATAATCGTATCTTATGGAGACATAGGGTGAGAGAGATAGAGAGATTAAGTACTCTTCGACAGCGAGAGAAGTGAGAATCGTGCCACGGAGGGTTTCGATCTCCCAGTCATGGATGCGCAAACCACGACGTCCGTCGGGAAGGAGCTCAGCCCCGGAAGACTTAAGAATCTCTTTATCGACCACCGTCTCCATCTGAATCGCCGGCAAATATTTTGGCACTACCTTTTCTCCTCCGCCGATTGTCACTTTTGTGACCAACCGGACTATCCAAGACATTTGACTTTTGATGGGCTTTAAGTTTGTATCGTGGGCCTAGTTTTATTTTAGTTTGGGCTGCTCAGTCACTTTAGTTGATAATTACATTGATCATAATATTTGTTAAGGTCACATTAAATCATATAAATTTATTATTTAAAATAGATTTGTATAATGCAATAGTTTGGAATTCTTTTTACCAAAATACAAAAGTAATAAAATGGAGATTTCTTTTTTGAATTTTCTTTTCCAGATTCATAATAATGTAATAATATAGCTGGAACACAGCTTTAGGAAAAGGTCAATATTCAATATTTCATTTTTCATTATTAGCACAGTGGCTAATTAATTAACCTGTAGAGGACCTAGACCAGGTTCGAAACCTGACTTCGTAACCACTACTAGTCTACTAGCCCACTTGGTCCTCAAGGTCAATTATCCTTTCCCTTTTTTTTTTTTTTTTTTTTTTAAAAAAAAAAAACTGGGCCAAAACCCTAAAAGGCCTGGGCTTTACAAAACGAAAACAGATACAAAATGAGAAACTGAAACCCTAGCCGTCACCGGAAAAAGCTCGGATCCTGATGATCATCGATGGCAGAGAACTCGAGCATGAACACTGGAGAATACAAGATCCACGGCTTTGCAACAACATCAACGGTTCAGGTTCATGATCCTTTCCCTTTTTTTGGGCAACCTAGAAGAAGGTTGGTCAATATACCTTTAAATCATCAAAAGATAAATCAATTTATTTGTATTACAAATTCACAACTAATTTGCACGATTACACCTCATGAACAAACTTTCGTCGTCAATCGATCAATATTTTGAGATTTTGGGAGTGTCTCATTGCCACTATTAACGATTCAAGTGGTAAAGCATGGAAATGTGAACATATTTCATTAGTGTAGTAGAATATTGAGACACATTGATCTAAGTATGTAACAGAAATTGTATTATGTGTCTCTATTTTATTAACGCGTGTGTGGGTCAGTGTGAATCTGATAGAATTAGACCCTTTATCTTTTTAATTTTAAAGTTGGACCCATTTAGGTCAAAACTAATTTATGTGCACTACTCATTTATTTGTAGATTTTTTTAAAACACACGAAATTGTAAAAGCTTCTAAAACAGGTGGCGGGTTTTGGTGTAAAGTCTTTGATAAGCTCGGAAACTGCTTCGCATGGAAAACTGATAACATCGGGGAAAAAAGGAAAGTAGTCGGAGTTTAATCTTAAGCTTTGATTGAATGGCTACGCTCACTGAAATAGCAACCCTTGAGGAGAAGTGAGTTTTTCTTTTTCACCTTTTTTTTTTGATGTGTATCTTATCTACTCTTTTGAAATTAAGACAGAAAAGTTGAGATGTGGTCGTAGGATTGGGTTTTGTCTGAAAGACTGAAACTTTGTAACACCTTTTCTTGAAATTGATGATGAGTTTAGAGGAACGGTATCAGTAAATCTAGGTTGTGTTTCGATTCTGTGTTTTTTGTTGGTGTTCTTCGTGAGAATTTGTCTGAATTTAAGGATTGGTTTTTGATTCTGTTCTATAGCTTTTGCTCGAAGGAAACAAAAGGCACGTTTTTTGTCAAGTCAAGTTTTTTTTTTCTGCTTCAGGGTGCTTTCTGGGTGGATTAATTTGTTAAATTCTGGGTTATTTTTAGTATTAATGTGCTAAGTGATTCAGGTTAATGGGATTTGATTCATCTTTTGTTTTAGGTATACTGAATTATGTAAGAAGCATGGAATCCTACCCAACACTGCCGTTTTATCTGCTTTCTTTGAGGTTTGATTACTTTTTCCTTGTCCAGAAGATCTGTTTATTGCTTCTGTTTAGCTTACTCTTAGTGTTAGACTGAGTATAAATTACAATTGAACCTGATCAACTGAATTTCAGGCGGAGGTTAAAAAGTCAAGGAATCAAAGATGTATCATGAACCTTTATGTGGATAGAGTGAAGTACGATGACTATCACCCGCTTCTCGAGTTATGCAATGAGATCAACACATCTGAGGTACAAGGAATAGATCTCTTTGTGAGATCCTCTTGTCCTTTAGAAGATCATTATGCATTGTCCTTAATCCGTTCTGTCAATCAAAAACTCCGAGTTGTTCATCTACATGACTCTTTCGGGAAAAACTTCTGGCGGTGAGCAATGGTTTTTTGTCTCTTTTTTTCTTTTTGCATTGTTTCTGAAGGTTTTCATTTTCATTTTTTTTATTGGATTTACTTTCAGGGACGTTTTCTTTCAAGGTTTGAGCTGCAAAGTTTTGAATGTGAGGTCTATGCATTTCCATAAGCTTAACATCGTAGGAGAGTTCACACAGCTGCACACCCTTATACTTGATAAGAACCGTATAGTTGGTTTCGGGGAAGACTGTTTTTCTTGCATGCCCAAATTGACATATCTTTCGATGTGTGACACACTAGTGTCAGATCTTTGGACATCAGCTGCTGCTCTCTTGAAACTCCCTTCTCTCAAGGAGCTCCGGTTTCAAATTTGGATCTCTTGCAGTGATTCTAGTCCACTTATTTCACAGTCATCGCCATCATCATCTACCAGGGATGATAAAAACACATTTATTGAATCAGACCCTCCCATTGAAGCAGATATTTGGGACGTTGTTGAACAGATGGATCCTAGTTTACCTGTTGAAGAGACTCTTCATAGCATGGATTTCTCATATAAAATTCCTGAGCAAGATGATTTGGATTCAAGTATCTCCGTGTCTTCAGAGTTGAATGGAGAAGTACTCACGAGGGAAAAGGTAAAAAACACAACCAATTTTTCTTGTTTGTAAGTCAACCAATGAGACAAAACCCTGGGATGGTTAAAGCCTATTTATACCATTTTGGCAGGTTAGGAGAGGGAAAATGCCGTACCAACCCAAAGATGTTTCACCCGTTGAATCGTTCACAAGGCAATTTGGGAATGTTGGGTTGAAATATATTTCCTCTAAAGCATCACCGATATGTTCTGAAAAGCATTATAGGATGTACATGATAAACTCTCTGCCCAAATTACAAGTGTTGGACAATTTGGCTATCAGAAAGAGTGATAGAGACAGGGCCTTTGAAACATATTCTGCAAACTTTGAGGACTTACCATACAAGAGAAAGAAGGAAAGTGTAGTTAGAGTCCTTGAGAAGCGTGAAACAAGATCAAGCAAAGGGATATCTCAGAATTCCTATAAAAGATCGCTTTGTGCAGCTAAAATGGGATCGTCTGCTTCGCCTCTCTTGCATTCACTTCCTTTTTTGAGTAGTAGGATTCATCAGGAAGATGATAATAGTAGATTAAGTCCAAGGCAGTTTGAGTACCATCCACTAGATCCTAGCCTAATGGTATTTGGGACTTTGGATGGCGAGGTGGTTGTTCTCAATCACGAAAGTGGGAAAATTGTCCGTTACATCCCATCTCATGGATCTCAAAGTACCATCTTGGGACTTTGCTGGCTCAAGATGTATCCATCTATGGTAGGATTGCAATTTTTCGGCTGCCTTTGTTTCTTTCGGTTATGTTACTTGTTGCCTAGCAAAATTATCTCAAAATGTTTTTCTTTTTCAGGTTATAGCTGGCTCAGCCAATGGCTCTTTGAAGCTGTACGACATCCAAAAAGCGTCATCAACGGTTACTACTAGCAGTCATGCCACTTCTTCTGGTTCTGTCACCTTTGATGAGTTTGACCAATTAACTTCGGTTCATGCTAATTCGACGGACCAACTATTTCTTGCTAGCGGATACTCGAGGGATGTTGCTTTGTATGACATTGGTAGGGGAACACGCCTACAGGTTTTTGCTAATATGCATCAAGAGCATATTAACGTGGTGAAATTTTCGAACCATTCCCCGTTCCTTTTTGCGACTTCTTCTTTCGATAAAGATGTTAAGCTATGGGATTTGAGACAAGAGCCATCCCGACCATGCTACACCGCTTCTAGTACCAAAGGAAATGTGATGGTTTGCTTTTCTCCAGATGATCGTTATCTTCTAGCATCAGCCGTGGACAATGAGGTACTCTGATGGACCATTTAGTTTTACTTATGAAGCTTTTTGCATGTAAACGTAAAAAAAAAAGACATCATATTCGCCTATTCAATATATTTGGCGTTCTTCTTAACAATTCATTGACCATTTTCCCAGGTGAGGCAGCTTTTGACAGTTGATGGAAGGCTTCATCTGAACTTTGAGATAGTCCCAAGAGTAAGCTCGATGAACTATACCCGATCATACTACATGAATGGTAATGACTACATCATCAGTGGAAGCTGCGATGAAAATGTGATCCGTGTTTGTTGTGCTCAAACTGGAAGGCGCCTTAGGGATGTAACCCTAGAGGTAAACTGTTTCTCCTAAGCACTATAAGATGGAAACGCAAAGAAACAATCGTATAATGTATCAACGGTATGAATGTGAGCTGCTACGTGTAGAGAACATATGACCTTACTTTATGTGATTCGGTTTGGCATTGCAGGGAAACGGCTCAGACTTTTCCATGATGTTTGTTCAGTCTCTACGCGGTGACCCCTTCAGGGTAAGTTGACAAAGTTTACCCATCGAATTTCCATTTATAAGAAAGTTTGATGGCATTTTTAAAACTTGTGTATTGCTAATCTCTTGCAGGATTTTAACATGAGTGTTTTAGCTGCTTACACACGGTCAAGCTCAGTGTCTGAAATAGTCAAGGTACATTTCATTATTGAAAACACTGCGTCTGTTGTATGGAATAAAGTTCCCAATTCTTAGAACTGGTGATGACAAAAATGTTTTTGCAGGTGAATTTGTTAGCGTCAAGAGATTCTACAGAAGAACAATCTCATGGTCTCTGTTCATACCCCTCAAATAGCATGGGAGGTTGATGATTAAAACCAAATGAGAGGCTTTACAAAAGAAAACAAGTGACTATTGTATTAACTCTCTTTGGAAACTGTATGATTTGGTATAGGCGTATATTGTTGTATTTAATAGAATACGATGATTATTATAAAAATGATGTAAGAAATAATGAATGAAAATGTTATTTTCTCGTTAATAAACAAAAAATAGTTTAGGTCGAACCACAAATTTTGACTATACTGTATAAGCAAAACTTGAGAAGAAACAAAAACGACGAAAAGGATAACACAAAACCTCTCGTCTTCCCAAATCCACACTCACTGAAAAGTCCCAACAATGGCTCTTTCTTCTGGAATCTTCTCTACGACCTTTCTCTGCGTCGATACGACGCCGTTCCGCAGCTCACTGTTGTCTCCCTCTTCGCTCCGTTTTTCCCCTCACCATCCGGCTAACCTGCGAATGGTTCGTGCTGTAACATCCGCGACGGCGGCTTCCTCCGACCCGACAACCACGACCAAGACCAGGGAGCCACGTGGCATCATGAAGCCTCGTCCAGTGTCCCCGGAGATGCAGGATGTCGTCGGCGTTCCCGAAATCCCTCGCACTCAAGCTCTCAAACGCATTTGGGCTTACATCAAGGAACACGACCTTCAAGTACTCTCTCTCACTTTTACTCTCTCTGAAAGTGGTTTTGCTTTTAGGAAAATTTTCAGTCTCTTGTGGTGATTTCTGTTTAGGGTAAGGATTTTGGGTTTTCGGTGTTTCAGAGGTTTTGCTAGACAAAACTAAAGTGGGTTGTTTGAATTGCTTGTGTGTTTAGATGGAGAGCTTCTAAGAAATGGATCAGGTTTTCTTGTTGTGTCTTGTTATGCACAGTTGAAATCTTGTGGAATTTCATTACTGTTTAGTTTAGACATCTGAAATAGGTTCTTGTGATTAGTCTCTATGTTACTGTATTTGTTTTCTTCATCTTTGTTATGATAAAATTTTGAAGGATTCAAAGGTTTGTGAGATTGAATTTGGGGATTTCAACTTCTTTTGATATGACTGGTTAATTGCTTCAAATTATTTGTTCATTGCTGTGATGATAAACTTTGGTTGACATGTTTTGGTAAGGACTTTTGATGTTCTTTGATCATTGTACTTGACCAATGTGTTACTTGTGCATTTGGGATTATACCTAGACCCTGTGTAATGAATCTTTGTGCTCTGTGTAAAGGAAACAAATCTATACTTGTCGATGCCTGGGGGTTTGCTTTAGTTCACCTTAAGACGTTAGCTTGTACTTTTGTCTCATGTTGTAATCTACTCTTACTTGTTCTGTATAGATTCTCAAGTGTTCATTGTGCTAAAATTTCTACAAAATAAACATCTTTTAAGTCAATACTACTGTATATCTTTAATCTATTTGTGTGAGCTTTGAGGCTAAATGAATAATGTTTCTTCTCCCAGGACCCACAAAACAAGAGGGATATAATCTGCGACGAGAAGCTGAAGAAGATATTTCAAGGCAAAGAACGTGTTGGGTTCTTGGAGATTGCAAAGCTCATTGGTCCTCACTTTCTCTGAATGAATTTTGGCTGAGAGAAGACAAATCATTGGCCTATGTTTTGCTGAGCTTTTAAAGGCCATGAAAGATCAGATTACATATATTAGTAAAATTAGGGTTCTTAGTTTTATGCAACCAAGTAGTTTATAAGCCTTTGGAGGATATCTTTTGTCGGTTATGTGCTCATTTGCTTCCCATTGCAGTTAAAATATTCCTTTTTTTAATGTCTTAGGACTTGAAATCTCTCTACTGCATCGGTTCTTCATATTATCTACCTTGATTTCACATTGTAACCCAACAGAGATGCACAGAATACGCTGACCTCTTCCACCCATAGACGTTTCATGGTCGAGGAAAATTGGCTACACCTACTCTGCAAAGTCTGAGAATTGAGAAAAAAAAATCAATGCAAAACCCAAAACAATAATGAAAGGTAGATAAATTGATCGAAAAGAATCCGTCTCGATTACGTACTTTGGAAATGAGTTTAATCACTCAAAATTTAGGTTTTTTTTTTTTTGAGAAACTGATTTTCTAAATTCTTGAATTTTACAAATTCTATAAGCAAAAACTACGTTATTAATGATAATGATAACTAAAGCTAGATTTATCTAAATTCATAAAAGAATTTAAAAAAAAATAATAATAATATGAAGGGATTAGTATAAGCAAATCCAATCCAAATTGGGAACCGACTCTCTAACCCATCCTAGTCTTTATAAATAGAGAACCTCTAAAGTTTAAAGAGTTCACAAAACCATAAACCAAAAGAAGAGAAGAAAAGAAGCGATGGGTCTCTCTTGGGCACGTAAGTTACTTGTAGTCCTCATGGTTTCTGCGTTCGTCTTCTCCGGTAGTGCTGATGCGTGGAGCTGGAGTTGGGGTTCTGACCAGTCCGGTTCGAACGGGGGTTGGGGATGGAGCTCCGGCAACTCTGGCGGTTCTTCTGGCTCGGGTTCAGGTGGTTCAGACTCCAACTCGGATGGTTCAAGCTGGGGTTGGGGATGGAGCTCGGACGGAACAGATACAAACTGGGGTTGGGGAAGCAGCTCTGGCTCAAACTATTCAAGTGGCACTGGTTCTACACACAATGGTCACAGCTCTGGCTCGAACCATTCAAGAGGCACTACTGGCTCTGCACACAACGGTCACAGCTCTGGCTCAAACCATTCAAGAGGCACTGGCTCTACACACAACGGTCACAGCTCTGGCTCGAACCATTCAAGCGGCACTGGCTCTGCACACAACCGTCACAGCTCTGGCTCGAACCACTCAAGCGGCACTGGCTCTACACATAACAATCACAGCTCTGGCTCAAACCACTCAAGCATCGTTGGTTCTACACACAAGAATCACAGCTCTGGTTCAAACCACTCAAGCGTCGTTGGTCCTACCCACAGCGGTCACAACTCTGGCTCAAACCACTCAAGCATCGTAGGTTCTACACACAACAATCACAGCTCGGGCTCAAACCACTCAAGCATCATTGGTTCTACACACAACCACACGGCTCTATCGGTGGGAAGAAAGATTGCGGTTACTGTATGGAAAAACGGATACGGTTACACAGAATGGACTGCAAAGCATGCCCCATTCTACGTCAACGATGTTCTTGTCTTCACGTACAACAACAATGACCAAACCCAATCCAAGACAAAGCACCACAACAAGAAGAAGAACGACGTCTACTTGCTCCCAGACATGAAGAGCTTCAAGAGATGCGATGTGGCCAGAGGCAAGAAGCTGGCGGCACGAGGAGGTTCATCATTAAGAGGCTTCAAGTTGCTTCTCCGTAAGGTTCAGACTTACTACTTCGCCAGTGGAGACCACAACGGCTGCAACCACAACATGAAGTTCTCTGTCCACCCCATTCTCCACCCTTCTTCACACTAACTTTAAATCCACTTCACGACTTCACCTGTTATTTCCTTTCCTTACTAGCTACATTTGTTACGTATTCAGATTCTGTTGCTCTTTTTTTTTTTTTGTTGTTTCTTATTGTTAAGGCAACTAGTCTTGTTCCAGGCATATAATACACATTCGTTTATGCAATCCACTTTTTTTTTTGTAAATTGCGTTTGGAAATTAAAGTAGAAACTTCTGATACTTCCTACAGAGGCTTCATTGTCTTTATAACTTCTGTACTATACTATCTTTCACGTAAAACAAAACTAGTTCGACCATGGAAAACAATATTCCTTTGACGGAATAATGAATGATTAGTCATCATGACATAGCTTACGGTGCCATATATTATTTTTTTTTTTGTTGAACTTATATACTGTAGGTCTATTTGTACTATATGTCTATATTTCACGTACGAATTATAGAATTTTTTTTTCTTATTACACAATCCAAATGCGTTAACCTTTACTATTAGTTTTCTGGTACTATTATGAAAGAAACAGTAATAAAATAAAAAATCTGTAGTTTACCAAAAAAAAAAATAAAAAATCTGTAAACCGCCATGTAACAATTATTTCTTACGAGTTACGGGCACGACAACGCCAAGTCGCCAAGGAATCTTCCCTTGGTTATCGCATATCCAATATTCCAAATTATACAAATCTTTAATTCTAATAAAAACGTGAGAACAAATTTTAATTCCGAAAACGACGCAAAAAAATAGAGAATGATTCGTCTCCGTTTCAATTTTCTCCGATCTTGTAACCGTCGTCTCTTCCACCGTCTTCCTCGAGTTTTCTCCTCCTCTTCTCCGCCAACCACCGGTTCTTCAGGTCCTTCCTTGAATCTCATTAAACCTAAACTCACACCTTCTCCGCCGCCACACCAATCACGAGGTCTTCTCCGGTCGATTTACACCGTCTCGCCTTCTTCGTCCTTCTCTAAGAAATCCGTTTTTGTTCTCTCTGCCGCCGCTTTATCCACCGCAATTGCATATTCCGCTGTTTTCCCTTCTGATCATGACCCATCTGATCGTAACCCTAGCGGAAACAGACGTATCTACGAGTCTATCGAGGACGCTTTTCAGAAATCCGGAAATTCGTTGAGGAGAGTGATTCACCATGCTAGACAAACCGGTGTTGCGGCTTCGGTTCTGTGGCAGTCGCTTAGGTCGGTGCTCTCTTCAGCTAATCATGAGGTGCGTGCGGGATTCGAGCTACGGGTGGCTGCTCTTTTAGCCGATATAGCGTCTGCAAATGCTGCTCGTAGAGCCGCTCTCGTTGGAGCTGGCAGTGGTGCGGTGGTTGATTGGTTGCTGGAGACGGTGGCCATTCCCGGCGACAGAATTGGGGCACAGGACGAAGCGGCTAGAGCTCTGGCTTATCTTATTGCTGATCCGACTGTGCGGAAAGACGCTCTAGGAAGGCCCGATGCAGTGCCCAAACTGCTGAAGTTCATATTCTCGTGTCAACCAAAAAACAAAAAGGTGCGTTTTGCTTTCATTAGTTGCTTCAAATGATTAAATTCGTAGTTGAAAGCAGTAGATGCTATAGCCTATTAACTGTTCTCGTTATTGAATGGATTAGTCTGGTTAGAGTAATGGATACTGACTAGCCAGCTGATATGAATCTAGGTAGCATTTTTAGGATTTAGAAGAATCAAAGCACATATCTATGATTAGCAAGTAGTAGTTGTAGAACAATGTGTTATATCTCTAGGGTTGTTTATCATGTGTCAAGTTGTAGATTTTTCATTAACAAACGAGAAGCTTTTTGATACATCTGAGTCTTGATACTGCGATGCTTCTGGTTGTGTTTTGCCATTGATATATAGCTTTTCTTTGGGAGCAGCATTCAAGACGTAGTTCATTCGATATTTCTGATTCTTTGAAAGGTAGGAGCATGCTTGTGGCTGCCATAATGGATATCGTCACTTCCAACTGTGACACTATAGAAAAGACACCTTTTAAGTCATCATTACCAGGAAATGCTACAATGAGAGATATTGCTGCGGCAATTCAAGTAATTGAGGAAGGTGGAATGTATTTTGATGAGCCAGAAAAAGATGATGACAGTGACGATGGAAGAAGTGGGATTAAGGGAATTGGAATTAAAATCCTTGAAGGAACCACAGTTCTGGGATTATCAAGAACCAGTGGGCTTGCGCCTTTGGGTGACCTTAATGCTAATGTGGGAGAGGGGACTCCTAAAACATTTGCATTGCTTAGTAAACATGATAATTCTTCACAAGCTAATTTGTCATCTGCTGTCATTCCTGGCCTTTGGGATGATTTACATTGTCAACATGTCGCAGTGCCATTTGCTGCGTGGGCACTGGCAAACTGGGCTATGGCCTCTGATACAAATAGATCGCATATTCAAGAACTCGATCGTGATGGGCAAGTTGTCATGGCAGCTTTAATGGCACCAGAGAGGACTGTGAAGTGGCATGGGAGTTTGGTGGCTCGGTTGTTGTTAGAGGATCTCAATCTTCCATTAAGCGATTCTGTTTCCGACTGGAGTTCCAGTTTGCTTGCCACTGTTTCACATGCCAGTAAAACCGAGGATATCTCTTTGGCTCAAGTTGCGTTGTCTGCCTTTTTAGTTTCTGTTGACAGAAGTGACAAAGCACAGAAGATGGTAATGGAGAAGGGTCTTCATCTGATGAGAGATAGTGCTAGGAAAACAAGAAAGCACAAAGCAGTGCAAGAAGGTTTGTCAAAGGCTCTAGAATTACTCTGTGCTGGTGACATGCATTTATCTCTTGAAGAGAGTCAGAAATGGTCCGGCATTCTACTTTCATGGGTTCTTGGAAAAGTTGCATCTGATACTGTTCAATCTTCAGCAAGAAGAATCCTTTCACGCACTTTTGAGGACTATGGACCACACTCTGTCCCGATTTCTCAGGGATGGTTAACCCTTATAATGAATGAGATTTTGAACCACAGTAAGACGTTGTCAGCTAAAGGAGCTAGCCTACCTAAAAACGAGAAACCTAAGGTGCGTAAAATTTTATGGTCATTGATTCTATATCTATCTGAACAGCGGATAGTTAAGAATTATGTCTATTTTAGTTTCGTTACATCTTTCAGTTTTAGATTTATAATAATAGCTATTTTCTTTCGCATGCAGGTAGATCAGTCCAAAGTTACTTCTGCTACTCAGTCAACCAACCAGTTAGCAGGGGCTGTTGTTAATCTTGCCATGGCTCAACTGGGTACAGTCCCAGATTCTGTTAATAATGTTCCACTGGCAGATCTACTCCTTTCAGAGCCTTTTGCGGTACCGATTAAGAATTTAAAGAAGGATAGCCCCCCTAAATTTAATGCTGCTGAGTCTGCATTGGCAACCCTTAAGGCAATCAAGTCACTGACGGATGTTTGTGCTGAAGATTCTGTATGCCAGAACAAAATAGTTGATTTTGGTATTCTTTGTTTACTAAGGCGCTTTCTGTTAAGTGATGATTATGAAAAGCTAGGTGCAATAGAAGCTTATGATGCATCCAGAGCCCTTGAGGCTCGAGAGCGAACTCCAGATAGTCTTGGTGAATCTTCAGTCACAGATATTCAGGATCCATGTAGTGTCAGAGTCCCAGCTAGTGCGCACATCCGAAGGCATGCTGCTAGATTGCTAACCATTCTTTCGCTTCTTCCGCAAGTCCAGAAAATCATTTTAGCTGATGAAACTTGGTGCAAATGGCTTGATGATTGTGCAAAAGGAAATATTTCTGGTTGCAATGACCCTAAGACACAAAGTTTTGCGAGGGCGTCTCTGTTAAATGTATATTGCAATCAGCAAGATGGTAGTGGATCTGGAAATGGTGGCAGTTCCAAGCCAGACATCTCAAACATGAACAGTAACTGTCCTCGCTATGGAGACATGATATTTTTAATTAATCCCGGACTACCCCATTGGAAGTGTCCTGAAAAAGAACATCAAAGTGCTAAGAATAACGAATCCTCAAGTGAAGGTGAACCAGCAAATGTTGCTGATACAGACCATGTTGTTGATGCTAGCAATCTGTCTGGCTCCATGGATCCTTCCAGTAGTGGTTCGCATGTACATGATCCTGAATTTGATGTTATCTTTCTTCATGGCTTGCGTGGCGGGCCCTTTAAAACTTGGCGAATTGCTGAGGATAAGTCCTCTACCAAATCTGGCTTGGTGGAGAAGATTGACCAGGAAGCAGGAAAGCTGGGAACATTTTGGCCGAGTGAGTGGCTTTCAAATGATTTCCCTCAAGCTCGCTTGTTTACCCTTAAATACAAGGTATGTATGAGTTTCAGCCTATTTGTATGCATGCTTATACCTACTCTATGAGGATCTTTGTTGCTGCTTGTTCGATCTATTTGCTGTGTACACATCTGTTCCCTGGTGCATTGATGGTTCCCATTTTGATTCTCGTCGAAATATTTGATACAGACAAACCTCACGGAATGGTCTGGAGCTAGCTTGCCTCTTCAGGTACTTTCTTTATTATTAATTGTTTCAGGAAATTATACCTTCTTTTTTATTCTTGTGAGTAGTATCCTGCGGTAATTCTTTTAGAAATGAAAACACTTACACAGTTATACCCTTAATATATGTTAAACACTAGTTCAGATATAAGCTTGCTGCAGTTTTAGAACCTAACAACAGTATATATGATCAGAGGAGTTAACAAAAGAGTGGAGGATTGTATCTGCACATTTGTATATTTTGAGAGGTCTTGACATGAGCTTCAGTCTTTGTCAGTTAAACTGGCATAATTTTAAATCTACTGCTAAGGTTTAGGATTATTTGCCATTAGTATGGATTTGTTGAACAATTGTTGTCGTTTTTTCCTGGAAATGGGGTCATAGTTAAATGAGTGATTATTGATGACAGACAGTTAGTGTACTCTACACTTCATCTCATTATCACTTAGCCTGCAGTTTCTTTTGTTGATGATGTAATTTTGCTAATTTGCAGGAAGTTAGTTCTATGATATTGGAAAAGCTTGTCTCGGCAGGCATTGGAGACCGACCTGTTGTTTTTGTGACTCACAGGTCTGAAATCTCATATGGTACCTGACAATAGATATTTCCCTTTTGCAAACTTATTTGTCCTGTCTAGTGTAATCAGTGATTTATACTGGCTGGTTTGTTAATTGTTAAGGCTTATACATCTTGATGTTTTTCTCAGTAATGAATTATTTCATTGAATTTACATGTCGTCTTCTCGAACATCAATACATAAATTTTGATCAAGTAAAGTTCATGTTGCAGTATGGGAGGCCTTGTCGTGAAGCAGATTCTACACAAAGCAAAGGAAGAAAAACTTGATAAACTAGTGAATAACACTGCTGGAGTTGTATGTATCAACGCATCATACATTTCTGGTTTTCTGTTATCTTAAGCATCATATTTCTCTATCTTCTTGAGTTTTGACTTAGCGAATTAGCTATTTGAAAATAATGTCAATATCTCTTACCTCACTGTCAGGTATTCTACAGTTGCCCACATTTTGGCAGCAAGCTAGCAGATATGCCCTGGCGAATGGGTCTTGTGTTGCGCCCGGCTCCATCTGTTAGTAAACACTTTTTCTTTATTGAGCTGACTTAATCCTTTACACCATCACCAAATTTCTCTCTATCTAATGAGCCTTATGGATGATGAATTGTGATAGATAGGAGAGCTACGAAGTGGTTCTCCAAGACTAGTTGAGCTCAATGACTTGCTTCGCCAGCTCCACAAGAAAGGGGTTGTTGAAGTCCTTAGTTTCTGTGAGGTTGTGGATATATTCTATTACACTTGCTAGTCTCTTTAGATTGTAACATTACATGACTCTTTTCGAATAACTCTGTGGTGAATGTTTATCCTGTAACTGCAGACAAAAGTAACCCCAATAGTGGAAGGCTATGGAGGATGGGCTTTTCGAATGGAAATCGTGCCGATTGAATCAGCCTACCCAGGATTTGGTGAACTTGTTGTAAGTATCTCCATTTATAAAATCCCTTAATAAAGGCTTAAGTATAATGTCAAACACCAAAACTGTTGGTTTTACTTGAATATGTGACGCACAGGTGTTGGAGTCAACAGACCATATAAATTCATGTAAACCACTGAGCCGCTCGGATCCGTCATATACTGAGGCTTTGCAGTTCCTGCGCAAGCTCAGCGCACAGCGATCAAAACCTCATGTTAAACGGGAATCTGGGATACATGATTGATTAACCACGGTTAGGTTAACCGAAGATGAACCAAGGAAATTGGTTTGGGCTAATTGACGCTATAGTTTTTTCATATCTCGTGTGTACATAAGAAGAAACACGCTTAGGTTCTTTTGTTTCATTTTACACATTGTTTCATTTGTATTACTGAATTACGCTTGAAGTAAATATAAAAGATTCTCAATTTCATTGCCAGTTTTTTAGTTATGATCAATCAACCCTTAATAAGTAACAACGAAGAAATTTCAAATTTGCTTTAGAAAAAGAGCGAACGAGGAAGATAAAAAGAATCACGTGACTTGTGGAAGCAAGGCAAGGCAACGCGTTACAAACCACGTGACGTAGCGTATTGGTGGCAATTTCCCAAATTTCCTCAGAATACTTACTTTAGAGCAGCAACCCAATTATCATATGACGCGTGTCCCACGTTTACTTCGTCCTCTGTCTTATAACAACAAACAAAACAAACCACTCCGAATTTTCTGGTATTATTACTAAATTGCCATTATGTCGTACTGTAGTTGTGTTTTTTCTTAAATCTGACGAAAGAATGAATGTTGGAAGAGTAAAAAGAAAATGTTATATATTTGTCCACAACATTAATAAAATGGTTTCACTATCACATCTGTGATCTATCTGAAGTGATACACTGAGAATACATTTATTAATTTTTCTTCCTACAACAAACTATTCATAGATGACCTCATATAATTCCATTTAATTCTGCATGAAATGCTTAGACCATCCGTAGTGGTGCATCCATCCGTCGGGTGTTAGTAATTTAAAATAGATAAATATTGCAAAAGGAGGAGAGAGACAGAAAAAGATTCATATCTCGGGTGTTATCCTACACTCGAATGTTAGTGAGACGTGGCGTTGTTTGAGTGGAAAAGGAAGAGAGAGACAGAGAGAGAAACTGAGGGTGACGAGAGAGACAGAGAGAGAAACTGAGGGTAAACTTTTTTTTTATTTATTTTTCTTTCCTTATTTTAAAAATTTAAATCTCTGAGATATATCTCAGCACATGTCCCGCTGTGTATGCCGTTATGCAATTTTCTAAATGAGAAGTAAAAAGAGCATGATTAAGGCTTAAGGGTATTTTGGTCAATGTCTAAGAGATAGTTGTTTTCAAGACTTGTTCTCCAAGCCGGTAGTGCAAGATCTCGTTAAGTATAAAAAGGGAAGCTGAGGAAAACAATTTTGATACTTTTGAGACGGAGAGAGATATATACAACTTAGAAGAGAAGCTTTAAGGTTTTCAGTTCTGCGCAACACCACTCCTTAATTAAGGTATACAATGGATTTATGTGTTCATCTCTTTTAATCATTAGTTAATCTTAAGTAATTAACCATCATACTTCATTCAAGCAAGCTCTAATTATTAACGTAAGATTCACCAATTAGTGTATCCTTCTTTTTTTTTTTTGAATGGTTGATATAAATGGAGTCAGTGAATTAAAGATGAATGAGATATGGAAAATAAATGAATATCTTTACTTAAATCATTCCTCTGCATAGTAGAGGAATACTTTTCAAAAAAAATTTAGTGGCATGTTTATTTCATTTTATGTAAATGAAATAAAAGAGAGGAAAAGAAGAAGAAAATGGATCTTCAAACTTCAAAGTTATTATTATTCGAATTAAAGTTTGTAAATTTTTTGGTAAAAAAGGTGGAAGCTTGTTTAGAACATTTACTCAGTTACTCGCTCATCAAAATCTTTTATATATTTTATTTTGGGTATAATCTTGTTTTCTTTTCACACATCGATTTCGGGTAACCTAGTTATAGTATCATCTCATTGTTTTGCATTATGCACACACTACATCGATCAGCATATCACTAATCATGTACAAATTATATCATCACGATTTTTACCCAACACTGACACACTTATTTGGAAAATCCCATACGTATGCAAAAGTGCGTGTCTTGATAACAATAACTACATGTTATATTGTTAGAGCATGATTAACAATGGTATCTTGAAAATGGTTCTTAGAAGTATTAAAGTTAAGAACTCTTAGTTTTGGGTCTTAGCTAAGCCACTTTTCTTAGTTTTGGGTCTTAGCTAAGCCATATTTCTTACTTAAGAACTCTTTAAGATACCCTTGTTAATGGTGGTCTTATTGATTAGAAATATTTCGTTGAATAGAATGATATATATAGGCTGATAGTTTCTTCCTAAAAGTGTTTTTTTTTTTTTCTTTGGTGTGCCTCGTTTTTTGTTTGTTGCTTAATCTACATTTATACTCAACCCATTAGCCGCCCTATATAATATACACATATTTATGCATGAATTTTAATTGTGTGATGCCCCATTGCTTTTAATCTTGAAATTGTTAGAAATTAAGGAGAATATCTAGCGAGAGATAACAAAAATATATTGCTATATGCTGCATTTTTTATATTAAACAAGTCAGCACAATTAAATACGAGACTTAACGTGTAAGAACTTAAATAACACACATTGTCACATACCATTTCGGGTAGGGCCATATACAGTTTAATCGTCACAATTCACATCGTCGTATCGATTATTATCACGTTTGAGAAGATCAGAAGAATAATTATACTACTAAACTCTATGTGTAGATTAATGTCAGTATAATATATAGAAATACAACTAACTAATAAGATAAGGAGTTAATGACTCATCAGTGATTATATCTAATTATATCTATATAATATTGTCTAACTCCAAACTCCAAAGCATGAAAAACTAAAATAGTACGTAACATTTTTAGCCATTACATTATATATAGTTTAGTGAGTAAATACATTTTATCAGGTTATATATGTAAATGCAACAATATTTTGTAGTTCTTTGACAAACAAAAAAAACAATATTTTTTAGTTCTTTAACAACGAATAAAACAATAATTTGTAGTGTCAATACATAGAAAGATTGTGTGTGTTTTTTTTTTCCTTCAAAGAGGGAAATTGTGAATACGTTACATACTGGTGACGCACACAAAAACAAAAACAAATTATATAGAATACGTTTAATATCAATTTGACACGCACACAAAAACAAAAACAGTAGATTATGAAAAAAATGATTTGTAATGTAAGTATTGGCGTAGGCCAAAAGGCGGCTTAAGTAGAGGAGAGTAAACGTTTGCTTCCCGCGTTATACAAAGCCCTAATTCTCATCATCATAATGCGTGCAAGCTATTTTCCATTTCCTTTAACGATTCTCATTCTTACTCTCTTCAAGCTTCTTCTTTCTTTCCCCATCTTATATCTTTTATATTCATTATTTTTTTCCCTTTTTCTCTCCCAAATCTTTTTTTTCTTTTCCCGGAAAATTCTCTCTGTTGTTTTTGTTGTCTCCTCTCTTGATAAGCTCGACCAAGTTTATCTCTTTCTCGCTAATCATTTCTCTTTTAACTTCTTTTTTTTTTTTTTTTTTTTTTTTTTTTTTTTTTTTTTTTCTCTTTTAACTTCTCTCATAGTTGAACCATTTTGTTTTAATTAGTATAAAGATATTCTTCTTCATTCTCTTGTACGCATTTCTATGTTAAAAACGCAGTTCTATCATAAAAGTTATTATTACTTGAGCTCAATCTTCATTGGTTTATTGATATCTTCAGATCAATTGAATTACGACGTTCTAATGGGAAACCAAACAAGCAAAAAGTCACAAGAGACATCGGCTAAGAGCGTGCACTACACAACGGAGCTGAGATCGTACGAGGCCGCGTGCAAAGCAGACACGGAGCTTCAATCTTTCGACACGTGTTTGCAAGCACGGACAAGTCACGTGATAAGCACGCTAGCTACGGGCGTTGAGGTTCGAGCGCTCTCGTTCGATTCCTTGAAAGAAGTGACGCAGTGTTTGTTGGAGATGAACCAAGAAGTGGTGAAAGTGATATTGGATTGCAAGAAAGACATTTGGAAGAATCAAGAAATGTTTGAGCTTGTCGAAGATTACTTTGAGAATAGCTTGAAGACACTTGATTTCTGTGCTGCTCTGGAGAAAGGCTTGAGACGAGCTCGTGATAGTCATCTTTTGATTCTTGTTGCTCTTCAGCAGTTTGAAGATGAGAGCCTTGTTCAAGGTAAGACTTTTCTTTCTTTCTTGTTTTTCATGGTTTTAATTAAGGATGGGAGTTGAACCAAAAAAAAAAATTAGGTATGGGAGAAATAAAGTTTTATCTTGTCTTGTCTAAAAATGAACAAACAAAAATTAGTCCTGATTTTATGTCTTTTTTTTCAGAATTATTGTGTCCTAATTATTTAATTTTTTGACTTTAACACTCATCTTTTTTGGTTGGCAGGTGGGAATGGATACAAGAATACACTTGAAGAGCTAAAGAATTTCAAAGACGCAGAGAGTCCCTTCAATGAAGACTTCTTCAAAATGTTCCAATCTGTTTACAAACAGCAGATGCTGATGCTTGAGAAGCTTCAGCTTCGTAAGAACAAGCTTGACAAGAAGCTTAAATGCATCCATACATGGAGGAAACTCTCTAGCATCATCTTTGTGGCTACCTTTGCCACTGTGCTCATCTGCTCTGTTGTGGCTGCAGCCATGGCAGCTCCTCCTGTGGCTGCGGCTCTCGCTGCAGCTACAGCCGTGCCGCTAGGCTCAATGGGGAAATGGATCGACTCGCTGTGGAAGAACTATGAGAATGCACTCAAAGGACAAAAAGAAGTGATCAGTTCGATGCAGGCAGGAACATTTGTGGCGGTTAAAGATTTGGATAATATCCGCGTTTTGATCGAACGGTTGGAGATTGAGATCACGGGGATGGTGAAGAGTGCGGAGTTCGCGGTGGAGCATAACGCAGTCAAGATTGGGATTGATGATATAAAGAAGAAACTTGAGGTGTTTAAGAAGAATGTTGAAGAATTGGGGACTCAAGCTGATTTGTGTAGCAGAGATATAAGAAGGGCAAGGACTGTGATTCTTCAGAGGATCATCAAGCATCCTAATATTGCTAGTAGTAGCACTTGAATAATGAAATTCTTGAAGACTCTATAAAGAATAGTAAAGATTCTTTCTGAGTTAATACTATCCAATGTTTAATAACTCGAAAATGTTTATGATGCATCTATATATGTTGCTTTTTCTGTATTCTTTGATGATTGAAACTTGAAACAATTAATGGGAGTCAAGTCTTTTCATATTTGAGACTATCGATCAGTCACTCCTACGATCAGTCACTCCTACGATCACTCTTAATCCTAGCTAAAGCTATATTGAATTCGTCAAATTAATATAATAAAAATCTCAAATTAAATTTAAAATTGTGGCAAATATGAAATATCAATGGCTTTTAATTTTTTAATTTATGAGATATGGATTTTTAATATCAAATTAAATTTTTTAAAAATAAGATGAGAAAATATTAATAGCTTTTAAGTTTTGTTAATTTTAAAATCTAAAAATTATTATTATATTTACTCTCTTTTTTTTTGTCAACATTATATTTACTCTTATATATATGTATTAAATTAATCACTAATTATATAATAGTTATGTAAGTAAAACCAACTAATACATATTAATCATTATATGCATAAAATTATATAATAATCTCATTATATATTATTTGTATAAATCAATCACTAATTACACATTAGTCATGTGGATGCATATAATTACATCAGAATAGAGAAAAGCTAACTTTATATTATGTAAATTACACATCTCTCTCTATATAAATATGTATACAAGTTTTTTCTCTTTGTCTCTCCCAAATCTATTTTCTTTTCGTGTGTTTGTTGCCTCTCCTGGTACGCCCAACCAAGTTTATCTTTTTTCTCACTAATCATTTCTCTCAATCTCGACCTAATTAAGCTGTTGTTTTAGTCTATAGATTCTTCTTCAATCTATAAAAACGCATTTCTATATGTTTTAAATGCATTTTTATCATAAGATTTACTTGAGCTCAATCTTCATTGGTTGATCTGTTTTATTCATGTCTTCAGAATCGAACGCGGAACTGCGTTACAATGGGAAACAAAACAAGCAGAAGGTCAAAGGAGACATCGGCTAGGAACTACACAACGGAACTGAGATCGTACGAGGCAGCATGTAAAGAAGACATGGAGATTCAGTCTTTCGATAAGCGTATGCAGGCACGGACGAGTCACGTGATAAGCACGCTAGCTACAGGCGTTGAGGTTCGAGCGCTCTCGTTTGATTCCCTCAAAGTAGTGACGGAGTGTTTACTGGACATGAACCAAGAAGTTGTGAAAGTGATATTGGATAGCAAGAAAGACATTTGGAAGAATCAAGAAATGTTTGAGCTCGTCGAAGATTACTTAGCGACTAGCTTGAAGACGCTCGACTTCTGTGATGCTTTGGAGAGAGGCCTGCAACGAGTTCGTGTTAGTCACCTTTTGATTCTTGGTGCTCTTCATCAGTTTGAAGAAGAGAACCTTAGTCAAGGTAAGACTTTTCTTTATCTTCTCTTTTTTGTTTTTTTGCTGTTTTTGACTTTAACACTCATCTTTTTTCTGGCTCGCAGATGGGAACGGATACAAGAAGACACTTGAAGAGCTGAAGAGGTTCAAAGACACAGAGAGACCTTTCGACCAAGACTTCATTAAGATGTTCCAATCTGTTTACAAGCAGCAGATGCTGATGCTCGAGAAGCTTCAGCTTTGTAAGAAAAAGCTCGACAAGAAGCTCAAGCGCATCCACACATGGCGAAAAGTCTCCAGCATCATCTTCATGGCTACCTTTGCCACTATGGTCATCTGCTCTGTTGTGGCTGCAGCTATGGCGGCTCCTCCTGTGGCTGCGGCTCTTGCTGCAGCTATGGCGCCACTGGGTTCCATGGGGAAATGGATCGACTCACTGTGGAAGAACTATGAGAATGCAATCAAAGGGCAGAAAGAGGTGATCAGTTCGATGCAGGCGGGGACATATGTGGCGGTTAAGGATTTAGATAATATCCGGGATTTGATTGAACGGTTGGATATTGAGATCAGGGGGATGGTGAAGAATGCAGAATTCGCGGTGGAGCATGATGCAGTCAAGATTGGGATCAATGCGATAAAGAAGAAGCTTGAGGTGTTTCAGAAGAATGTAGAGGCGTTGGGGACTCAGGCTGATATTTGTAGCAGAGAAATTATAAAGGCAAGGACCGTAATTATCCAGAGGATCCTTAATCATCCCGATAATGGTAGTTGCAGCACCTGAAACACACAAAAGGAACTACCCAGTTTCTCTCATCTTTAGCTTCCTGCTACAAATTATGAAATGCTCAAAGACAATAAATAATAGTACATATTCTTTCTGAATTTTATACTATCAAAGTCCAATAACTCAAAACTGTTTATGATGATTGTTGCATTTTCTATATTCTTTGATGATTGATAACAATGGGAGAGAAGACTTTCACATTTGAGACTATCAAAATGATGGTTCTCCCAGGAGTCTATATATACTGATATCAGAGTGGTGGGCTAATATACTAAAAACTAAATCATAAGTTCGGAATCTGAAAACTAGGGTGTTAGTTAAAGGAACTGTGATAGGATTCAGTTCTCGTAAACTCTTTCGTTACGAAAGAAGTACACCATAGAAGAGACTTGATTAACGAGAGAAGTCTATTAACTCTCGCCCAGTGCCCAAACCAAAATCCTACATTAATCCACAATGCCCCAACTCAATAAACTAGCTTTCCTTTCTAACCTCCAGCTCTCAACTAATTGACATAAGGTCTGTTACTGAGCTGGCATAATCTTGATTCTGATACAGTGATATGTTTCACATAAACATCATGATACAAAACACATGTCGACAAAAGAAAATATACTTACCTCAGACCACTTGACTTGGTTTGGAAATATAGTAATGATACAAGACTTAACTCTTTCCACACTGGTCCCCGGCTCCCACTAATGGGACATGAAACTGAAACTAACATAGAGTTATGTAACAAGCATCTCCATGAGAAAATACATATCAACTGCTTAAAAGATAGGTTAGAAATTCTCATTCTTTTAGTCACAAAATCATAATCATAACATAGGCCTGTAAAGAAAAGTTACAAATCACAATTTTAAAACTACGCTTCACAAACTGTAATGAATCACTTATTTTACAACTGATTGAGGTCTACTGGGTTCTCCATACACTGTCTCAAAATGAACTCCGCTCTCCTTCTTTTGTCATCTCTATCCTCCTCACGCACAAAGGATAAGGGTCTATCTTCACCCTTCATCTGTAGACTTAGATCCAACGGTTGTCCGAGAAATTTCTTCTCAGTTCTGAGCTTAGAAAGAGCAACAGGTTTTTTCTTCTTCCATTCAGTATGAGCTTCACTAGAAAACCCATCTCTTGCAGCCTCCATGGCAGGAGCAAATGCCTCTATCACTGATAGACCATCTCTATTCAATGATTCGACTTTCTCCTCGGATATCGAAGGTGATACAGAACGCATTTCACTCTCGTCTTCTCTCATTTCTTCTTTCACACTATCCATATCTCCCCACACAGGATTCCTTGAGGAGAGTTTACAAACAAGTTTCCTCTGCAAACTCAACAAAGCTCTCTCAGCCTTCCGCCTCTGCCTCGCTTGCTCAATCTTATCCCCCCTCGGATCTGATACCCTTTCGATCCACATAGGTGTTTCCTTATAAGTATGAGGATCAGGAAAAGCTGGTAGCCACAAAGGAATATGTTTTCCTGGTGGAGTTTCACCAATTTCAACAAAGCTTGGGATCAAATTCCTACTCCTATCACTTATAGCTACAGGAAATCGCGGCAATGGCTGCGAAAACGGGATTTCTTCACTCGAATTAACGTAATCAATAATCTCCCTAAGTTTAACCGAACGCCCTAATGAACAACTCTCAGAAGAAATTCCTTCTTTGCCATCATCAGTCAAATCATCCAAAGCCAGAATGATATCGAACACGTTACACTGACTCCTACCAGTTAGATTAGCGAAGGAAGTAGCAGTTTTACCTAGCTGAAGAATGTACTGGAGTGCGAATCCAGCTAGAGATTCGAGAGCTGAATCTTTGAAATGCTCGTATCCGACGCTCTCGCAGACCTGAGCTACTGCAGCTTTAGCGGCGGCGTGGCTAAACTCGTAGGACTCGGAACATCCCGAGGAAGAAGCGGCCTCGTTCTTATCACCTTCTTGAGCTCTCTCTGTACTCATCGCTCGAAATTGTTTCAAAAAGCTATCTAATCCCTGAAATTAGGGTTTTCTCGTCGGTAAGACCACATTTACCGCCGGTACAAAGAGAAGCGAAGAAATTTGCCTCCGTCAACGGAAAAGACCTAACGACGACGAAGCACCGGGAAGAGAGAAAGAGAGAGATGGTTAGGAAGGAGAAATGGGTCTTGAGAATTCTGCGATCTCTCGCTTATATAGAGCTCCAGCCCCAAAATTAACTACCAACTTTTTTTTAAGACCAAATTTTGTTCTAAAAATAAACAGATGTAAATTCTAGTAATCATAAACCAAAATTTTAATGGAAAATTTATGAAACTAGTTTAGGAATTCTCGTGGCTGATTCCATTGAAAATGAGTTTTCCCGCGATATTCCGTTACATTGTTTGGTAAATTTCTGAAATTAGTTTAGAAACTCGCATGGCTAATTTTGTTAAAAATGAGTTCTCCCGCGATATTTCGTTACATTGTTTGAAAAATTTATAAAACTAGTTTAGAAACTCGCGTGGCTCATTTTGTTGAAAATGAGTTCTTCCGCGATATCGTGGAGACTCATAACCTAGTAGTTTTATTGACAACCTCTTGGTAGTGCCAGCCTTATACAGTCTTAAGTTCTATATATCAGTCTAATTACGATTATGGTAAGAACATTAAATGGAGTAATATATCAGTCTAATTACGATTATGGTAAGAACATTAAATGGAGTAATATGAACAAGGATGTTGACTTTGAATTACAAACCTCTTACAAAAGTTACAAAGGCAAATCATAAGATAAAACTACATATATATTTTATTACACTCTTGACATAACAAACAATATTTGAATCCGGTCACAAGGCCGAATCAAGCCAGCTGCAACAACTCTTCACGTTTAATGTCGAACACCTTCACCAAAGCATCTTCCACGACCTGCAAATTTTCATATATTTTTTTCACGCATGTTCGTGTGGGAAACAAGAGAACCAAAATAGCTGCATTGCATATATATTTACCTTATCTGGGGTTGATGCACCTGATGTCACACCGATGGTTATCGGTCCCTTTGGCAGAAAATTTTCCTTCTCGACCAGTTCTCCATACTATCAATGTAAATAGAATAAAAGATCAGTGAAAGCAGTTTGGTAAGGAGTGAGTTAGTTTTGAAATGCACTTACATGGAGCTTAGATGCTATTTTGTTCCCAGGTCCTATCCGTTTCTCACTGTCGATCCAGTATGATGGGATTCCCCGTGCCTCTGCGATTTCCTGAAGGTGAGAGGTATTACTTGAATTCCACCCGCCGACCACTAGCATGAGGTCAATCTTCTCTTCCACTAGTTCATAGATTGCGTCTTGTCGCTCCTGAAAAGATAATAGGATTGATGAATAAACACTTCCATAAGTGTAAAACTTATCTATATGCATGATTTTGAGGTATGTGAAATTTACTTGAGTAGCGTCGCATATTGTGTTGAAGCTGATGAAATGTCCGTTTACATTTTCCACTCCATACTTGCGCATCATTGTTCTCTCAAGTAATTTTCCTGTGTGGTTTTTGGCATGAGACTCAAACTAAGGTGTTTTTGTTTCCAAGGATAAAAGATGATTCTCATGTAAAAAAAACGGTAGAGTAACTAACCTATCTCCTCTGTTTCTCCCTTAAGCATCGTTGTTTGGTTTGCAATACCAACTTTGACAAGGTCATGGTCCGGATCAAAACCTTTCGAAACTGCGTATTTGAATTTCTACAACGCCAACACAGAGATTAGAACAACCAGATTGATACAAAGAATTTGCAAAATAAGCTTACATACCTCCATGAACTCCTCTTTTGTGGAGCTAGATCCATCATATTGGCCACCGAGAATGTAATCACAAACGTAATTCGCCTGTGCTCAGTAATAAGGTACCCCATCAGTAACAAATCTGGCAAAATTCTATGGATATCAAAAGTTTGACAGTATAAAAGTCACACCTCTTTCATGTTCTTTACAATGATGTACTTTCCTGCAAAAGACGCAGTTGCAATCGTCTCTTCATGATTATATTTACCATGAATTACTGATGTGTATTCCCCCTTCTTGTGCTTCTCAACCGTGTTCCAGACCTTTAGAGTCACAAATGTCAAAAAGGAAGACATCAATAACCTATGCTAGAGATGAATGCAAGAAACAATATCACGGATTTATGCCAACAGGAGGAATGTACCTTTGTCACCCAAGGACAAGTCGTGTCGACAATTTGCACCTTTTTATTATTAAGAACATACATCTCATCAACCCCAGCTCCAAACGCAGGAAGGATAACCACATCATCTTTCTCTACTACATCAAACTGCTTCTTTGAATCCTCAACGGGAATAATTTTAACATCCATATCTTCCAACCTCTGCCATCAAACTCAAAGAAATTCAGCAAGGCTCTTGAATGTTCAATACAATTCAACTACACCAATTGGCCACAAAGCAAAAGCATCTGGCTAACAAAGTTACAAAAGGAGACTTAACAAACTACCAGAGATTGTACAGTAAGGTTATTGATTATAGTGATTACAAACCTTATTGACGGTCGGGTTATGAATAATTTCGTTAGTAATCCAAAGCCTCTCCTCAGGAAACTGCTTTCTTGCTTCATATGCAATCTGAACAGCACGCTCAACACCCCAGCAAAAACCATAAGCTTTAGCGAGTTTCACAGTAACATCTCCCCAAGAATAAGTATACCCATTCGTTTTCAGTGTCTCCAATATATCACCTGAGAGTGTCAAATACAATAACAAGATAAATCACCATCCAATTGATTCTTTTTCCTCATAACAATCTCTTATAAATCCACAAAGATACAACTTTTCCCTCTTCAATCCTGTTAGACTTGCCAAAACAATTTCTAATCCAAAACCCAATATTGTGGTCTTCACTATTCGAAAGTCTTAACCTTTTTTCAACAACAAACCCAAATTTCATTAATTTCATAACAGCTCAATCAAACCTTTGAATTCACTTAACCAAAACAGAGCATGCAAATCAGCAAAATTGGGGAATACTTACTGGTGTACTCTCGATTCATGAGCTTGAGTGTCTCCTCCTTGTGACCGAACCCTTTACGATTGTAATTCTCGCTTCTCGTCAAGTTCTTACGGAACACCTTCGCATCAAAATCGGAGTCCATCACCACCGATGGCGAAGGAGCGTTCTCATCACCAGACGAGCATCGGACTGATAAAGCTTTCCGGCGCCGGAAAGATCCGGATCCAGAGAGATGATTCTCCAGCACGAAAGTATCCGGCCGCACGCATAATCGGCAGAATTGGAGCGCAACAGCCATGGAGAGAGTTCGAGAGAAACGCACAAGCAAGCAAGACGCTGACTGTTAAATTCAATGGATGATGATGGTCCACGAGTTATCTCAAAGCCTCTTCTACATTTATAATAAATTAATTAAATAGAGATGTCAAATAAAATAAAATAAAAATCAATAATAATTAGTGTATTTTCATATTTTGGATAATATACAAAGAAGTGTATTTGGGAATTAGTGTAAAATGCAACGAACCACTTGCAATTGGACATATGTAAAAAATTTATTGTCTTATTTTTTTGGGATTTGATTTCATATTTGGTGAATATAATGGAAAGAGATGTATCCTATTGAAAGATGAAAGAGCGTACCCACGCCACAAAAAAATAGGTAGCGATTAGCGAAAGTGAAAGTCTTGCAGTCGCAAATTTATGGTTAAACTCTTTTCTTTTATGATGTGTGATTGATACTGAATATTAGATTTTGATTTGTCACCTTGTCAACTACACATGTTTCATGGATAATAAGAAAATTTGTAATAAAAACAAGAATATTCATTTTTGATAATGGCATATTTTTCATAGACAACAACATACACACATAGAAAATGTCCTAATCGGATAGGATAAGTGTCGTACAAAACAAGGAAAATAAAGAATTGAGTTCATGTCACAGGCAAAATAAGTCTGCTGATCTTAAATGATTTGGACAAAAGTAATCCGTTAAGACGAAAATAAAACACACAGACTTTATGGTAATAAGACTACTCAAAAAAAGACAACTAAAGCAGAGAACTAGAATCACATGGGGTTGTAGTCATCAAAAAATAACATGGGCTTGTAAGAAAATCACATGGGTTTGAGACATGTACCAGGTTTTATTAGGCCCATATGTTACAACAAGACCGCTTAAGTCTCAAGCTTTTTATGCCCAGATCAAGTCAATTAATTAACTCAATTCCATAGAGTTTAGTTAACCATTTTTTTGCCAATTGATAGTGTGATTAGTGAAAGGGGTTTAGGGTTTATCCTGAGCTGATAAGGATTAAGGAGAATCAAACCAAGTCCAGCTATGGAGAATCAAAATTCGAACCCGGAGACAAATTCCGTTGGTCCTCCTTCTGCTCTGACCTACCTCGATCCTCACTACTGGTAATCATGAATTGCATTCAGCTACAAGTAGAACAATCTCTCTCCCTCTCTCTTTCCTGTGTTTCTGAATTTCTTGGAAAAATGCAGGGACGAGAGGTTTTCTTCTGAAGAACACTATGAATGGTTCAAGGACTACTCTCATTTCCAGCATCTCATCAAATCCAACATAAAAACCTCTTCTTCCGTACCATTCCATCTCTCTTTTGTTAATAATCTCTTGATGATTGTTCGTGTTCGGACATAAGTATATCTTAAGTTTATATTGCAAAAGATGTGATTTTGAGATTTGCCTGTTGTTGTGATAAAGGTCTTGGAATTAGGATGTGGGAACTCTCAGTTGTGTGAAGAGTTGTATAAGGATGGGATTGTTGATATTACCTGCATTGATTTATCTTCTGTTGCGGTAGAGAAGATGCAGAGTCGGTTGCTATCAAAAGGGTACAAAGGTATGGCTTAAGTTATCATTTGTTTGAGTAGTTCTGTAGGCATGAATGTAGTGAAGAACTAGAGTTGATAATGATTTCGTTTCTTCTTCTGAAAAACTAGACATTGAGAATAGTCTATATAAAATTATACTGCTGCTTTGTTTTGCTGGTTGAAGTAAAAGTTCATTGGATCTTACACTTGTTGTGTTGATATTTGACGTGAGACTTTGATATATTCAGAAATAAAAGTGATGCAAGCTAACATGCTAGACCTCCCATTTGACAGCGAGTCTTTTGATGTCGTTATTGAGAAAGGGACCATGGTAAGTCCTGTAACTGAGCTAAAACTTTCTTTTGATCCATTGTTTGTTTAGGACTTCAGATTTTTCAATGTTGTTTTGAAGGGTATATTTTCTTGAATTTTTAAGGAGAGATAGCTCATGATTTGCCCCTTTTTAAAAATAATTTTGTGTAGGATGTACTGTTTGTGGATGCTGGTGATCCATGGAATCCCCGTCCAGAAACTGTTAGCAAAGTCATGGCAACTCTTGATGGAGTTCACCGGGTTTTGAAACCAGATGGCATTTTCATTTCCATTACTTTTGGCCAGGTCTTAAACGAAAATACCTGGTATTATTTTCTTACATTTGCTCAATTAATAACTCTAAAAGACTCTCTTTTTGTCATGCAGCCGCATTTCAGGCGTCCTTTGTTTAAGGATCCTAAGTTTACTTGGTCCATGGAGTACAACACTTTTGGCGATGGCTTCCATTATTTCTTCTATATCTTAAGAAAGGTCAGTACTGATTCTAAAATCTTTGCTTAAGGGTTTGCTTTTGTTCTCTGTTTTAATTACCTTATAGTAGCTCTTGAGAAAATCCCCACAAGCTCTTGAGAAAATCCCCACAAGCTCTTAGTAATAAGTCTTGCTTATTGCCAAAACAAATTGAGCTTGGTTTATGGAATACTAATAGCTGAATGGAGAGAATCACATATGTATGAAAATTGAATCTTAAGATCTAAAAGATGATCAGTATGGATTTAGTATGCTATTTTCAAAGTTAGGTTATTCTATAGAGGTTGTGGTCTATTAACGAGTTAAGCCTCCATATCTTCTGAAAGTGAGCCTAAACAAGATAGTCAAAACATAGGAGTTTGCTATACCTTGTCATAAGTTAAACTTGTGATGATATTCTGAGAGTACTGAAAACTCGACATTTTTGGTCAGGGAAAGAGATGTAATGAGGAGAAAGAAGATGAGAAATGCAATGATCCATCAATATCCCTATATCAAGATGAACTTGAAGGCGAAGACTACCTATTCCGAACACGCATCGATGATGACGAGGATTAGGACAAGAACAACGTGAGATTAGTTGTTGTTGCTGTGTAATGTTATATGTATTTTGATTTGTAATTTTAGAATCATTCTTTGTGGATTTTGGACAAAAGTAAAGGATGGAATCAAAGAAATGGAGTTGAACCACACTTCTGCTTCCGTACCACACAGTTAACAATTTAACACTTATAAATTTCATGTGACAACTATATTTAGGTTATTAATTGGATTTTTTTTCAGTTGACGCATGTTTCAATGTATTTGATTTTGAAGAAAAATTACAAACTAAAATACAAGTGAACCATGATCGCAATTTGAAACGTCAATATCAGATCGGTAAAAAGGAGAAAGAAAAAAAAGAGAAATATATTTGATTGAAAAACAAATCTGAACTGAAACTGAAAGTAATTCTAACTAACTTATTCATAGTATTTTACATTCTTTTTTTTGGCCAACAGATTCAATTTGTACTTTGACTACTAATGTAATATCATAAAAATCCAAAACCGAATCTTCAAATCAACTGTAATTGGTAAATAGACTGGAAAGAAAAGAAGAATTAAATAGTCCCGAGTACAAAAAAAGAAATATCATTAATTGCTTCTTGGTATTAAAAACTTTCACAATTATGGCAAAAATAAACTTTCACAAAACATATATTTCGGACCAAAACGACGACGTAACAAAAGTGTATCGTTTTGCATAAAAGCCGTAAAAGTGAGAGAGATAGGAATCTTTGAGCGATTCGTCTTCCTCCTCTATCGCCTCTACTCTCCACCGGCACTGTGATCTCGCCGGAATATTCCCCCTTTTTTAATCCTCTACTACTCCGTCTTCACTCTCTCCCTCCTTCGATCTCCTCTCTATTGATCGCCTCCGTCTTCCCCAACGATAATTTCAATCATAATTATTCATAATCGTGTTTCTTCCATAATTGTGATCGATGGATGATTATTTTAGCGCGGAGGAAGAGGATTGCTATTACTCCTCCGATCAAGAGTCTTTGGACGGAATTGATAATGAAGAGTCTGAATTGCATCCTGTGTCGTCCAAAAAATCAAACACTCAGGTTCGCTTATATACACTCTCCTTCCTCTCTCGTATCTCTTTCTTCTTAATCCGTGATTGTGTCATGCTTTGGTTTTTATTGGTTATTCCCAGATTCTTGTGTCTTATACGTGAAGATTTTGAACTTTTTAAAAGTGAATTTCATTGCAATTGTGAGATTGAAAATCTGGTTTTGGCATCATTGCTCATGAATTTCTCAAGTTTTCACAGTGTCTATGATGATGAAAACAGTAATTTATTGGACAATTTGTCTGTTCTTCTCTGTTTGCAAATTAGGGTTTTCTTTCTCTATTTGGGAGTTTTGGTTTTCATGTTCTTTACAAGTACCATTTACTGATTTAGCAACCAATTTTGCAGGTCATCACACAGGAATCGCTTCTAGCAGCACAGGTAAATCAGCAGAGATGAGTCTTTACTTTTGGGTTCAATTTTAAGCTTTACTTTGGTTGAGTTATTGGTTTTCTGATGCAGAGAGAAGATTTGCTAAGGGTGATGGATTTGTTATCGATTAAGGAGCATCATGCACGGACTCTTCTTATTCATTACCAGTGGGATGTGGAGAAGTTGTTTGCTGTGTTTGTTGAGAAAGGAAAAGATAGCTTGTTTTCTGGGGCTGGTGTCACCGTCTTCGACTGTCAATATGGCAACTCTTCCTTTTCTCGCTCTTCGCAGATGAGTTGTGATGTCTGCATAGAGGATGTACCTGGTGATCAGATGACAAGAATGGACTGTGGCCATTGCTATTGCAATAATTGTGAGTCCATGTTGCTAAAATATGTGGTTTGTTTTTTTATTGCAGAGGTAGATATATAACACAGTTCTTGTGTGGTTTAGGTTGGACGGAGCATTTTACTGTGCAGATAAATGAAGGTCAGAGCAAAAGGATTAGATGCATGGCTCACCAATGCAATGCTATTTGTGATGAAGATATTGTCAGGAATCTTGTCAGTAAAAAGCGTCCAGATCTAGCTGAGAAGTTTGATCGTTTCCTTCTTGAGTCGTACATCGAAGACAACAAAATGGTCAAGTGGTGTCCAAGCACTCCCCATTGTGGGAATGCTATACGAGCTGAGGATGACAAGTTGTGCGAAGTTGAATGTTCCTGTGGTCTTCAGTTCTGTTTCAGTTGTCTGTGTCAAGCCCACTCCCCTTGCTCTTGTTTGATGTGGGAGTTATGGAGAAAGAAGTGTCGAGATGAGTCTGAGACAATTAATTGGATAACCGTCCACACAAAGCTGTGTCCCAAATGTTACAAACCTGTGGAAAAGAATGGTGGATGCAATCTCGTAAGGTGTATTTGTGGGCAGTGTTTTTGGTAAGAACTCGAGCCTTGTTCCTTTCATTGCTTTCTTTTCCTGTTTTGCATTTGTTTTTCTGTGATTTGAGACAATCAAATGTCAAATGGTGGAAGTGTCTCTCATGTTTGGTTGTTATTATGTACAGTTGGCTATGTGGTGGAGCTACTGGAAGTGATCACACTTATAGGAGTATCGCTGGTCACAGTTGTGGTCGGTACCAAGATGACAAAGAGAAGCAGATGGAAAGAGCGAAGAGGGATTTAGACAGGTATACGCATTATCATCACCGTTACAAAGCGCATACAGATTCATCAAAGCTAGAAGATAAACTTAGGGACACTATCCATGAGAAAGTGTCGAAATCAGAAAAGAGGGAGTTGAAGCTTAAAGACTTCAGTTGGGTCACCAATGGACTCGACCGGTTATTCAGATCAAGGAGGGTTCTTTCATATTCGTATGCTTTTGCATATTATATGTTTGGGGAAGAACTGTTCAAAGATGAGATGACCCCTGAGGAGAGAGAGATGAAGAAGAATTTGTTTGAGGATCAGCAGCAACAACTTGAAAGTAATGTGGAGAAACTTTCCCAGCTCCTTGAGGAGCCCTTTGATGAATTTAGTGATGATAAAGTTATGGCAATAAGGATTCAGATCATCAATTTGTCTGTTGCGGTCGATACCCTCTGCAAGAAAATGTACGAGTGCATTGAGAATGACTTACTCGGATCCCTCCAACTTGGCATCCACAACATCTCACCTTACAGATCAAAGGGAATTGAACAAGCAGCTCAGTTTTATGCGTCATGGAATTCCAAAGGTGCTGACAAATTCCTACCTTTGGATAGTGGTACAAGCGGTAATTAACTCTCGGTCAATGATGATCATAGTATTGTTCTAGTAAGGAAACAATGAATCAAATCCTTATGAGATATAAATATTCTTTATACAGGAGTGACATCGCGGCCTGAGCAAGCTTCAGGATCAAGGAGCTCGGAAGACACCATTTGCTCATCTTCACAGAAACGTCCCAAAAGAGAAGGAAGTTTCTTAAACAACAAAGTCACTTTATTGGATTTGAACTTGCCAGCTGATTTTATCGACCCGAACTGAACTCAAATCCTCTCTTGCTTTGTCCAAATGATATGACATAGCAAAAGGTGTTTTCTATATATCTATCACCTTCAAGATTCGTGACTCTGACTGATTAATTTGTCTTTCTTATAGTTTTTGGTTTTCGTACAACTATAATTATGACTTATATTTTTTGCTTCTTTAGTTCTAGACTTCTAAATACATAGATCTTTGATTCAGCCTATTAAGTATTATTAACTGTGGTACTTCTCAATGCCTTTGAGGTCAAAAGAGTTAAATTTATTAGTCACTAATGTAATCCATTAGTATTTGCCGGTACATTTTTCTCGTTGTTTCTTCATTTTCTGCTTGGCTTCTCATTCTTGATTCTACGATCATTTGATCCCAAGTAATTCTAAAAGTAGTAACTTGTACTAAATTACGGTTAAGACAAACACCTCTATGATAAGAAAAGTAGAAAAGGAAAGAAGCTTTTTATGTTTTGTCTTGGAGTGGCCAAAGATATCAAACGTTCAGAATCTGTGTTCGTTCGTACAGTACCCATCAGATGCTATTTCCAGCTATGTCAAAAAGCTACTTTCAGCTTTTTCCTTGCACACACCAAAAAAAAAAAATTAAAAAAAATTCCAATTCCCTCTTTAAAATAAAAGTCACAATTTATTTTCCGACATAAATATCAGGATTAAAAGAATTTGGTTATAAGTGATTTAGTGAGACAACGAGTACTTTCTTTTGGTATAAAATGGCATCTAGTCTTACATACACAGCAACGCAAAAATCTTTTTTTTTTTCTTTCACGAGCCTACTAAATCAAAACAAATAATTGCTTAAGTTTGCAAAGGATTTAAATGTTATTTAGCTGTTAATGCTAAGATGCAAGACCAAAAGAACGATTTGCTATAGTAAACGCCAATTTAATGGAGATAAGCATAAATATTTATTAAGTAGTGGAATCATGCCTAAACAATTTGCCTAATCTTTTCAAGTGGTGTATAGTCTTCTTGATATAAGTATATGTTTAATTATAATTCGTTATTAAGAATATTTGTCTGGATATATCAAGTGTTGTGGCCTTACGGGACAAGGACAACAAATGCTCGACAATATTATGGTACATATATATATATATATATACTTATTTATCTTTTTAACCAAACAAAAAAAAAGGTATTTAGGCAGTAAAGCTATGTGAAATGAGCTATGGAGGAGATTTGAGTGCCTTTCGGCTTGCGTGCCTAATATTCCAATGTATCTGAAACTCAAATACATTTTACAAAGAATGTTCTAATTCAATGTAATAGCTAGAGTACATGTAAAGCCCACGGAAAAGAAAAAATTCGATGGATATAGTTTAGGAAAAATCATAGAAGCTTCCTCTAGTAACAACCACGTGTGAAGCACCCCTATCACATATCACAAATGACCAATCTCTTGGAAATTTCGTGTCTATATATAAGTGTGCATGTACAAGATCAATTCTCGCAACCTATAAACAATTCCCTAAGAGTCGTTGACAAACCAAAAAAACTTCTTAAAAGTCAAAATTTGCTCTAGACCCTCCAATTTTCCGTATAAATCTCCATAAAAGTCTCTGTCCCTCTTTGCCAACCAAAATCTACAAACACACAATATCCTTCGACTATCTTATTCATAGCTATCACAACCCCAAAAAAAGAAATCCCCCTAATCAAAAAAAAGAAAACTAAAGAGAGATTTTATCATTATTCTATTTCCATTTTTTGAAAAAAATCAAGCATTTGACTTTTGTGATAAGATTTGAAGAAAGAGATGAGGAATGAAACGGGTGGTACAATGGTCGTTGATCTCCAAACCGATCCATATAACAACAATCACAGTCGCCATAATCTGAGCCGCGACGGAATATTCCCTCCCGACGATCCCATCATTGTCAACAGCAACGTAACTCACCAGCGGTTTAGCAGCGTCTCCGCCTCGACCATGAGCAGCGGTCCGGCCAGCGGAGAAGGTTCTCCTTGCGTAATGTCGCCTTGGGCCCGTGTGTCGCCTCCTTGGGGTGCGGATTTCAACGAAGACAATGTCCTCGAGACCAACGGTCTCATTGGATCTATTGTAAGAAAAGAAGGGCATATATACTCGCTAGCCGCTTCTGGTGACCTTCTCTACACGGGCTCTGACTCGAAGAACATTAGGGTTTGGAAGAATTTGAAGGAACACGCCGGGTTTAAATCCAGTAGTGGGCTCATTAAAGCCATTGTGATATTCGGAGACCGAATCTTTACCGGCCATCAAGATGGGAAGATCCGGATTTGGAAGGTTTCGAAGAGAAAACCGGGAAAACACAAGCGGGTTGGAACATTGCCAACATTTAAATCAATGGTCAAGAGCTCCGTAAACCCTAAGCATTTCATGGAGGTACGCCGCAACAGAAACTCCGTGAAGACGAAGCATAACGACGCCGTGTCTAGTCTTAGCCTGGACGTGGAGCTTGGATTTTTGTACTCGAGTTCTTGGGACACGACAATCAAAGTATGGAGAATCTCGGATTCAAAATGTTTGGAATCCATACATGCACACGATGACGCGATAAATTCTGTAATGTTCGGTTTCGATGACTTGGTGTTCACGGGATCCGCAGATGGCACTGTTAAAGTGTGGAAACGTGAGTTGCAAGGCAAAGGAACAAAACATACGTTAGCTCAAGTTTTGCTCAAGCAAGAAAATGCAGTCACGGCGTTGGCCGTACAATCAAAATCTTCCATAGTATATTGCGGTTCCTCTGACGGGCTAGTGAACTATTGGGAGCGTTCAAAGCGGTCATTCACCGGCGGAATACTCAAAGGCCACAAATCCGCAGTGCTTTGTCTAGCTATAGCGGGGAACTTGCTATTGAGTGGTTCCGCGGACAAGAACATATGCGTATGGAGGCGGGACCCGTCTGACAAGTCCCATCAGTGTCTCTCTGTTTTGACGGGACACATGGGACCGGTCAAGTGCCTAGCAGTGGAGGAGGAACGGGCTTGTCATAAGGGAGCAAAAGCCTCTGTGGCCGAGGGGGACCGGAAGTGGATTGTATACAGCGGAAGTTTGGACAAGTCGGTGAAAGTGTGGCGTGTGTCCGAGAGGATGGCTACGTGGAGGGAAATGGACGAGCCAGCAGCATCTTCAGAGCGGAAGAGCTCTTCCTCTCCCCATGAAGGGAGTGGCGCGTGGAGTTCACGCAATGTGGAAAAATAAAAAAAGAGTGGAGGAGCATAGTGATTTCTTACAAGAGTGTCCCGCCGTTAGTCACGAGGGCCATCTTTACGCCGGGAAAGAGTCAAAAGGATTGATTTCAACTTAATGACCAAGTCAACGGGAGAGGTTTGTGCCACGTTAGCTGGTGAGAGAATCAAAGTCGTGTTAATGGTTTTCACGTAATGAGTTTTTTTGCTTAATTTTTCTGAAAAAAAAATTGTTTGAAACGAAATTGTAGATTATTATTTTTTCCCTAAATTTGTAAAATAACGAACAAAGCCCGAATCAAACATGTTTGTTTTCTTTAATGGTCTGTGTCGTGGTTGCAACTTTATAACTTGGAATTTTTGATGAGTCGTTTTCCTCTCATTAGAATTTCTTTCTATATTATATGTAGGATCTTGATAAGATTTTTTATTTTATTTCTTAGCAACAGGATCTTATATTTATTGTGCTCCAATCCATTTAGAGAGCAAAATAGAAAAATGTTAGCAAGTAAAGTAAGTTCCAGGAATCATTTACCCGGACATGGAGAATTATGTGCAACAATGTGTTTCGTGATGATTGTTACTAAAGCCCTATCTTTCATGTTAATCAATTTGGATGTGTGTTTAAAATTTGTTGCGTAAATTTGGGTTTGCAGACATGAAAAACGAACATCTTGTTGTGCAAAATTAGCATAGGTACCGGTGAGTTAGAGGTGTTCAAGATAATGTCTCGCCAACAAGTGATAAATTAACCGTCAATCTTTTTAACCAATTTGCATATTTTAAAATTAACAAGTAAAAGCACCACCAAATATCCACCAGAAGTTGTTAGAAATTATTGATCTTTGTGAATTTACAGTTACCATTTAGACCTAATCTATCTTTATGGGAAGAAAAATATGTATATCTTTTAATAATCAAACTACAACAATTATTGAAAGAAAACAAATTTTCTAGATTCCAGAATTGTAGGTAAAGCAACTAAATGAAATGAGAGTACGACGAATCATCAGAGACATAATTCTCTACAAATTGACATATCAATTTTGCAAACTAAAACACAATGAGGGTTTCTTTCTCTAATGAACAAAATGATTTAAAAACTTACACATACATTTCTAACGGTTTAGTTAGTTATAAACCAAACCGTATAATTCCGGTTATGCGAACATTACATTATTGTAGGAATGAACATGTTTTGACGAAATTGCCCTTTCTCTTTGACTCTCTCAACGCCTTTCACAACGCATCGTTTTCAACTCTCTCCAAACCCGCGTTGACGGCAAGAATTTTCCCGGAAAATAACTCATTTTCCTTTTGGGTTACAGAGAAAAGAAAAACAAAGAGAAAGTCTTCCCTTTTCGTCAAGTCTTCGTCTTTTACTAGTGAGAGAGAAGACGATCCAACCATCTGTCTTTCTTCTTTTTGTTTACTTCTTCTGCATATTCCCTTTTCCCGGAAAATTTATTTGCTGATTTTTCTTCCTTCCATCGCCACTTTCCTGAGAAAAAAAATTCGACTTTCGTCTCTTTCTTTAAGCTAAAGGAGCTTTATGTGATCAATTTTTCTATATTTCTGGAGTTGGGTTCTTGTTTCACGCGGTTTGTGATTTGATTATATAAGCCACTACTGGCTGCTTAGGATCTTTATATTGCTTCATAGATTCTCGTTTACTAGAATAAGTAGTTTCTAAATTAGGGAATTTTAGTAATTAGGGCTTTTTTTTTGGTTTGTGGTTGTGTGTGTGCTTGATTTGGTTAGATTGATGGCTGCAGTTTTAAGAAAGTTATTACCTTTACCATCACCGAATCCTAAAAGAGATAATCGGGAAAGTGACGATGATGGTGATGAAACTAGTAGTGGTTATAGAATTGAATATTCATTCGCCTCGGAGTATAAAGGCCCTTTTATTGCTAATGTGCCACGAGCTCTTCCCGTTGACGTTGATCAGATTCCTACTGCTCTTCCCGTTTCATTTTCTTCCTTGTCGCGTGATGGCTCTTACCCAGTGGTTCCACCTCTCGTTAGGAGAGTTACCAAGAAATCACCTGAATCTGGAATAGAGAAGAAAAACGGTTTGGTTGACTCTGCTGCTGGTTCTAGTGTGGTTTTGAAAGGGCGTGATGTTGTTTCTGGCTCATCATCATCATCATCATCATCAAAGAGGTTGGATGTATCAGAAGAAGTGAAAAATTCGGTTGATTTACAGTTATCACCATCATCACCGTTGTCTGCATCATTGAGAGAGGAGGATACATTAGATGATGGAAGAGTTTCGGATGTGGGACCTAGAGCTGTGAGATTCGTTGAACCTTTTCAGAGTAGTGAATGTGATGAAAGCTCTTACATTTCTGTTGGAGAAAGTATAGCTCCAACGCCTAAAGCGGAAAGGAGAGGGAAAAGAGGATCGTGTTACCGATGCCTGTTGGGGAACCGGTTTACTGAGAAGGAAGTCTGTATTGTCTGCGACGCCAAGTACTGTTTCAACTGTGTGCGCAGAGCCATGGGTGCGATGCCCGAAGGAAGAAAGTGTCAAACTTGCATTGGTTTTGGGATCGATGAGTCGAAGAGAGCAAGTCTGGGAAAGTGTTCAAGAATGCTGAAGCGCCATCTCACAGATTCTGAACTTCGACAAGTCATGAATGCCGAGATCACCTGCAAGGCGAATCAATTGCCTTCACGGCTTATCACTGTCAATGAAAAGCCTTTAAGTGAAGATGAGCTTTTCACGTTGCGGACATGTCCAAATCCACCCAAGAATCTAAAACCCGGAAACTATTGGTATGATAAGGTTTCTGGCTACTGGGGAAAGGTAGAATTTCTTATTTATGTCTGCGTATCTATTCTCGGGCTTGTATTTTTAGTGCTCAGCTAAATCAGAGCCTTATGTGTTAATTTAATCAGGTAGGCGAGAAACCTTGTCAGATTATAAGTCCTAACAACAGCATAGGAGGTAACATCAGTGAGGACGTAAGCAATGGAGACACTGACATTTATATTAATGGCCGGGAAATAACCAAGCAAGAGCTCATGATGCTCAAGGTTCTCTCTCTTTTCACCTTTGTTTTGGATAAAAAATATGCTTAGTGTTAGTGTCATTGTTCTTAACTGAGCGCTTCTTTGCATTGATGTAGTGGGTGGGGGTGCAATGTGAAGGAAAACTTCATTTTTGGGTCGATTCAGATGGTACTTACCGGGAAGAAGGTCAAAAGCATCCCATCGGGAACATCTGGAATAAGGTATGATTTCCTGAGCACAAGCTTTTCTCGTTCACAACATTTAAATATAAAACTAAAGACAACTACGGATATTATTTTTACAGAAGAGAACAAAAATTGCTTGTGCTGTGTTCTCTCTGCCAGTTCCTCCGGCTTCTTCTGCAGTAGAACCATGTGATGTGCCCTTATATGAGCATAAAATGCTTAACAAGCTTCTTTTGATTGGTAATGAAAAAGGTGGCGCCACAACAGTTTACAAACAAGTGAGCTATTCATCTTAATGCCACCCACTTCAATGTTTCACATCTAGTAGAGAATCGGGAATTGACTTCTTCTGTTTCAGGCAAGGTCTCTCTACAACATCTCCTTCTCTGTAGACGACCGTGAAAAAATCAAATTCATAATCCAAACAAATCTCTATACCTATCTGGCAATGGTTCTTGAGGCACATGAAAGATTTGAAAAAGAGATGAGCAATGACCAGTCTTCAGACCAAACAGGTAATTTTTATTGACTGTACAAACTATTAGAATAAGAATGCATTCCTATTCTAATACAAACATCAGTTAACAATTGATTATTGAGGAACACTGATCGAGTTCTTGGGATTTAGGTAATGTGGGAGATGAAACCAGTGCTAAAACAGTTAACTCGATCAACCCAAGACTAAAACATTTTTCAGATTGGCTTCTGAAAGAAAAGGAAGACGGAAACCTGAAGATATTTCCACCATCAAGCCGTGAGAATGCACAAACCGTTGCAGATCTCTGGAGAGTACCGGCTATTCAAGCCACCTACAAAAGACTTCGCGATAGGCTTCCCAGAAACGCCGTTTATTTTCTTGAACGAGTGAGTTTACATCAAGTGCTTGCTTGTCTATAAACGCTCTTTCAGGACCTTGTTTAAGGGGAAAAAAAGAAGACTGACCTAAATTTGTTTCTTCTCAGATTCTTGAGGTCTCGAGATCAGAATACGATCCTTCTGATATGGACATATTGCAAGCGGAAGGACTCTCCTCTATGGAAGGACTTTCTTGTGTGGACTTCTCATTCCCATCAACTTCTCAAGAAGAGACTCTTGAGAGCGATTATCAACACGATCCAGACATGAAGTTAGTTCTGTTCTTTTTCCTTGTGCTGATTTCCGACTATATGAAAAACCGTTGAACTTACTCTCTCTCTCTCTCTCTCGCTCTTTAGGTACCAACTCATCCGGCTAAATCCGAGAAGCCTTGGTGAAAACTGGAAATTGCTGGAAATGTTTGAAGACGCTGACTTGGTGATATTTTGTGTCTCATTAACAGATTATGGAGAATACATAGAAGACGGTGACGGGAATCTTGTGAACAAGATGCTTGCAAACAGACAGCTTTTCGAGAGCATGGTGACTCACCCAAGCCTAGCTAACAAAAGGTTCCTTTTGGTTCTAACGAAATTTGATCTCCTAGAAGAAAAGATCGAAGAGGTACCTCTAAGAACCTGTGAGTGGTTCAAAGACTTCAACCCATTGATCAGCCAGAACCAGACGAGCAGACACAACCCTCCAATGGCTCAGCGTGCTTTCCATTACATTGGTTATAAGTTCAAGAGACTCTATGACTCAATCTTGGAACCAGTAAATATGCGTGGAAGGAGCTTTAGGCCAAAATTGTTTGTTTGTCAAGTGAGCTTGGATAGTGATACTGTGGACAATGCAATGAGATATGCGAGAGAGATTCTCAAGTGGCATGTTGAAGAAACTTCCATGTTCCAAGAGATGTCTACTACTAGCATCGAGGCCAGCTCGTCCTCTTGATTTTTTCCTCTAAAATTCTTTCTTTCTTTGTGGAAATTACATAGTTTGTCTGTGTGTGTATGTTTGTTTGTGTATGTATGTATGTAGTGTCAAGATACATTCATGTGATTTGATTTTTCAGGGAAAAAAAAAGAGAGAAAAATAATAAAGTGATTACAATTAGAACCCGGTTTTCCCCGGTTCAATAGAGATTTACTTACATACGGTTTATGACGATGAACCGGACCGGAGTAGCATTAGATTCGCGGTTTAATTTGGGAGATCAAACCGTTTAAAAGAAGAAAAGAAATAATTTGAAATGGTCACGCAGAATACGAGGGACTGAGGGTTGTACCTTCTTTCTCTGCAAAAACTTAAAACGTTGATTTGACTCAACGTCAAGGTAAGGTACTCTCTCTTCATCACAACATTAGCTTTACTTTTTCTAGTTTACTCTTCTCTCTCTCTCTCTGTTCTTTCATTATCTTTCTATCTCTCTCCCTCTTCACACACAGATCCAACATCTCCTCTTCAATGGCTGCCACTGATTTCGTTTTCCCTCCCCGTTTCTTCAAAGTTTTCGTATCCCACTTCACCTCAGATTCCATGGTAAGATTTTCTCATTAGGTTTTTATTTCAGGAGAAAACGATTCTTGAATTGTAACGATTCTCGTAGCCTTGTGGTTTCTTTGAACTGATGGTGTTGATGAAACAAACACTGAAACTCCTTTCATTTGAGTTTGTTCTGTGGGTTTAACTGCATTTAGGGTTTTACTTTTCTGTTTCTAGGGTTTTGCTCTGATTCTTACCCTTTGGTTTCCTCTGTTTTCTGACTAAAGATTTAAACTTTCTGTATGAATTTATAGACTTAAAACTGGATATGTTTGGATACTGTGACTGGAGTCTATCAAAGTATAGGTAGTTTTGCTCAGATTTTGTTCTTTTTTTCTGTTGATGAATAGAAACATATGTTCTGCTTTCAGAAGCTTGTCTCTAATTAAAGTTGTAAAATTTCACTGAGAATCGTCTTATAGGATTTGGATTTGACTTATTGAGACTGTATGCTTTGATTTTGTCTGGTGGTTCTGGAAAGTTAACTCTTTTAACAACGCTTTTGGTCGAAACCATATCTTGTTGCGTGTGTGTGGAAAGCCTCTATAATGGTCAGAAGTTTAAACCTGACTTTGAATTTGGATGACTTACCTTAAAGTCTCTCTTTTTGCGAGTCTTAACTTTTCTCTTGAGTGTTTGGCTTACAAGTTAACAATTTTTCTGTTCAATATTTACCTTGAGCAGCCGCTCCCAATTGCCTACTACGATCATCTTCCAAGTCGTTTGCCCAAAACGGTGATTCTCCGAGGACCTGGTGGATGCTCTTGGAATGTAGCCACGACGATAAATGAAAACGAAGTGCATTTCTCACAAGGATGGGCCAAATTCGTTGAGGATAACACTCTTTGCGATGGAGACATTTTGACCTTTGTGTATAATGGAGACCACGTATTCGAGGTCAGTATCTATAGCGGCAAAGATGCATGTAAAGAGATTAGCGCAGTCACTGAAGTGGAAGAGGACAAAGAAGACAGTGTTTTTTCTCTGAGCAGTGAAGACAATGACACTTGTTCTCAATCTGTGATGAAGACCACAATCCCGGAAGGCAGAGACAAAGGTTTTTAACACATAGTTAGCTTTTTTCATCACTTCTATGTGATTGCTTGTTTTGAATCTTGAGATTTTCTTACAGGAAAGTCAAAAGTGGAAGTTGTGGAGGATTCTGATGACGAAGAGGATAGTGTTTATTCTGAAAGCGGTGAAGAAACAGAGACAGACACTGATTCTGAATTCAAGGTGGCCAAGACAACAATACCAAAAAGCAAGAAGAAAGGTTATAACCCATTGTTAGCTACATGCATCACTTGAATTTTTATTTACTTATTGATAAACCTGTTTTGTTTGCTGAGGTGTTTCCAGGGAAGAAGAAAGAACAGGTTGTGGAGTCTTCTGATGAAGACAGTGACAGTGACAGTGACAGTGATTACATTGAAACGTTTGGTCAATTGGATATTGAAGAGAATTCCAACAGTGAGGAGGATAGTTCTTATGCTCCAGATGACGAAGGCACATCCACTTGTGTCAAACCAAAGGTGGCAAATCTGAAGAGGAAAGGTAAAACACATTAACTTTCATCACTTTTAACCTCATTTGTGCAATTCTTATCTTAATGCAACATTGCTTTGTCTCTTATTCTATGGAACCAGAGGCGGCAAAGAAGAGGAAGAAAGGTAAACACATTGTTGTCTTAGTTTTATCACTTCATTAGGTAATTATTTTTTGTGATGCTAGTAGAAATGCTTTTGTCTCTTGAGATTTTTACAGTCGAGCCTAAGATCAAAAATCCTGAAACATATCTGGATGATCCAAAGAATATTCATTTCGAGACAAACGTGAAGAATAGGTTATACGAGCTGGTAAGAGCTGCAATTTCTTGTCCTAATACACTACTTTTTAACTTAAACAGTTTCATTAACGTTTTTGTTTTGTGTTACCTTTTATACAGTTGGTTCATGCACAACTGGTGAAAGACTATTGCTTGAGGTTTGGAGACCACGTTTACTACATCGACAAAATCGGGAAACTAAAAGCTAAAACAGCAAAATGGAAGGATCAGCGTGTGTGTATCAAAAAATGGATGCGTATATGCGATAGGAACGAATTGAAGAAAGAAGACCGCATTTTGTGTGAGCTCTTGCGCAAGGGAACTTTTGTGTATGCAATCAAACTCCACATCATCCGCGGAAAAAATCTGTAGACGCTATCAGTGTGAGTAGAGCCAGAGGAAGGGATTTGGTCATTTGGCTACTTATCTTTATGACTTCATCTTGTTGTTATCAAGCAAACATCATTCTCAGCGAAACTTATGAGTTTCTTTATTGTCTACTTCAGATTAAATGACTTTCTCTCTTGTTCTCTTATGAATCTATTTCTGAATACAATATCTTATCTTTGAGCTATAGTTTCACATGAAATAGAAATTGCTAAAATAAACGAAAACAAAACAACAATGGATATCAATGAAGTCTAAAAACAAAAGATAGATGGAGAGAGATAAGTCTGAGTGTTTTAGAAGGAGTAAGAAGTTAAGATGAGATCATACATGGGATAAGTTGAATCTTGATGGCACGAACCCAAATTTCTTCTCAGTAATGATCTCGCAGATAAGTTTGTCATTTGGTTGTGAGTTTCTGTTAATAATGCTTCCAAAGCTTTTGATGCATATTCGATTGTCTCGCCATTTTCCCACTTTTCTCTTAAGCTTACCAATTGAGTCAATCGATATGATGCTATTGTTGAACCTTAAGTTGTAGTCTTTAACCACAAAAGACGGTATGCGCTGTAAAACAAAGGATGAATCAATCAAGATTCACTGTTAACAAAATCCATTTGAACATGAAATGTTTTTTGTTCTTACCAACTGTGATTTCCTTTTTCCAGTCACTTTGGTAATGAAAAGACGGATTCTGACCACCTTTAAAAATGAAATTAAAAGAAAGTTAACTTTCAAGAACTAAGAAGATACACAAACAAAAATTTCAAGTCTACCTTTCACTTTTCTTCCCTGAGACTTTGGGACTTTCTCTTCCCTTTCATCATCATCATCACTATCATTCTCCTCAATCTCAGATTTTCTTTGACTAATACCATATGTTTTTCGTACGATTTTTTCTTGAAAATTCTGAAGAATCTTGGCATACTGGTTTCCACAGAATTCCCTGTCACAAAGATTAAAGAAGAAGAAACAAAGGACTCCATTCACTAAATATGAAACCTTTGTTTAGCAAAAAAAAAAAAAATATGAAACCTTTGAGAGAAACTAAATAAAAGCTGTACCTTTCTTCTTCATCCTCGTGAGATCTCTTGTGAAGTTCTCTTGATGAGAAGCTGCTTCACTAGAAGTGATGAGAAACTAAAGAACAGATTAGTGAGAGAGAATAAGATATGACCTTGAAAGCTTTGTGACATATAAGTGATAAAAAAAAAAACTGCTTTTTTAAAAAACAGAGTAGCTACTCTGTTTCGAGTCCAAAAATAGTAACTTCCATTATCATAGTAAATGATTTTTTAAAAAATATACTAACCGACCTAAAATTTATTATTTTTGATACCTCTAATTTGGATCATTAGTTATTTTATAGTTTACATTATAATGTCGACGTTGAATATTTATCTTTACTGATATTTCTGTTGTGGATTTTTGGCCATACTTCCATTTTTGTGGGTCCTTTCTACAAAATCTCTTTCTCTTTATTGAATAGTTTTGATTTCATCTTTAGCATATTTCTTTCTTTGGATATGCTCCATTTTTCGCATGAAAATAATCATTTTTCCTAAAGATAAACATTTTTCGCAACTTGAATGTCAGTTGTCACTATCTTTAAAGAGCACGCTTTTACAAAATATATTTTGCACAGAAAGATATCTTTATTATTTTATTTTCATATGACAATTTTTTTTTTAATTCAATGTGCTTGTATAGATGAACTGATGAAGTAATGCTATAACACGAGGACAATTTAATGAAGTCACCTAACGCTTTGCAATCCAACCTACCATCCTGAATTTGAATTTAAACCACTTTGAATAACACATTTGCTGATTAAGGTTTTTTTTTTTTTTTGGAAAGCTGATCAGTTGAAACGTTAAGAGTCCAAAACAAGCTAGTTAATTAAAGTGGTTTAAACTATCTTTTTTTTTTAATTATCTTCTTTAAACCTTTAAACCACTTTAATTTTAGCAGCTAAACTTATTTACGGATTTATCTAAATTATTTTACTATTATTGGAAGACTAAAACTATTAGAGTAATTAACAACGTGGCTCATTGTTACCAAAAACTAAGAAAATACAAGAAGTAGAAACAAACATTAAAATGGTGTAGAGACCTTAACCAGCCCAATTTATGATCTTATCAAAATGTGGCTCCAATTGTTGTTACAAAATCTGTTTAATTACTAAAATACATTTTGGATAGTAATTTTCGTGATGTTAGACTTGTATTCGATCAACACCTATTATTACCCGATCTTTATCTCAAATGGACGGTTATAGAATAGTTGTTGAGATATTTTTAATTAAAAGAAGTTAGAGTTGAAGAATTTTTTATTTTTTTTTAAGAATTATTTCATAAACAATGAAATAGGGACATTAAAAAAAAGCAAAACGATAAAGAGTTGGTGATTGTTATTAATTAAATATGTCGATAAATCAGTGATTAGTACTAATCCATAGAATCTTACTGGTTAGTGGAAAGTGGAAAACCAAAATGAGAGAAGATAAAGTGAAAAAGTAATGACGCGGCGAGATAATGAAGAAAAACGTTGTGGTCAGCACAAAAAACGTGTTCTTATCATTTCCACACGTGCGTCTCTCTCTGCCTTTGGTGGCTTAATAAGCTTTAACTTTTCTGTTTTTTTTTGGATAAAGGTTTATTAAAACTTTAACGTCTTAGACCATGGGCAGTGGTAAAAGTGGGGGTGTATGTGTTAGTGTTGTTTTATTAATAAAATAATGAGAGTTGAAGTAATAAAATAATGTAATAAAATAATGTAAAATTTTTTGTCTCACAATTAAATGCTACACCCGGTTGTGAACATACACACGGGTTTCGACTCTGACACAACTTTTGCAATAAAATCGATTATTTTAATACTAAAACCTATACGTTGATTGCACCGTTGCTGTTGCTCTTAGTTCCATTTTTTGTTTTTAACTTGTATCGGAGAGCCTGCCGGCCTTAATCACATAGTCGCATGCATTAATAATTTATTAATTTTACATAGTTTCATAATTATTTTTCAAGTCAAAATTTATGCGGCGACAAAATTAAATAAAAAAAGTCAGAATTTATGCTTTGGAAAAACACATTTTTAAAAAATAATCATAAGCACATTTGCCAAAAATTTGGATAATTTGTTGACTTTTTTTGTTAAAAATAATTTGTTGACTTTATTGTCAATGTTTATTAGCGTTGGCCACGAACCTCAACTTTGGGCATTAAGTTCTAGAGTAAAATGTGACCATAATTTCTTTTATGGAAAGTAAATGTGACCATAATTAACAACTAAAGTTTATAAATCATTAAACCCTAAAACCTAACTATATTTTTTAATTTTCCCGATTGTTGAGAATTATCTCCTAAGTTTAATGTTGTTAGTTTCTAAAACTATTCATTACTTATTATGATTTTCTTTTTTTATTTCAGTTATTTTAAAATTAGTTTGTAGGATAAAATTTGAGATTTTTTTGGTTAAAATTTTTAATTAAAATTTGAGATTTTTTTTTGTTTTCATTTTCTTTAAACCCCCATATGTTTTAGAATGAATGCTACTATCTCAGTAAAAGACACGATGGTATTATATGTTTTGAAGTAATAATCCTACATTCAACAACATTGACAAAATTTCTTTATCTATAGATTTTTAAAAGTAGATTTATAGATATATAGCATGTTTTCTTCAAAATCCTATATAAAAATGATCAAGTAGAGTAAAATATGTGTTTTATATAATTGGCTATGGGACAAATTAAAGTCAGAGAGACTAATAATATGGCACGTGACGTGAAGAGGGTCTTTTGAAGCGAATACGTGGTGGGTCAGCGTGGAGAAGGGTCAACACAGTTTTAGACGTTTAGTGAATCCAGAAGCCAGCTGCTCATCAACTTCAACTTCAAGTCTTCAACTTCTAAATCATTGAAATATCTGAGTCCTAAGATATCATTGAGAAACAGTCAAACCTTCTCTTTCATTATGTACCTTTGACAAGTTAATTAAGCTCATTTTCTCCTTCATTCATTTCTTTTCATCTTTTCGTTTATAAAAGATAAATATCCCAAGAAAGGTTCTTTTGTCTCATATTAGGTGAATTGCTCATCTAGTCTCTTTTTTTTTAATAAACTTGGATTTAATGTATATATAATTAACAAATCAAGAATTTTGACAGATAAATGAATAAATAATAAATGTTTTTTAAAAAAATATTACAAAAATCGTTTCAACGTTCATTGGAACCATAATGCAAGATTTTCGTAAATTGTGGAATGTATCACCATGTGTTTTTTTTATCCCACAATCAATAATTTTGAAGAAATCTTCATGAGCTTGGACGCAATGATTTGTTGAGGATCTGTTTGATTCGACGTACTAGAGTATAGAAAAAGGCCAAAGATAAATTTGAGACGATGGATCTAGCTAGTCATCAAATAGAAAAGACAACTTGAATTCTCTATTCATGACTGCGAAGGCCATTGATCATCAAATAGCATGTGAAATCATAAGTAACAAAAGACACACGTGATTTATTCTAAGCCAATCAGTAACTTACCTAGCTACTTATCCCATTAAACATGTTTAAATTTAAATGGTAAACTGTGTTAAAAAGGAACAATTAATAAGCGCAATCATAATAATACTAATTAAATATTAACAAAACAGAAAAAAGCTGTTCTTGAAATGCGTCATGTATGATGAAATGATTAGTACTAATTTAATGTTTAAAGAAATGTCATGTCATTAAAACCCCAAAAAAAAAAACAGATGTCACTTTCAAATGTCAAAAAATATTCGAGGAAATAACGCACGTTTCCAAAAAAACAGATCATAAAACGTCCCCGTGTGAAAAGAGTGTGCCAGTTGGGTAAGCCACGTAGATATTTAAAAAAAAAACACGGAGCCATATAAATAGAGCTTCTTTCTACTTTCAGTTTCCCAAACACAAACAAAAAATCAAATCTTTCTTCTCCAGGTGCAATTTTAAAACACTCACAGAGTCACAAGAAAAAAAACAAAAATCCAAAAACCAAATTCGAATTTGAAAGAAGAAGGAATCGAGAGTCGGGTATGCATTATCCTAACAACAGAACCGAATTCGTCGGAGCTCCAGCCCCAACCCGGTATCAAAAGGAGCAGTTGTCACCGGAGCAAGAGCTTTCAGTTCTAGTCTCTGCTTTGCAACACGTAATCTCAGGGGAAAACGAAACGGCGCCGTATCAGGGTTTTTCCAGCGACAGCACAGTGATAAGCGCGGGAATGCCTCGGTCGGTTTCAGACACTTGTCAAGTGTGTAGGATCGAAGGATGTCTCGGCTGCAACTACTTTTTCGCGCCAAATCAGAGAATTGAAAAGAATCAACAGGAAGAAGAGATTACTAGTAGTAGTAACAGTAGAAGAGAGAGCTCACCAGTGGCGAAGAAAGCGGAAGGTGGCGGGAAAATCAGGAAGAGGAAGAACAAGAAGAATGGTTACAGAGGAGTTAGACAGAGACCTTGGGGAAAATTTGCAGCAGAGATCAGAGATCCTAAGAGAGCGACACGTGTTTGGCTTGGTACTTTCGAAACCGCTGAGGATGCGGCTCGGGCCTATGATCGAGCCGCGATTGGATTCCGTGGGCCACGGGCTAAACTAAACTTCCCGTTTGTGGATTACACTTCTTCTGTTTCATCTCCTGTGGCTGCTGATGATATAGGAGCAAATGCAAGTGCAAGCGCGAGTGTGAGCGCGACGGATTCAGTTGAAGCAGAGCAATGGCGCGGAGGAGAAGGAGGGGATTGCAATATGGAGGAGTGGATGAATATGATGATGATGATGGATTTTGGGAATGGAGATTCTTCAGATTCAGGAAACACTATTGCTGATATGTTCCAGTGATAGATGAGATCTTTCTTGTTGGCGTGTTTTTGCAGTTAAGTGCAAGAAGAGATTGGTACTGGCTTGTTTAAAGTGAACAAGATTCTTGGTTTGTTATGCAAAGGACATGTAATTAGTAGTCTCAATTTTTTGTTTGTGGTCAATTCTATGTTTATCTCATATAAAATCTGAGTTAAACCTATCTGAGTAGAGTAAATAAAGTGGTTAAGAAACCCAATTTTGGTCTGAATTACAACAAACTAAGATTCCAATTTGTTTACAAAGGAGAAAACAATAATTGGTGACAAAAGAAATAAAGAAAAGATCTCCTCTTACAAAGCGTCGCGTGCAGCTATCCGACAAACAATGGCATCTCCGAGAGAGGAAATTCCGAGTTCTTGGCTAGTTATCTTGTAATGCTGAAAACATGAAATGTATGAGTTTGTTTCTGTAACATTGGATGCGAACTAAAAGAACTTTCAACTGTTACAAAAACATTACCTTTAGTATTTGGGCTTGATTTGCATGTGTCTTCAATTCCTCCAAATCAATCTCCTTCCCGTTGATCAATTTCGCCACCTCCTCCATCTGGTTTTGATCTCAAAACATGTCATTGCTAATAAACTAAAAAATCAACAGGATGGAAAATCAGATCTTAGATGGTTGAGGAAGAGATTATGACCTCAACGGGAGAAGCATTGAACCGGGCAGCTAGAATGTAAGTAGTGCTTTCAGAAATCCCACATCGTTTCAATGATTCTGTAATCTAGTTGAAGGAAGAAAGGAACAACAACGTTAGAATGTAGTTGAGTTAACTGCTAATCTTATTACAATTCACCAAACCAGAAGAAACTTGATTAATAAGAGAATCTCAATACTCAACTAACTCCTCTTAAACCAACTCACAAGAGCTAAAATCCATTGCCATTAAAGTCATAATCTAGTTATAGTAGACCTGTAGCAAAGGCTTGAACAACTGAGCTAGACACACTAACTGCTCTCTAAACCAACTAACTGCTCTCTAGACAAGAATGGTTTAAGAGAGCACAAGCAAAGATTGGTCTTACATGCTTAGATCCCGAGTAATTGTAAACGAGCTCAGAATGAAGAGTTCTGGTTGATAAGGAATCGCGTGATTTGGAGATAAGTGCTTTCTGAGCAGCAGCCAAGAGAGGAAAAATGTCTGGAATCTGATGACACACAATTCGTTAAGATCAAGAACTCTTAAGAAAGTAAAAAAAAAAATGGAGTAAACAACAACAAGAACGTACAAGTGATGCATTGAGAAATGAGACCTCAAGCTTCAGACTTCCATCAAGCATTGAATTCAAGAGCTCCCTGAAAGAAATAAACCCTCTGATATTAGATTCGAATCTCACCAACACAACTCAAAACTGGGGACATGTTGCTCAGGAATATAAAAGAGTTTCGTTTAGCTAAACAGAGTTTCTCCAAATCGAATAACGCAACATTTTTTCTCATAACCAAATCACGAATAACTTAGGTTATATAAAGAGAATCGGAAAATCGAGAGAGAGAGTACTTGGAGTTGGTGACATTGGAGAAGAGGGAGACAGAGAGAGTGTTTCCACGGTGAAGATGAAAAACCTTCATAGCTTAAGTCGGCGGCGAAAAAGAAGAGGAAGATTTTAGGGTTATTACTTCGCCGGAGATCGACACAGATTCGGCGAAGTCAGAAGAGGACTAGTCAAAGAACTGAAGGAAGATAAACCCTCCTTCTAGAACATCTTCCTTCTAGAATATAATTAAAAAAAAAAAAAAAAAAGGATAGAAACAGAAACGCGCCAGGAAGGGGTCGAACCTTCGACTTTCTGCTTAGGAAACAGACGCTCTATCCACTGAGCTACAGGCGCTTTTTACGCTAGGAAATCCCAGAAAAGATATATATTACAAGTCTTTACCATTCCAAATTTCGAATACCATATAACCACGTCGAAGCAGGGTAATTAGACTATCAGTGTATAAATCTCATCAAAACAATCATCGAACGTACGCAACATTAAATTATCGATGTTTGTTAGACAAATATCTTGTGATAGTAGACACTTTAGATTTCAAGTACCCGTAAAAAGGATAGAGTAATAATGTACTCTATTGAAACTAATTTAGTAACTATATTTTCGGATAGTTTCTTGGTCCATCCAACCATATCCCTTAACTGGAATCATCGATCACAACTGCTTCGGTAGAAGACAACACCGACATTGACCGACGATGTTGGATTTAGTGTACGAGCTATGGAAGTGGAAAGCAGCACGAAGTTCACCGAACCTTGTTCTTTATTATTATTGTCAATCCAAGATCCGACCTTGTACGTCGAGCCTTTGTTTTCTTACTTTATAATATTGTTTTTATGCATAAATCATCACAAGAAGACAAAACCTTAATTTTAATTTCTCATATTTTGTGAACTGCAAGAGACAACCTTTGTTCACTATATGGGAGACCATATGAGAGACATATATAAGCAGGCGTCACGCACATATTAACATATATCTTCTTTTTTTCCCATTATCCATGTGAGAGATAAATGAGATAATACACTTAGATATTGCTTTAAGTCAGATTAACTAAGTTTTTTCTTAGGTATTGTTTTGTAGATTATATCTATTTTGTATTAACTAAGTTTTTTCTTAGGTATTGTTTTGTAGATTATATCTATTTTGTTTACTGTATCTATTTTATTTGATTAACTTTACTTGAAGATGTACCTAGGTTCGCTATTATTCATAAGAAGTTTGGTTAGTGTAGAACTAGCTATCCTGATACAGTGATACTGCTAATTAATAAACCCTTAAAAGAGCCAAAAAAAGGTTAACAACATCACTTGATGCCCAAACCTTTTTCTGAAAATTAAGATGTTACATTTAGCTAACAAGCTTACCACCAAATTGGCAAACTGCAAAACAAAATGTAACTCGATAGTCTCTAATAAGTAATACTAACAATATAGCCTAGATATATAGATACAATAAGAAAAGTAGAGTTAATTACATCCATTTTGTCTGCAAAAATGGGGTTTCTTGGTTGTTGGAGTGAAGATGAGGAGCAACGTGTGTGTATAATTACTGGTAACGGCTTGTCGGAAACCTTGTTGCGTGGGAACTCAGATTAGTAGTAATTACACTCTGCAATTACAGCTATCATTGTCACATGCATGGGTCTTTTGAGATGTGTATAAACTATGAAAATTAACTATTTATTAGTTACTCAGCCTCCAGTTTATCTGTTATATATATTATAGAATTGTTCTTTTCAATTAGTATGATTTAAACAAATCTTGTAAAACCTTTGGAGACTTTGGAAAGCCAACAAAATAATATTACTACTTTTATCCCCATGGCATAAAACAACTGAGTTTGGGAATTTCTCAGAAATTGCATGAGACTATTTTGGAAATGCATGTGCATCAAATTAAAACGTTCATGTGCTTAAAACATCCCTTTGCGTTAATTTAGGGTTTATCATCTAACAATTAAATTCAAGTAGTATTGTTTTTGTGATCATAAATGGCTCTTCTTGTGTATCAAGAGACTAAGCTTTAACTTTTCCCCGCTGTTGATCCCAAAAATGGGCTATAAGTTATTATTGAAGATAACATACATATATTAAGAATCTAATCTTAGATCTCTAAACTCAAAGAGACAACACTTATGTCTCTTTGTGTGTGTGTGACTATCAAACACAATAATAAATATATATTTCTATTTATATCAATATAAAATAAGAAGATATGACTCCAAAATGTATCATATAAATACAAACATTTTCTCTATAGAGATCACTGCAAAAAATACAGTAGAATACAAAAGAGAGAGAGAGAGCTATAGATGGAGTGTTCAAACATGAAACAGCATCAGTACGGTTCATACGCAGAGCCAAGGATCTCATTCTCGAGCGGTTTCGCAGCGACTAAGCACGAAATGATCAAGTACAAGGAGGCACCTGTGTCGTCAGACGATTTTGAGTTCGGAGTCGAGAACTTCTCCATGACCACAGCAGATGAGATCTTCTTCGATGGCATGATTTTGCCTCTAAAGGAAGAAGTTAACACGACGAAAAGAATGTCAACTCTGAGGGAAGAACTCAGTGAAGAAGATGGTGATTCGCCGAGAAGCAAATCTAAAGGAACAAGTGGTTGGTGGAGAGAGAGATTAGGGTTAGGATTCGTGAGGTCCAAGAAAGATCACAAGAAAGGCTCTTTTTATCATCATTAGAATCAATTCTACTACTATTCAACCGTTCTTTTTAATTAATATTTTTGTTGATGTTTTTTAGCTTCTTCTCTTCGTAGGGCTAATTTACTCTGTAATGTGTTTTCTCTGTTTTCGTTTTTTCACATCTTCACTGTTCCTCGCCAATGTAAAAATTGTTTGCGGTTGAAGAGTTTCTTCTTTTTGTGTGTTTTGATGCTTTTCTTTCAGGAGAAATTAATGACGACATAAATAACGAGTTTATTTTCCAACTTCTCATCACCCGATCTTTAATCAGAATTAACAAAAGATCTTTCTACAACAACTCATAAATGATTTTTTTTTGTTTTTGGCAATTTCAGTTGAAGACGTGTAACGAGAAGTTCAGATTTATGTGACCAAATGTCATTACTTACAACATCCGTAATCCTTTTAGAGATCGACTAATTTTCAAGATTTTGTGTATTTAGATCATGATATATGTTTTTTTTTAGCAAAATGCAATTTGTTTATGCGGTAAATCGATTATTAATTCAATGAAAATATATATAGTTGACTCCACTAAAAACCTATAAGAGTTACGACGGGTAGATGAAGAAGATGCAAGACGTTTCATTGAAAATCTCTTGTATATCGATTTTGATAGTCATTCAGCAATGTAGTGTAAGAGATTTCTTTCTAGATGGAAATGTTTTATTTGGCAAATATGTATTTTTGACCAAAGAAAAAGGTTTCAAAAAAAAAAAAACAAACCTTCATTAATTAGAACATAAAACTGTTACAGCGATGCCTCCCATAAAGAGTAACACCTACAAGAAACAGACAACATAGAGAAACAATAGAGATTTCTAATGAAACACTCTGAACCAAGTAACCAAAAGAGACTGTCGAGGAGGAACGATCTTCTGAGCTCTTGACAATGGATCAAGGTATGACGAATAGAGATATCTCTAAGATACTCTATAGAGATAAATACAACAGAAGTTAGACCATCCTTATTGGGAGGTGCTTAACTTGGTTCTTACCTCAAAAGAGATTAAAATTAAAGATGTAATTGATGATTTTGCTAAGGAATGACTCTTAGCTAAGAGTCAAAAATTGGACTAAGAACCAAAAAATTTACTAAGAACCAAAACTAAGCACCTCCCAATAATGTTGCTCTTACTGTATTAGCATTTAGCAAATATGTAACAAGAAAGATTTGAGTATATCTCTTATGACTTATTCAAATAGCCAGTTTAGTAACTAAATCCATATTAAAGATCCTATAAAATTAAACCAGAGTTGTCAAGGTTGTTGATGGCTCTCCAAAAACCCACTACAAGAAACTATGACAATCATGTATTGAAACCCAAAAACAATCCCTTAATAATTATGCAACGTTGGATATTAAACAAAACACATACTCTGGCTAAGTGGCTATAATAATTTCCAAAATAGAAAGCCTACTTACGATAGTCAAAGTCAAACCGATGAAAAAAGAAATGTGTCACACGAATTAAACTCGAATTGTATTAAATATATACAAAATAATATGATTTTTAAATTTAAAAATTAGATGGAGTCCAGTCCATACTCCATAGTGTGAGCACCCGGTGCATGCCAGCAAACGACATCGTTTTGAGCTCGACCTGTTCGTCTCGATGTTTACGCTTTATTAGTTACTATTTTTCTGCAATTCTGTTTCTTCTCTGTTCACCAACAACATTTAAATTCCAATGGCGCATTTTAAATGTTAATAATAAATCGAGATCCGTAAATTCGAAGCTACCCATATTCAAGCAAACTTCTTCTTGTGCTTCTCTCTAATCATTACTCTTCTAAAAGAGTTTCTCAAAGTTTTTCCTTTTTTTTTTTTGTTTCTTTTTCTCTCTATCAGAGTGTCTGAAAAGGAAAATCAATGTCTTTATGTTCTGTTCCTTTCTGATCTCTCTTCTCTCTCTCAATCTCTATCTCTATCGCGACAGCCATGGCCGAAGACCCTTCTTTCCTCCCCAAGGTACCTTTCGTTGTCTGTGTGGTTTTTTTAATCTTGTCCTGTTTTAATCTGTTCGTGAGTGGTCTCTGATCTGATTAGGAGTAACCCTTAGCTGATTTGTTCTCTAGTTTTTGTGTGATTTCATATTCCTTTACTCTAATCTATAAAAATTGATTCTTTTGGGCATTAAATTATAAAAGATTCTGAGATTTTCTTGATTTTATTCCTTTTGAATTAAACAAACAAACAAGCTAATTAACGCGAGGATATATAAATGTATTGTTTTTTGTTGCAGGATGGTTTTGTCTTGAAGCTTCCTAAAAAGTCTTCACTTGTATTGAGAATGGTCGTTCTCCTCTTTGTAATGGTCTGTGCTGTGTACATTTGCTCGATTTGTCTTAAGCAGATAGGAGTTAGTCCAAACTATGGTTTCTTGAACGTTGAAGTGTTTGAGAGGCCTTGTCCTGAGCCTAACATTGAACCGTGGGACATTCCTTTTGTGCATTACCCTAAACCAAAGACATATAACAGGTGAAGAGAGATACAAAAAGTTTGAGCCTTTATCATGTTTGAGTCTAAAAGCGCTTATTTTGATTAGTGCTTTTGTGGGTTTTGAATGTTTTAGGAATGAATGTTCTTGCCACCCGGTTAGGTACTTTGCGATTCTCTCGATGCAGAGATCTGGTAGTGGCTGGTTTGAGACTTTGTTAAACAATCATACTAACATAAGCTCCAATGGAGAGATATTTTCTGTGAAAGATAGGAGGGCTAATGTTTCCACCATTTTTGAGACTCTTGACAAAGTCTATAATCTAGACTGGTTGAGTAGTGCCTCTAAGAACGAGTGCACTTCTGCTGTTGGCTTCAAGTGGATGCTTAATCAGGTAAAGTCACTGATATTCCCGGACATTGTGACATATCTTTAGTTTTTCTTATTCATATTTGAGTGCTTGCACAAAGAGATTGCTACATTCCATCGTTGTGTAACGGTCACTGTTACTTATACCTAACTACTGAGTTTAAAGTGATAGGATTTTGTTCTTTTTTTCTAGGTAAAAGCTGCAATGTTTTAAAGAGATGCGTTTGCTTTTGCAACATAGTTATAAAATTGATAAACATGTTGGAGGGATCGTTCTTAAAGAGTAGATAAGGTTGTAGTTTTAAATGACTTCTTACAGAGTTTCCGAGTCAATGTCATTTGTGAAAGGGACCTGCTTTGATTTAGTGAACTTCTTTTGTGGTTGTTGATGTTGAAGAAAGTGGCCTGAATCACAGTTTAGTTTGAAGTAGTCTGTGATTTGATGTTAGAGGGAACTGAAGAAAGCTGATGTTTCCTTCTTATTTGATCTTTATACTCGATGAACTTCGAGGTTTCAAGTAGGAAATAAACAGTTAAAAATGGAATTGTAGAGGATCTCTTCTATTTAAAGAACATCCCAATTACTATATCTTATGATGGATTTTGCACTGTATACATTTGCAGGGTCTAATGAAACATCATGAAGAAATAGTAGAATACTTCAAAACCCGAGGCGTCTCTGCGATTTTTCTATTCAGAAAAAACCTATTGCGCCGCATGATATCAGTACTCGCAAACTCTTATGACAGAGATGCTAAGCTACTAAACGGAACTCACAAGTCTCATACTCATTCGGCCCAAGAAGCTGAGATATTAGCGGGTTACAAGCCAATGATCAACACAACACTTTTAATAACCGAGCTGAAACAGATTCAAGAAATAACTTTGAAAGCATTGGCTTACTTTAATACCACTCGACATATCCTTGTCTACTACGAAGATGTTGTCAAAAACCTCACGGTAATTATAACACATTTTCTTCTTGAACTAGTTTCAGTCATTGATTGTTCTTTTTTCTCATATCTTGAGATGTGTTTTTGAATGCAGAGACTAGACGATGTACAGGAGTTTCTAAAGGTCCCAAAACGTAAGTTAAAGAGTAGGCAAGTGAAGATTCATGGAGGTTCATTGTCACAACATGTACAGAATTGGGAAGAGGTCAAAACCACACTTAAAGGAACCAATTTCGAAAATTTCTTACGCCAAGAATTTTAAATTTTTTGTACATATCAGACCAAACCCTTGTAGGAAATTTTTGTTTCCCTTTTTATTTTGTAGGACTTGGCATTGAATCTCTTAAATGTTACGAAGATTTAAACAAAAATTGTTTATTTCCTGAAGATATCTAAATTTCTTAAAAGCAGGAGAATCACAAAATTATAGTGAACCGAAATAAACCAGAGCGATGTAGTTTGGTTTATGTTGTCAACCTCAATAACCGGTTAAAACCGGAAGGCTAATTCGAGATTGATTGATTTAAACCGGAAAAAAACCACTCAAGCGTGACCCGAGTTCAACACATTGGTGAAGAGAGTTAAAAATGCAAAAACGGTGAAGGGGAAGAGAAGCGAAATTGGGGATTGGGAATAGCAACGTTTGGCAAATGGTCTCTTCTTTGTAGCTGCAATTGCAAAGAACACTGAGAGAGAAAGAGAGAACCTTTGAGAGATGGAGGAGAAACGACGCGATTCTGCTGGAACCCTAGCTTTTGCTGGTAGCTCTGGAGATTCTCCGGCATCTGAGCCGATGCCAGCGCCACGGCGACGCGGCGGAGGTTTGAAAAGAAAAGCGAATGCTCTCGGGGGTTCTAATTTCTCATCTTCTACGCCGTCTAAGAGGATGTTGACGCGTGAAAAGGCGATGCTTGCGTCTTTTTCTCCGGTACATAATGGGCCTTTAACTAGAGCTCGTCAGGCGCCGAGTATTATGCCCTCGGCGGCGGATGGGGTTAAGTCGGAGCTTTTGAATGTGGCGGTGGGTGCGGATGGAGAGAAGCCCAAGGAGGAGGAAGAGAGGAATAAGGCGATCCGTGAGTGGGAGGCTTTGGAGGCTAAGATCGAAGCTGATTTCGAAGCAATTAGATCTCGTGACAGTAATGTTCATGTGGTGCCTAATCATTGCGGTTCGTTCTTCTTCTTCTATCTGTTTTTGGTTGAGACTAAATGTAAATTATTGATTTCATTTTACATTTGTTACTGTTTTGCTTTGCAAATTTTGAAACTTTATGTGTAGAGACTTTCCAAAGTAGGAAAAGGAAAGAACTTGGGGTAGTCTGGGTTTTATGTATCACTTCATCTGGAAACAAGGCGAGATTTTGTTAGAATTTGGAGTTGGGTTTGGTTATAGAAATCATCTCACTGTGAATAATGTATCGGCACAAAGTTATACTGTCTGACCTTGTGATACAAAGCAAATTTCGATCTCGGTGGCGTATCAAAGTAGAATGTGCATGCTCCTTTTTATCTAGTAGAATCTCATTTGGAGAACCCTGGGCTATGAACTGATGCTCCTAGTCCTTGTCTTGTGGTAATTTTGACCTATAAAGTAATATGGTATCTTAGTTAGATTTTGAGTTGTTGGTATTGTTGATTCTTTACAACTTTTCATCCTCACATATATGATAAAAAGGAGTAGTTTGTGATTTGGGTTCCTGTGCTTCAAATTCTTTGAAGGTTGGTTTTCATGGGAAAAAATTCACCCGCTTGAGGAGCGTTCATTGCCCTCTTTCTTTAATGGCAAGTTGGAAGGTCGTACTTCTGAGGTTTATAGGGAAATACGGAATTGGATCATGAGGAAGTTTCATTTCAATCCGAACATACAAATAGAACTAAAAGACTTAACAGAACTCGAGGTTGGAGACTCGGAGGCAAAGCAAGAGGTGATAGAGTTCTTGGATTACTGGGGCTTAATCAATTTCCATCCATTTCCACCAACAGATGCTGGTTCTACTCCTTCTGATCATGATGACTTAGGGGATAAGGAGTCACTGCTTAACAGTTTATATCGATTTCAAGTAGATGAGGCTTGCCCTCCTCTTGTTCCCAAGCCTCGTCTCACAGCACAAGCTACACCATCAGGGTTGTTTCCAGATCCGGTGGCTGCTGATGAATTGCTGAAGCAAGAGGGTCCAGCGGTCGAATATCACTGCAATTCCTGTTCAGCTGATTGCTCTCGCAAACGCTACCACTGCCCAAAACAGGTGTTTTATCTCTTTACTAATTTTATTCCATCCAAGTAAATGGATTACTGCTTTCTTTCTGCTATTTTCTATAATCGTTTTTTAAAACATATATGCTAATATTGAGATTTTGACAGGCAGATTTTGACTTATGCACGGAATGCTTTAACAGTGGCAAGTTCAGTTCAGACATGTCATCTTCTGATTTTATACTAATGGAGCCTGCTGAAGCCCCTGGCGTTGGTAGTGGGAAGTGGACTGATCAAGAGACTCTTCTTCTCCTTGAAGCTTTAGAAATCTTCAAGGAAAATTGGAATGAGATTGCAGAGCATGTTGCTACAAAAACAAAAGCTCAGTGTATGCTTCATTTTCTTCAAATGCCAATCGAGGATGCATTTCTTGATCAAATTGACTACAAAGATCCAAGCACAAAAGACACTACAGATTTAGCTGTGTCTAAAGAGGATAAATCTCTCCTAAAGGATGCACCTGAAGAGGCAGAGAATAAGAAACATGTTGATGAAGATGAAACTATGATGGAAGTTCCAGAACCAGAAGATGGCAATGAAGAAAAAGTCTCTCACGAATCTTCGAAGCCTGGAGATGCGAGGGAAGAAACCAATGAAGTGGAAGCAGACCAGAAAACACCCAAACTAGAGACTGTCATTGATGAAAGATCTAATGATGAGGCTGACGAAAACATTGCTCTGAAAGCTCTTGCTGAAGCTTTTGAAGATGTTGGTTATTCCTCCACACCTGAAGCCTCTTTTTCCTTTGCTGATTTAGGAAACCCTGTCATGGGACTGGTAAGTCTTTTGTGTGACACAAATTTTTTGCAGTAATGGGATTCAGCTGAGATTCTTCTTAATTTACAATGGCACCCTCTTCCCTTTTTGATCCCGCAAGGCTCTTTTTCTATAGGCAGCATTTCTGGTGAGATTGGCAGGATCTGATGTTGCTACTGCATCAGCCCGGGCTTCTATAAAATCTCTTCACAGCAATTCTGGACTGTTGCTTGCTACAAGACATTGTTATATTCTGGAAGATCCACCAGACAACAAGAAGGATCCAACTGAATCAAAAAGGTTTCGTAATTACATGATAATCTTTCCTAACATTCTATGTTTTTATTCTGCTCTCAATTTTTGGGAGATATTGGTTGTTGTTTCTTAAATCTGAAACTAGCAAGACATTTGCAGTGCGGATGCAGATGGGAATGATGATAATGTCCGTAAAGATGAGCAGCCAGAGGAAAAAAGCCAAAAAGCAGAAGAGGTCTCCTTGAATTCAGATGATAAGGAAATGCCAGATTCTGATACAGGCAAAGAAAATCAGGATTCAGTCTCTGAAGAAAAGCAACCTGGTTCTCGAACTGAAAATTCTACTACAAAACCAGATGCCGTACAAGAAAAAAGATCTAGTAAGCCAGTCACAACTGACAATTCAGAGAAACCAGCGGATATAATATGTCCGTCGCAGGACAAATGTTCAGGGAAGGAGCATCAAGAACCTTTGAAGGATGGGATTAAGCTTTCTAGTGAAAATAAAGACGCCTCTCAAGCAACTGTCTCCCAGTCAGGTGAAGATGCTTCTCAGCCAGAAGCATCAAGAGATGTGGAAATGAAGGATTTACTACAGGCAGAGAAGGATCCTCAAGATGTGGTCAAAACAGTAGAAGAGGAGGTTCAACAGGCTAAGGAGGAGGGTGCAAAGGATGTTCTTAGTACTCCAGACATGTCACTTTCACAGCAGCCCATTGGATCAGCTTCTGCACCGGAAAATGGAACAGGTGGTCCTCTCTCTCTCTCTGACACATTAAATACTTTACCTGCATTGCATGATTCTTTTATATCTTATCAGTTTGTTGCTGAAATGTTGTTTTGCAGGTGAAAATCCAAACAAAGAAGGAAAGAAAGAGAAGGATGTTTGTGAAGGGACAAAAGACAAACATAACATCGAGAAGCTTAAGCGCGCAGCCATCTCTGCTATCTCAGCCGCAGCAGTAAAGGCAAAGAATCTTGCAAAGCAAGAAGAAGATCAAATCCGACAACTTTCTGGATCATTGATAGAGAAGCAGGTAAGATATGGTTTAAGTGTATGCAGCTTAGATTCCATTTTGATTATGTATTTGTTCAAAGTTGTAACCTAATAATGAGCGAGTTTTTTCTATGTCTAAGCAGTTACATAAACTAGAAGCAAAGCTATCTATCTTCAATGAAGCTGAAAGCTTGACAATGAGGGTAAGAGAGCAATTAGAAAGGTCAAGGCAACGGCTATATCATGAAAGGGCTCAGATCATAGCAGCTCGACTAGGTGTCCCCCCTTCAATGTCCTCAAAAGCATCGTTACCAACAAACAGAATCGCTGCAAATTTTGCTAATGTAGCTCCAAGGCCTCCCATGGGCATGGCCTTTCCACGCCCACCAATGCCAAGGCCTCCAGGTTTCTCTGTTCCTGGTTCTTATGTAGCTGCTACAGCAATGACCGGAAGCTCAGATCCATCTCCAGGTTCAGATAATGTTTCTTCGGTTTAGTGGTCCCACATTATAGTGTTCAGATTTGCAGGGTAGCTCTTCGTTGTGTTCTATTTATAAGCCAAGGTACATTACCCCACCTTTTGCGGCTTCAACCTTCGAGCTTGGTTTCTTTTCTGAAGATTTATCAGAATTATGTAGGAGACGGTGATATGGGAAGTTAGTTAGGGGTTTTAGACCCATTGATTAATGTTTAATGTAACTGTCAAATGAAACTTTTGGAGATCTGTGAATGTGTTTTTATGGTTCTTTGAACTTTAATGAATTGTAACGTTGAACAGAGAGATATATGATTCCGCAAAAGGTGGGAATGTCTTTTTTAAGGATTGTGGTTATACACAAACGCCTACATGTTGTAGTAAGAATGTCCGATAATAAGTTTAGTAGGTTCTTGTTTCTTGGGCAAAATTTTTCTTGTGTCACAGCTGCTATGGTATTATATCAAAACTCAAAGTCCAATCACTTTCGGTTCTGACTGTTCCTTACGTAACCAACGTTATGAGCCAAACATTCTCTCTCTTATGTCGTTTGCTTACTCCCGCCTTTTCCCCACCAATTAGCCACAGTATCTCCAATCTCAAACCGGTTGGATTATTTTCTAAACCGATATGGTCCCGTCACAAACTTCAAATGGCACAGATGCAAAAGTAGTAGTAAGCCAAATAAGAGAGACTACGGTTTCTTGAGAGAGCAAATATAGATGATAGATGGTAGAGAAGCGGAGACACGCTTTGTCCTAATAATAGCTAAAGTTTTCTTTTTGTCAGAAGAAATCTCCTCCTACCTAGGAAGAAGCTATTTCTCCAAGCTGTTTCTACAATTTCTCTCTCCCTTTCATTTTCTTTCTAATCTTCTTCATCAGGTATTCATCAATTTCTCCAGCTTCTGGGTTTCGATTGCATAAGATTTTTGATTCTGAGTATTGTTTTTGCTTGGGAAACAAGGCAGTTGCGTCCTGGATCACCGGGGAGAAGGTTTCTCCACTGTTTGAGAAACCCTTCACCGACAAAAGAAGACATAAACAATGGCGGACTCGCCGGTGGATTCACCTCCTGCCCCTGAAACATCCAATGGGACACCGCCCTCAAACGGGACATCGCCGTCCAATGAGTCATCGCCGCCAACACCACCTTCTTCACCACCACCATCATCAAAATCTGCTCCTCCGCCAGACAGCTCCGCTTCTTCTTCACCGCCGCCTGCACCACCAACGCAAGAAACCTCACCTCCTCCATCTTCATCCTCTAATCCGCCTGCTGTAGTTAATCCGCCACCGCAAACTCCAGAGAATCCTTCTCCACCTGCACCTGAAGGCTCAACTCCGGTAACCCCACCAGCACCACCACAAACACCGTCGAACCAATCACCACCTTTAGAAAGACCAACTCCTCCTTCTCCTGGTGCCAATGATGACCGAAACAGAACCAATGGCGGAAACAACAACAGAGACGGCTCCACACCTTCACCACCATCTTCCGGGAACAGAACTTCCGGTGACGGTAGCTCACCTTCACCACCACGGTCAATAAGCCCTCCTCGGAATAGTGGAGATTCAGAGTCATCATCGGGTAATCATCCACAAGCCAACATTGGATTGATTATTGGAGTCCTTGTAGGAGCAGGGCTTTTGCTTCTACTTCTAGTGTGTATTTGCATCTGTTGCAACAAGAAGAAGAAGAAAAAATCTCCTCAGGTCAACCACATGCACTACTACAATAACAATCCTTATGGAGCACCCTCAGGTAATTATAGGATAGATTAGAGTTTAGTTTAACCTGAATTTGTAGCCTAATGGTTTGTGTTAGTAGACTTATTTAACATAATCGATAGATAAGGTTTTACAACGATCATAGTTTAGACCTTTAGGGGTTTGTACTAATTCTATGGCAAGTGTTTAAACCCATTAGAGTGCAAAAGGATTAGACTTTAGAAGCTAAAGGAGATGTTGCATAGTGTAGGTAATGGTGGTTATTACAAGGCAACACCTCAGGATCATGTGGTAAATATGGCTGGTCAAGGAGGTGGGAATTGGGGTCCACAGCAACCTGTGTCTGGTCCTCACAGTGACACTTCCAACTTAACTGGTCGAACTGCTACACCGTCACCTCAAGCTGCGACTCTTGGTCACAACCAAAGCACTTTCACCTACGATGAATTGTCCATTGCAACAGAAGGTTTCGCTCAGTCAAATTTGTTAGGACAAGGAGGATTTGGGTATGTTCATAAAGGAGTTTTGCCTGGTGGCAAAGAAGTTGCAGTGAAGAGTCTTAAACTTGGAAGCGGACAAGGTGAACGCGAGTTTCAAGCAGAGGTTGATATCATTAGCCGTGTCCATCATCGTCATCTCGTTTCTCTTGTTGGATATTGCATTTCTGGTGGTCAAAGGCTTTTGGTTTATGAGTTTATACCTAATAACACTCTTGAATTTCATCTTCACGGTACATTCATCTAACAGAATGTTTTCTTGAATTAACAACACCTTTAAGTTTGGTTTCTCTTTAACTAATAACATGATTGAAACTTTAGGAAAGGGTCGTCCGGTTTTGGATTGGCCTACACGAGTGAAGATTGCATTGGGATCAGCTAGAGGTCTTGCATATTTGCATGAAGACTGTAAGAAAAATCTCTATCTCACATATTTTGATTAGTTTCTATCTCGCTCTCTATAAGAAACTAAAGATTTTACATTTGGTAGGCCATCCTCGCATTATCCATAGAGATATCAAAGCTGCAAACATTCTTCTTGATTTCAGTTTTGAAACCAAGGTATGCATATTTTGACTCTTGTACTACTTTTACTTACATTGTCTCTCATTTTTTTTCCCAATCAGTCTTATTGTGTATATACACGCGCAGGTTGCAGATTTTGGATTAGCTAAGCTATCTCAAGACAACTATACTCATGTCTCCACTCGCGTCATGGGAACTTTTGGGTATACAGCTTTGTAAAATGTCTTAACTCATTCACACTTATTTAGTTTCGTATATTTGTTTTTTTAACATTTTCATTGATTCAGATACTTAGCTCCAGAGTATGCATCAAGTGGAAAGTTATCCGACAAATCTGATGTTTTCTCTTTCGGAGTAATGCTTCTTGAGCTCATAACCGGACGACCTCCTCTGGATCTAACTGGAGAAATGGAAGACAGCTTGGTTGATTGGGTAAGTCAGTCCCAGCCTCTTCGGTTTCATGTTTAATCCCAAAACACTTGCATAAACAAAAACAAATCTTACTACTGTTGTTGCAGGCAAGGCCTTTGTGTTTGAAAGCAGCTCAAGATGGAGATTACAGCCAATTGGCAGATCCGCGTCTAGAGCTAAACTACAATCATCAAGAGATGGTTCAAATGGCTTCTTGTGCAGCTGCAGCAATCAGACACTCAGCAAGAAGACGGCCTAAGATGAGCCAGGTTCAAAAACTCATAACACTTCTTGATTCTTTTGTTATATTTACTCACAATTAATCTTGATGATAATGTGACATACTAATGAATCTTGAAACATGTGTATGATAAATGAAAGATTGTACGAGCACTAGAAGGAGATATGTCAATGGAGGATCTAAGTGAAGGAACAAGACCGGGACAAAGCACGTATTTGAGCCCCGGAAGCGTGAGCTCGGAGTATGATGCAAGCTCTTACAGTGTAGACATGAAAAAATTCAAGAAATTGGCGTTAGAGAATAAAGAATATCAAAGCAGTGAATATGGTGGAACAAGTGAGTATGGCTTAAATCCTTCTGCTTCAAGTAGTGAAGAAATGAATAGAGGCTCAATGAAACGCAATCCTCAGCTTTGAAAGAACACAACAGTTCTCATTATATTTTCACTTTTCTTCTCTGTTTTTCTTTCATTGTTTGTTTCATTTTGCGTCAAAGATCTGCAGTTTTTGACAGTCACAAATTCTGATGTTTTTAGGAGTATATATTTTTGACCAAAAGAGATTAGAGTGTGGTTTTGTTGAAATGTTTAGTACAAAGCCTTAATCCATACCAAGTTATGGTGGAATTTATAATGGATATGCATTATCAAGATTGTTTATTATTGGTGTTGTATATAATGATTCTAAAAGTAATACGGTTAGGTGAATCTTTTGTTACCGTTGTGATAAATTTCTTTTTTGTTTTTGCAACTCAAATAAGAAAAGGAAACAATAGAAAATTTCCTTTTTTCATTGAACAAACGTTACTTATAAATACACCCATTCTCTCTTCTTCTTCTTTGAAACCTAAACCAGAAATAACAAAAATCATCTTTTTCTTTCTGTAGTTCTCTTCATCAGCTCTGCCAATATCAAACAGAGAGGCTTGCCGATGATGATCCATATAGACATTCAAGTAAACCGATGATCTCTGCAATAACTTCATCCGAAAGATTGATCGGAGCAGAGAAACCATCTCTTTTCGTGAATTGATATGTTGTGTTTTTATCGGTTTTGAGTCTTTGTTTTCTTTTCTAGATTATATATTTTATAGAGTCAAAGTTTGTTTTTAGAGTCTTTTAGTCCGTTATCGAGTCTTTACAGGTTTTAGGTTGCTTCGGAGGAAAACGAGCTGTTTTGGGATCTAAACACACTTTTGGAGATGCAGTTTCGGTTAGAAGTGGCAAACGTTTGGCATCAGATGCAAGACTTACCACCGTTAGATCTTTCTGAATTTTTGACACAAGCTAGATGAAGATGTTAGCTTGAGTTTCCAAGTGATTTGAAGGAAATCTAACGGTGAATTCAAGAGTTATACCCGAATTAGTGAAGACAGGTCATTCTGGCGAGCATTTGAAGCAGTTGCAGAGCTAGAGACCAGAAGCTCCAGATCGATCGATCCCTTTGTGGATCGATCGATCCACTTCCCTGACGGATGAGAAACGTTCCAGACCCTGCTGGATCGATCGGTCCTCCTTTGGATCGATCGATCCCTTCCCCAGACATACTTTTGGCCCAGATTTGACCCGATTCACTCCGGATTCGACCCGGCTCGTTTCCTATTGTTTTAAAACCCTATGCTCGACTCTTTACACATTATCCTTGATATTTTTCAGTTCTAAACTTTGTTCTTTGGTTTGTAAACAATTTTGGACAAAGGAATCCATCCTCTTGACACTTGGAGAAGATTTCTAAACCCTATCTTGTTATTTCTACAATTTCATCATGTTTTCTTCATTGATTTTTGTTATCTCTTTTTCTATGTGTGAGTAGTTCTCCTATTGGGTTTTAGGGTTCTAATTAAGGGATTCAATGGATTGATGGATTGATTGTTGTTTGGAATTCTCATTCTCTAGGTTCTTTAATTCACATGTTCTTAATGCTAGAATAGGATTGATCAACCTGTTGTAGATTCTAGGTTTTTCTATGCATCAAAAGTGTTCGATAGAATGTCTGAAAGAATGTGAATTGAGCAATGTATTTCTAGCCAACGAAAGTTGACGTTAGGACGCATTGTGAACTTAATGAACTTGTTTGATAATGCGAATTTGACTAGGAAATTACATGCGAAAGTTTAGTAATCGAGTAGTCAAATTTAGTGATTAATGTCTTGAAAGAGAATTAGTCTAAATGTGTTCATGTTCAAGAACGGTGCTTAATCATTGAATTCTTTGTCTCATGTTTCCATTATTCGTTGATCTCTGAAATACCCTAATGCCCAATGTCTTTAATTCATAAGTTTAATCGTTTTAAATTACTTGCATTTTTATTTATAATTCTGAAAACCCAAACAAAATAATCTTTTCTGCTTTAGCTAAGAACGAGTCTCGGAAATCATTAGTGTACCATTGGTTCTTGTGGATCGACCCCGTATATACTACCTTGCGGTTAAGTGTATCGGGTAATTACTCGAGCAATCAAGTTGGCGCCGTTGCCGGGGACCAATTGCGTTACCTAAGGATTTAGGATTAGTTTTTAGTCTAAAGTATTTTTATTTTTTTGCTAACTATCACTTTTGTTTTTTTTAGGTGCTGGCCATGGAATATAATGATTGGTTAGAAGAAGAAGAGGATGAGCCATATACGGAGCCACCATTTGATGAGAGTGTTCTTACACCAGAACAAAAAGTGAAGTTAGATGAACTTCACAACGAACATCCGACATTTGTTAGGAGTGATTTAGCGATCTTGATCCGGTGTAATCTCTTATCACACCGGGCAGCATGTGAAGGAAGAGAAGTCACATTCTTTGAAGAACAAGAAGCTCGTGCGCTTGAAAAGGTAATATATTGGGTTCCACCAAGCGAATTAGAAGGTACATGCGTTTCAACCCTTGAAATTCATGATGTTGAGGATATTCAGTTGTCATGCATTGAAGATGTGACTTCTAGTTTGCATACTTCCATGATCATTGATGAATGTTATGATTTGATATGTGAGTCTCAACGACTAGATACTTTAAGAGCAGCAAAACTTGCTAGGGATTACCATGAAATATGTTTTGATATTGAATATCATTGTGCTTTGAATGTTCATGATCTCGAGTTTAAGTTTTCAATGCCTGAAATATCTAGATCTCTTCTTGATGAATCTTTACTAGGAGTTGTGCTTGATATTGATAAGATTTTGCATGAGAATGAAGATCCTGATGTTGATTATATGGATGGAGATATTGTGCTATATGAGATTAATGGAGATGAAGTTGATTATTTTGTTAAAACTTCGTTTAAATCAGAAATTAACTTTATTTTTCCTCCAAATGCATTTGATCCTCATGAGCATTTAACCATTTTAGAATATTTCAAGATACATGCTACATTTGTAGTAAATTTGGTTGATGGTTATTTTGTCTTTTTATCAAGAACAATTGTGTGTTACTTTGTGCATATTATTTTGTGCGGTAGCAGGAGAAGGATCAAAGGTCCATTGGCTCAACCTTTTGATTCTTATGATTAATATTTTGTGTTGAGCGGTCAAGCTTACGACCTAAAATAAGCGCTTTGTGGGAGGCAACCCACCATGTATCCCAAGTAAGTTTTCTCTTTCTCCTTTTCGCATTTTCATTTCTTTTTTATTTCTTTTGAGTGTGTCTGGCATCTTCTTTTCGAATTGTTTTCACACCGAGTCGGTGTGAAGCAAGTCGGGGGGAGGCTGCCACTTGTCTACTAATCTAGTTTGCATTTTTGATGTTTCTTTGAGTCATTTTGATGTTTTTCTTTTGAGTCATCGAGTCTGTTTTATCGAGTCAAAATCGTGTATTTTATTGAGTCAAAATGTTGTATGAGAACTATGATCTTTTCTTAGGGAATTGCACCATGTTTGATATCAATGCCTTGGGACCATTTTAGCTTTATTCGATAACTTGGAAGTTCAGGAAAATCCATCACTAGATCGCTTTATAGTAGTCCCTATCTCTTTGAAATTCGGATGAATTGAGCTTTATCTTATATACTTGAACTTAATCTGGACTTAATTTATCTCACTTAGGGGCTTGAGAATCATGTAATGGATCATACATTCAGAGTTTTGTTCGCATCATTTATACCACTCTTTGCTAACTCTGAATGGCTAGACTCATTTTTAGTCTAGTACCACACCTGTTCCCCCACCCATTGTTTGAAACCTCATGCATTCTTATATAATCATCATGATATGCATCCATGTGCGAAAACTACGGAGTATACGGACCGACATAGCTTTCCTTTTGTTAGGATAGTAAGTTGTAGTTTACTGGTTGTTGATATGTGATGAGATTGAGCCATTGTGGTTTAGAGGTTATATTCATGGGCATATGCTACTGTTTGCGGTTTTTCTTGATGCAGATTTTTGCGAGACACCGTTTCCACTCCCCCGTTTTATTATTAAAAAAAAAAAAAAAAAAAAAAAAAAAAAAAAAAAAAAAACGAAAAATAAAAAGAAGGAACGGGAAAGGAGAGTGATTGGAACCGGAAATGTCGAGTTATTATTAGTAATATTGTTAAGCATCAAGGGTACTCATTGGTTTGATTGGGATAATGTGTTGGTTAGTTTGATCCGAGCTTAAGGGAAGCTATGTACCTCCTAGTTGGTCTGTGTCTCACTGTGATTTCGCATAATGACATGCATCCGTTTTACACTGTTTGAAAACCCGAAACACTTGAGTCACCAAATAATAGCCCTTTCACCTAGCCCATAACGTGTTTGATATCCCCTTAGTGAGAGTACACGCCTTTGTTAATGAATGTTAAATGGTTAAGTTATCTGACTCTGAAAGTTCTTTTAGATCTCGGGACTTAATTTTGTTGCTACGGTTATGGCGAAGTACAGTCTAGTACAGTTTGATGAGTTTTGTGATAGTGGTTTGCAGGCAATTGATAAGAGCATGATCCCGAAGAAAATGTGAGTTCTCGTGTTTTCAAACCTCTTCTCTTGATAAGGATTTCAGCTTTCCTTGAGGACAAGCAAAGATCTAAGTCGGGGGGAGTTGATATGTTGTGTTTTTATCGGTTTTGAGTCTTTGTTTTCTTTTCTAGATTATATATTTTATAGAGTCAAAGTTTGTTTTTAGAGTCTTTTAGTCCGTTATCGAGTCTTTACAGGTTTTAGGTTGCTTCGGAGGAAAACGAGCTGTTTTGGGATCTAAACACACTTTTGGAGATGCAGTTTCGGTTAGAAGTGGCAAACGTTTGGCATCAGATGCAAGACTTACCACCGTTAGATCTTTCTGAATTTTTGACACAAGCTAGATGAAGATGTTAGCTTGAGTTTCCAAGTGATTTGAAGGAAATCTAACGGTGAATTCAAGAGTTATACCCGAATTAGTGAAGACAGGTCATTCTGGCGAGCATTTGAAGCAGTTGCAGAGCTAGAGACCAGAAGCTCCAGATCGATCGATCCCTTTGTGGATCGATCGATCCACTTCCCTGACGGATGAGAAACGTTCCAGACCCTGCTGGATCGATCGGTCCTCCTTTGGATCGATCGATCCCTTCCCCAGACATACTTTTGGCCCAGATTTGACCCGATTCACTCCGGATTCGACCCGGCTCGTTTCCTATTGTTTTAAAACCCTATGCTCGACTCTTTACACATTATCCTTGATATTTTTCAGTTCTAAACTTTGTTCTTTGGTTTGTAAACAATTTTGGACAAAGGAATCCATCCTCTTGACACTTGGAGAAGATTTCTAAACCCTATCTTGTTATTTCTACAATTTCATCATGTTTTCTTCATTGATTTTTGTTATCTCTTTTTCTATGTGTGAGTAGTTCTC